TTAGTCCCTGTTCATCAGTCGCCGCTCTCGCGTGGTGCCCTACGGTCTGCCGGGGTACCGACGATTGCGGCGAGCACCACCCCAGCACCGGGGCCGGCCGGGCACGAACTGCCAGGCTGGCGCGGCATCTGGGAAGACTCTTGTCAGGCGCAGGGGAACAACCCGCGTGCGCCGGAGGGTGGGCTTTGTGGGTGATTGGCGGTTCGCCAGACCTGCCTATAGCCACCGGGGGTACCCTACCCGTTGGGGACGCTCTACTATAGCGGATGAACCTTCTGGTCGGGCCTCCTCTTGGGGCGCCCAGGCGGTGTTCTCGAGGGCAACGCGCCCCCGGATTTCTCCTGCCGACGGCGCTTTGGGACCTCGGAATTCATCCATTGGTCTAGCAAATGGACATCCCCTGCTGACTGGATTACAGACCTCGCCGCGTTTGACCTACCGATCGACACTCGTAACCGACCGATACCCGACAGTGATCCAACAGACTTCACATCCATCAGACAAGTCGTTCTCCCATTCCCTTCCCCCCCCCCCAGCTCTCTTGAAACTCTGAACTCACCAGATGTGATAGGCTCTTCAGATCCCTCGCCCCAGGCGACCATCGACATCCAACACTTCCGATCACCAGGTATAGTGGTGTCAAGGTTCTCTAACACTGACATGATCATCTAGGGCTCGTGGAACAGAAGAAGACATTGGACCGCTCGCTCTCACTACCAGGCAGTGACAGCACATCACCAAGGTGACTTGAGAGCTTTTCGGGTTCCAGCCCTAGCCCCATGATGACGAGAAACCGTGCTTCTTCTGATCAATCTGCAAAGATTCATGATCTAGACTGACATATCTGAGGCTTAACGGGGTATCCCGTCTGTCTTCAATCCCTTTCTCTACTTCACATTTGTCAACAGGCCGCTTCAAGGATCATCTCCGACCGCCGACTCGGCCACAACTTGAAGCAGGCTTGAGTCTTCGAGGCAAGTCATGATTACTACTTCCTGCTTCTCCTTCGCTCCTCTTCAATCCAGGCCGATGATGACATGTGTTAGCTGATGATCAATCTGAAAAGATGCATGATCTAAATTCCTGGGTCTGAGGCTGCCATGATATTCCATACGTCGGGTTTTCAGTTCTTGCTTCTGCCTCATATCCGTTCTGCTAACAGGTCCAAGTTGTTTCTAGGAAAGGTAACCCAGCTTTGATTGTCTTTCTGACAGCTGCCACAGGCAGCCACCGGCCACCGAGGCAAGTCATGGCATTTCCGCTTCTCCATCTCCCCTATTTCAAACCCAGCCAGTGATGACAAGGAACGGAGATCTTCTGATCGATCTTTCCAGATTCATGATCTAAACCTTCTGGGTCTGAGGCTGCCGCCATGATATTCCATCGTTTTCAGTTCCTGCTTCTGCCTCATATTCGTCCGGCTAACAGGTTCAAGTTGTCTCTAGGAAAGGTAACCCAGCTTCGAGTGTCTCTCTGACCAGACAGCTGACACAACACGAAGCAGCCACCGGGCATCGAGGTAAGTCATGGCATTTCCGCTTCTCTATCCCCCCCGATTTCAAACATAGCCAATGATGGCATATGGGCAATTTTCTGAAACGACTCATGATCAGAACTGCGCAATGAACTGAGGCTGCATTGTTATTCCATAAGGCTTTACTTCTACCTCTGTTTTGAATCTAGGATCTAGGTAGGCTAACATCATCATGTTGTTGTTCCTAGGACGACTGACACCGCCGACACATGCAGCCACCGGACCCGACATCGACTGGAGGTGAGTGATGGCATTTTCCACTTCTCCATGATTCATTCCTCTTTCAAATCCAGCCAATGATTACCATCTGCTCATTCTGAACCGACTCATGATCAAAACTCAAAGTATTCTGAGGCTGCCTCGATATTCCACCGGGTTTCACTTCTTGACTCTGTCTACGATCCATCTAGCTAACATCCATCCTGTTGTTCTTCCTAAGGCAGGTAACCGGACTTTTGTTGTCTCAATAACCGTTGACGCCGGGCAAGCAGGCGACAACCACCTATCCAGGCAAGTTATGGTTTTTCCTAGCCCTCCTACTTCCACGGTTCCACCCAGTCCCCAGATGATGCAGTTAGGACTTCTTCCTCTGAAACGAATTCATGATTTACACAACAGATACTATCTGAAGCCGCTTTGCGGATCCGAGCTGCTCTCCATCCATTATCTCCTTGAGTGTCAGGTCACTAATATGTCTCGATGGTTCTAGGGAAGTTAGACCGATTAGACTTTGATTGTCTCAGCGCAATCATTGATGGCATCGACACAAGCAAGCACCAGCTATCGAGGCAAGTCGTGACTACATCGAGTCGTTCTACTTCCTATCTGCCGTCCCGGTCCGAGGATGACCCAATTTTCAAATGACTTTCTTTCCCTTTTTCTGAGAGGAGTTCATGATGGACACAACAGAGACTATCTGGGGCCGCTTTGCTACAACACTATCTGCCTTGCATTGACTCTTGGATTTCTGGGTAACTGACAGGTCTTGTCCTAGAAAAGTTGAACCGACCACGATTCTCTCCGAGCCGCCAATGAATATACAAGCAACCACCTGCAGCCTCTATGACCGAAATCGACGACGAGTTCCCGCTCACAAGTTTCGCAACGGGCGAGTCTCCCCTCCCAGCTTCAACCTGCTCAAATGCGAGGCGCCCATGATGATTTGCGGGAGACCCAGGCCTAGAGCCATCAAGGCTGGCCAGGACGTCTCGCGCACTCAGGCTGAGCCTGCTGAGGCACCAGAACGCTATGAATCTGTTTTTCCCTTTCGAGATTGAGGGGATATCCTGCTGATAAACTTCTTTCTTCAGGACGACAAACCGGAGCCGACCTATGACTCCTGTCCCGGAGAAATCCAGCAGGTACCTGAGCATCGAGCCCTAGCACTGAACAATCCCCACATGTAGGTACGTCAGGTCCCTCTTCTGCCTGAGTTTTGATGAGAAGCGGGCGCTGTGATAATCAAGTTGGCATTGAAGGGAGCCTTGGCTCTGAAGAGACAAGGCGTTGACCGAAAACTCATGGATCTGAGCGCTGTCACGGCCGGAAATCCTAGTTGTTCTCCTCAAGTTGAGCTTCGGGTTCTAACGAGTATTGCTAATGCCCAGGAAGAGTCTGCAGAGCATCCACGTCTATCGATGTCAACCATCACCATTGATCCAAGACTGTCAGGTAAGCTCAACCTCTGTATCCAAGTTTGAGTTAGGCGGGAGCCGAGTGCAATGATGACCTGTTTGTGGTTATGAGAGCCTGAAGCCAGGCAATGACCAGAAAATCGTCTTCATTGATCTGAGCACTACAACAGTTTGTAACTGCGGCCTTAGTACCATCATGGCATTCCAGATGCTAACATCTTGCATGGTGTCTAGGTGGCCCGAGATATTCCCCGTCCACGAAGTTGACGTTAACCCGTCACCACCGATCCCCGAACCGTCGGGTAACCCGGTACGCCCACCATTTGAAGTTCAAGTCTAGAAGGAGGCAATACACCATGGGGCATGGGCGCCATGATGACCTATCATACGATACTACACTGGGAGTTTGCAATCACCGTGACTGCAGGCGATGACCGCAAGGCAATGCTCATTCTGAGCGCCATCACGACAGAAACCGCCGTTTCCATCTTCACTACACATGCTTCATTTGCTGGCAACGTTCCTCTCACAGAACTCGGAATCTCTCCAGACCATCCTTTCACATGGGCGTCAAGCAACCTGACCATTTCGATGACTCTCAGCAGGAGGTGAGCTCAGTCCCCCACTGGTTGGACCTGAGAGTGCAATGATGATCTTCTTAATGAACTGTTTTGATGGGAGCCTGGTGAGTCCAGGCATTGACCGAAACAACACGATCTGAGCACTGTCATACCCCGGAACTCATTTCACCCTCATTGAAGCTTTAGTTTGCTAATGTAACGATTATGGTTGTCCAGGGAAACGCCCGTACCATCCCATTCAAAATCATCTCAGTGACTGAGTGTCAGCAGGAGGTATCAGTTCCCAATCTCCCTCCATACTCAACCCTGATGGGGCCTGAGTGCCATGATGATCTCTTAATGAACTTCCTTCATGGGAGCCTGGTGAGCCCAGGCATTGACCGAAGCAACACGATCTGAGCACTGTCATATCCCGAGAAACGCGTGTCACCTTCAATGAAGCTTCAGTTTGCTAACTTTTTTGTTGTCCTTTGAGGAAAACATCGGTATCAGCCAATGCAAAATCATCTCGGCAACTTTTCATGTTATCAAGAGGTAAGCTATGTTTCCGATCACTAGTGTCTGGTCCCAACCATGCGGGAGGTGAGGGCTATGATGATCAATCTTGTCCATGGGAGCCTGGTAAGCCCAGGCATTGACCGAAACGACGAGTGATCCGAGCACTGTATATCTCAGAGAACTTCAATTTCACCCTCAATGAAGCTTCAGTTTGCTAACTTACTGGTTGTCTTTGAGAAAACGAAGGTTTCACCTTTTGAATGAATTCAAGTTTCAACATCATCTCGGTAACTATTAGCAGGAGGTAAGCTCTGTCCTCAATCCCTGTACTGTTCCAGGCATGAGTGCCAATGACGATCTTTCAATGACCTTTTTCTTGTTGAGAGCCTGGTGGAACCAGGCAATGACCGAATCGACGAGTGACCTGAGCACTATCATGTCCGGGAATCAATCCCATCCATGATTTCACCCTCACTGCCCAAGCTTCAGCTTGCTAACGTATTCGTTTGTCTTCGAGGAACTGCATAAACGACGCTCTCATCCATATCAACGACAGATTCAAGTTGTCAGGGACGCCCCTCCTGTGCGTTGTTCGGCTTTGGAATAAAGAAATGTGTAGAAAATACGGTGGTGGTACAGGGCGGGCGGGGAGAGTTTAAGTGTTGAGGGCAAGGCAGACATGGATACACCCGAGCTGGATTGAAGGATTGCCTGCCAAACATCATAATCGTCCTGATCCTTGTTCTGGCTGGTCTGCTGAGCCAATACCTAAGGTACACCATAGCACGGTTAGGCTGCGGAGTTATCGGGTACATTGCCGCGACTGCTTTCGGCGCATTTGCATTTCGCTGGATACGAGATGTGAAGGATGGCTGCAGAAAAGGAAAGATCCCGATGTGGACGAAATCTGTGGAGCAAATGTGGTTCGGCCCCGGGCAATGGCGAGGATGGAAGGCCATAGGATTTCTGCACCTAGAAATAGCTCGGCATCATCACTTTGGAACACATGCGCAGTCGTCATTGTTCCCGGGAAACCGTGGCAGTCCTCTGATGTTGATCCCCCCTCAGAAGTGAATTGGTAACGTCAACTTCGTTCTGCGTGGAGCAAGATAAAAAAGGGAGAAACGGTGCTCACCTCCACTCCTGGGTTCTCGCCAAAATTCGCGCCATCAACACGAGGTATGTAAGGTACGGATATGTACGAGGACATGCTGATAGCCTCCAAGTCCTGCGGTGTAAGTGTACCGTACTGTACAGTAGGTATGTACATACATACCTGCTCGAGCTGGCGTATCTTGTACCCGACTCCGAGCACCCGCAAGATAGTGTAAAACCCGAGGCGGGGGCGAGCTTGAGAAAAGAAGAACCATCGTCGTCAGGATCAGCGCCGAGCCTGTTTGTGCGCCTTGGCAAAGTCTTGTTTTGACGACCCTGCGGGCCCAGGGGAACTGACGCAGATCGCAGATCGCATGCAACAACACAGGGCGAACCGAACAGTTCCGGTGAAATGGCTATGTACCTAGGTATTGCCCAATGCTGACTGCTGAGCGTGTCAATCTGCATCGTTACACACAGTGCTCGCCCTGATCCTACAGACGGATTACCTCCATAATCCTGCCTCGGGGCCTGCCTCGTATGTACAAGTATGTATTGTACAGTACAACTACTGCACATCAGTCAGCGGGAAACAATTTCACCGCGTTTTGGAAGCGGTGATCTTCATGAGCCAAAAGGATTGTAGACAAATCGAGTCGACGGCAGCAGAGAATGAGAGTCATGTCCTCTCCACAAGTCTGAAAGTTCAGAATTTCGGACAACGACTGGCCCACAAAAGTATCTTGAAACGAGATGATGACGGGAGGTCTTGCGTGTTTGCATTGGGTGGCGCTGTCCACTGTGGGGCTGCGTCAGCACCCGCCCCGAACCACTCACCTTTCCCCAATGCGTCCCAGAACCGGTTTCGCCTGTCGTCCAACCCCAGCCACGAGCCGGGGCTGTGCCAGACGCTAATGTCACTGGGCTAGGGGAATTAGCGGCCCTGATTTTCAGTCAATTCAGGGGCTCCCCACTCAACCCATCTCTTCTTTTCCCCTGACATCTTCAACCTCTCTTGTAATTTCTGCTGGAGGTGCTGCGTTTTTTGAACCTTCGCTGCCTCTCGCTGCCTCTCGCTGCGGTTTCCTCACATTCTGACACTCATTGAAAGACTAACTTGGTTTTATTGCATCTTCCTTTTCTTCCTTGTCGCGCCAATTATCATTGCCTCGCATTCCGGTGACGAACAGGTGAAACTGGCACGTCCCGCTGTGTAATATCGACCAAGGCAAAAACGACGTCGCGTCCTCGCGCCCTCCGGCGCTTCTCCTGATCAGAATCCTCTCCGTATCGCGAACCTCGTACCGCCAAGATGCGTTATTCGACATCCTCACTCGTTTCCGCCGCCCTCCTGATGGGGCAGGCGAGCGCGGCTCTTCCGCCGATTGTCATGAAGGTGCGCCTCCAATAGCTTTCAACAAGTCCTCTTATTCGTTGAGGTAGATTGCTAACGTCGCAATCCTCCAGGGAACCAAGTTCTTCTACGAAAATGGCACCCAGTTTTTCATGAAGGGCATTGCTTACCAACAAGAAGTCGCCGCCGGTGGCGCTTCTACGGGCAGCACCAAGTACACCGATCCTCTTGCGGACGCAGAAATCTGCAAGCGCGACGTTCCTCTGCTCCAGGCTCTCGGCACCAACACGATCCGCACGTACGCGATTGATCCCACCAAGAACCACGACGAGTGCATGAAGCTTCTGGATGATGCGGGCATCTATGTCATCAGCGATCTCAGCGAGCCTGTCCTGTCCATCAACCGCGACGATCCGCTGTGGAACACCGAGCTGTACAAGCGCTACACGGACGTGGTGGACAGTCTCAGCAAGTATAGCAACGTGATTGGCTTCTTTGCTGGCAACGAGGTTACGAACAACAGGACCAACACGATGGCTTCGGCCTACGTCAAGGCCGCCGTGCGCGATACCAAAGCCCACATCAAGAACAATGTCAAGCGCTGGATGGGTGTCGGCTATGCCGCCAATGATGATGCCGACATTCGCACCGACATGGCCCACTACTTCAACTGCGGCGACCAGGAGAGCGCCATCGACTACTGGGGCTACAACATCTACTCGTGGTGCGGTAAGAGCAGCATGTCCGAATCGGGCTACGACAAGCAGGTAGAATTCTTCAGCAACTACTCAGTGCCTGTATTTTTCGCCGAGTACGGTTGCAACCTGCCCGATGGCGCCGAGGGTCGTATCTGGGACGAGACTACCGCGCTTTACTCGGACGAGATGACCGGCGTCTTCTCGGGCGGCATCGTGTACATGTACTTCCAGGAAGCCAACGATTACGGTTCGTCCCCCCACGTCCATTCCCCAATGTCGTAACGTGCCAGCTAATCAACCCGTCACCAGGCCTGGTCACCGTCAAGAATGACGAAGCCACCACCATGAAGAATTATGACGCCCTCAAGACCGTCATGTCTTCGGTCGCTCCGTCATCGACCGCCATGGACTCGTACCAGCCCACCAACTCCCCGGCCGCCTGCCCCCCAATCAGCAACACCTGGAAGGTCAAGGGCAACGCCCTTCCGCCGACCCCAGACACGTCCCTCTGCGACTGCATGTTCAACTCCATCTCTTGCGGCCCTTCTTCGTCGCTCAAGGAGACGGAATTTGGTGACATCTTCGGCTTCATCTGTGGCGAGAGTCCCGAGGCGTGCGCCGGAATCAACCGCAACACCACCACCGGCGTGTACGGTGCGTACTCGATGTGCAGCGCCAAGCAGCAGCTGGGCTACGTGCTGGACCAATACTACAAGTCGCAGAACTCGGCCAGCGGTGCGTGCGACTTTGACGGCAAGGCCGAGGTCAAGTCGTCGTCCGTGGGCAATGGCTGCCAGGAGAAGCTGGAAAGCGCGAGTGCCGCCAACAGCGTGGCTGCCACGGCTACGGGGCTCGACGGTGCGGCCTCCACTGGCGGCGCCAGCAACGGCACCGACGAGAACGCGGCGCCCTCATTCACTCAAGGGCCCCTGATGAGGCGCCTTTTTGCCTTCGGCGGCTTGGAGGTGGGCCTGTACATGGCTGTCGCGCTGTTTACGGGCGTTACTATGCTTGTTCTGTAAATGGCAGGCTGATCTGTCCTCGGCCGAACGGAAAGGGCGCATCTGTGTTCTTAGGAAAATTCAAAGGGGCTAAGGTGGCTTGTGATTGATTTGGTTCTGAGCTGCGTCTGCAGCGTAATTCAGGATGCCTGCAGCAGTTGTATGTATGTGACATTCCCAGCGTGGCTACATAGACGGATCACCGTTGCGACACGGTGGTTTCCTTGTTCGATTATTTAATGTTTTGTTGCTACGCTCCATGCCACATTGTGTAGTGACTTTGTGTACGCTGGTTCTGGTTGTGCATTCTATCATGCTTGCGAGAAGCATCCTGAAGGTGAAGAGGCTGGCACACCGGCACACGGATGCTCCCCCGGTAGCACCATATAATACCATCTCAGCTCCGCCGTACTCCCGCAGTCCCAACAGCCTGTTGAAAGTATCAGCATCTAAGTGTCGTCGAGCGGAGACTCTAACCTTTGCTCTTACCTGACATTCCTCTTCGGTAACCTCCTGCGGCAGTCTCGGGGCCAAGATACCGATGGACCTCTCCAACTAGCCCGCCCGCCCAGATCGAGATTGTCTCCTGGTGCACAACCGCAAACGTAACAACACACCTGCAGGTATAATCCATCCCGCGAGGACTCTCCTTTGCCCCGTTCAGCTTTACCTCGGGTGGCCGGCGGGAAGCGTCTTCCATCCGCACCTAGGCAAGGCACGACCTCGAAGTCCCTCGATCACTCAATATCCATCTCCACCTCCTGTTCTTCCGCTTGCTGTCCTTTCCCTTTCCCCTTGCTACTTTTATCCCCAGCCTTCTCGACCTTCCCGCTCTCGTCGACATCTACGTCTCCCACAGCCATTAGCATCAGCCTTAGCTTACCCTCTTAACTCACCGGGCAGCCATTGAATTGATTGAACGACAGACGCAACAACGACACGCGGGGGGGGGGGGGGGGAGAGAGAGAGAGAGAGAGAAAACCCACCCTTCATCACCACCTCCCCCTCGGCCAGCTCAGCCTCCATCTTCCGCTTAAGCGCGTATCCCATCTTGCGCTCGAGTTTGCGCTGTCTCTTAGCACTGACAGGCTTCCTCGGTCCACTGGTGGGGAGCAAGCCCGGACGGGCGCCGCGGCGCATGTCCCCCTTGGCAATTACTTTCTTGAGCTGGCCGGCCGCGGCAGCCTTTTGGCGTTGTTTGCGTTGCTTTGCTGCGCGGGCGGCGAGGCGGTTTTTGGACGGGGCGTTTGGGTTCTTTACTGAGGGCATCTTTTTCTTTCGTTCGGTTGTTTGAATTTGCCTTGTTCACAACTTTGGTCTATGTAGCGGTCCGGCTTGGTTCGCCCTTCGCTTGGCTTGTCGAGAGGCTGGTGATGCTGGCCTGCAGGTGTACGAAGGTATTGTACATACAGTTCAGGGGAGAGTCTGGACTCTGAACCAGAATTGGTGAGCTTTTTGAGGTGGGGCAAATAGGAGGATCGGGATGGCGGTTGGTGGGGCTGACATGGCGACAGCGAAGTGACCTCTGTCCTAAGACTGTATAACACCCCGAACTCTCCATATATACACTCACGAAACTAGTAATATTTGGAAGTATTGCCTACCCAACCGGCTCAAGACAAGAATCCTACATGGCGCCCAATGCCTCCCAGGAAACACACCAACAACCCCAAAATCTGCCATCCCCGCACGGCGACTCAGATCAAGATCGAAACAGCCGTGAGCCCAGGATCCAAGACCATATACGGTATGCTCCCCTTATCCATAGCTCTACTGTTGTAATAGAACGTCTTCTGCAGCGCCTGCAAGTCCTCATACAATTTCTTACTAGCATCCCTCACCACCTGCTCCGAGGGCTTGTGCTTGTGCTTAAACACATTCCACTGACTAGCAGCATAATTTATCAAGCTCCGGTCCGAGTCCACCTTGAAGCTCAACAGCCACGGCACCTGTGCAGCCAAGAGCCACTGCCGCTGCCTGTTAACCGGCAGCGATGCCACCAGGTCGGCCTCTTTGTAGGCTCTCAGTTCCTCCAGCGTTTTGGGCGGCTCCCGACTCAGCGACGGCGGCTTGGCAATGACAAACATGTGGTAAAAGTTCTGCAGGTAGTTGACGGCGCTGTGGAAGGGCGAGGCGATGTGGATGCACATAGTGACGGCGTCGACAAGCGCGTCCAACGTCTTGAGTGTCGGGAAGGACGGCATGAACGCTGCCGTCTGCACCTCCCTCGCCCAGTCTTGGATGTACTTGTCGGCGGCAACGCTCTCGTCAGATGGGAAGGCTCGCTGCAGCATTGTCTTGACGTACGCTCTGAGCGTGGTCCACAGCGCAAGGACATTCTTGGCGTACGGGTAGTTCTTGTACCGCGCGTGCTGCAAGCCTTCCTGCGTGTCGGGAAACCCGCGGCGCCGGAGGTCATTGGGCACGTAGCTCCCCACAAAATCGTATTTATCGTAGGCGTCACGCAGAAAGCTATAGCATTGGTCCGGGCTGATGCCGACAAGGTCCACGATAACTTGTGGAACAAGAGTGGCGCGCGCGGCGGCATTGAGCGACAGCGTCTTGTACCAATGCGGCGAGAGCAACCTGTACACGGGGTGCTCCATCGGAATGGTGCGGTTCGTCGCCACAATGATGGCCTCCTCGACGAGGTGTGAGAGGGTGAGATGCACGGCCAGTTCATGTCTCATCCAGTCCGTCACCTGGGCACATGTCTTGGCGTATCGCCACGGCCAGTCTTCCTTCTCGCTGTGGACGGAGTCATTGGGCGTCATGCGCTTGTTGAAGATGGTAACCGACTTGTCCATGGACCCCTTGTAGTCAATGCAGATGGCAATTGGGTGCAGCTTGCCATCTTCGTGCAGTTGGAACAGGCTCACCGAACCAACAGCCCAATTGTGGCTGCTGCCCGGTTGCTGGTGGTTGAGGATGGCCTCGGGGTTGGACACGCCGATAGCCGTTCGGAAGTAGCTGCCATCTTGCACGAAGAGGGACTTGGGGTCGGCTCTGGAAAGCGCGGCGACCCATTTGTCATATTTACCAGCTTTCGCCGCCTTGGAGAACTCAGAGATCCAGGCCGGCGTGGCCTGGGTGATCGTGGTCGGGTTGGTACCTGTGAACTGCTGGTCCGCAAAACGGCGATCGCCGTACCAGTCGTCAAGAAGGCCAATGTTACCGCCGCCCGTGATATCACTGCCAAACTTGCGGTGGTACTTGTTGTAGTCGACGACATCCTGAATTTTGAAACCCTTCTCAGGGTCGCCACCAAAAGCTCCTGCGCGCGCCTTTTCAAGCAGCCACTCTTTCGTGCGCCCGATGATTCCTTCCTCGGTAGGAGTGATCTTCTGAAGAATCACCTGTGTCTCAACAAGGCCAATGGCATCAAATATGCCGAACGGGCTGAGAGCGTGATCCGGTGGAATGTGTCTAAGATGGGGCGGATAGTTGGCCCACGTGCCGTCAGCGTTCTTTGGATATGCTGAGAATTGATAGAGCTTCTTCTGCTCTTCAAGGCCGATGTATCTGGGCAATGTCGGCTCAATGCCTAGGACATTAAGTAGAGAGGCAAATCTGATAAGGATTATGAGCAACATGGAATTACCAACCAGGGTGCATTGAGCAACTGGAGCGGAAGCTCGAGGACGCCCAGTCAGACTTACGTTTGCTCGATCCGAGAGTAGGCCTCAGTCAGGGCAACCTGGGTGCCCATGTAGGTACCCTCAACGATGTTTCCTTCCGGCTCCAGGGCAAGAGAAGGACTCCTGGGGTCAATGATCGAGTACAACTTCAGTTTGAGCAGCTCGTTGTCGAAGACGCCGGGGTCAAAAGACGGCAACGGAGCATCTGCGACAGACCTGGGTGCGATGCTGTCAAAGTATTCCCTCTCGGATGGATGGGTGAGGATGGAACGCTGACTGGGGCGTTCGGCAACCACCTTTGCTGGAGGAGTAGGGAGCTTAGGGTCGAGGATTTTCGCTCGAGGTCCACTGCCGTCTAGGAACCTGTGCAGGACGCTCTGAACCCAGACCAGTGTCTGGCCTGGCAGTGACATTGGGTTTCGTGGTCTGCTGGACATGGTGAAATGATTCACCAAGACCAAATCACAAGTTCGGGGCAACACGCCGACCCAAGATCCCCAAAAGTAGCGGCGGCACCAGCGGCGGGGACCCTGCATTTGAAGAACTCCGGGAACGCAGGCTCGGCGCCCGGTAGCGGACAATACGCAACAACCATGGCGTCGTGAGCCCTATTGCGGTGTGTGGTACTCGCTCAAAGTGGTATTTGCGCCTGCTGGCGTGGCCGAAATGATAGCTAGAAGCGAAAACGCAAAGACAACCCTGGCGAATGAACAGTAGGCTTCGGAACGCATCCTGAGCCACTTACTCGGGTCCTGTGCCCACAACCACTCAGATCCAAGTGTTGAGTCCTCTGCTTGCGTGCCAGAAGGAGGAGACCCTGACACTTGATTTGCTGAGGAACAGAGAAAAGGCCAGTCAGGCCCCGCCGGGCCGAGGCCCCCACACAAAGTCCTCGCTAAATCCCATGGCGCCGGAGGAGGCTGCATGCGGCTACGAATAGCCCTCCGACAGCCGACTGATGGTCCCATGTAAGTCACCGAGCTGTGTTCAGGAATCAGGATTCCAGCTGTCCTTTGAGAGCGCCTCTCGCCAGCTACAGGTATGCAGGCGAAGCCACGGCTGCCGCATGGTAAGGGACTGTATGTTCGCAGCCATCCGTGTCGAAAGATAAAGGATCTGTGGCCTGGGCTCTCAGAGATCGGGGTGGATCGCATTGAGTGAGGCTGTAGACAGATGCGGATGAAGCGTGAGAGCGGATGCATACCCGACGTCGAGCGACGGCCGATTGGCCCATGAAACGCGATATTGGCATGTCTCGTGGCACTTGAAGAAGGAGGGGTCCTCATGCAGGGCGAGATGGGGGCGGTACAATTCTGGGAAGACGACTTCGCATAATCTGAGATTCTTGAGGCGTCTGATGGGCCCCAGGTACAGTTCGCGCAGTTCTGCGGGCGTGAGGCTGGTGCCGGGCCAGGGGAGGCCAGGAATGAAGAGGGCAATGCGCAGGTGAGAAAGTGCTGGCATCTCGGCGAGAGCATCCCACAAGGCCTCGTAGCTCACACGCCCCCAAATATGCGGTATTGCGGTAGCCTTGTTTCTGTCGTAGACTCCCACATCCCACTGGATCTCCAGAGCCCGAACGAGGTGCCAGTGGTTGGGTATCTTGACCTGGAGGCTGCGGATGTCATCAACGGGCAACCTCATGTTCCCCGTGTTGACGATGAAGAAGACATTGCTCTGGTATAGCACGGGAATTCCCTCGACAAGCCTGGCACCTCTTGTTTTAGTCGGACTGGCCCAGAAAGCAGCGAGCATGGCCAACCAGGACTTACGCTTGGCGGCAGGTGAATAGCAACGAGATGTCAAGCACGCGGCGGCGGCTGACGGACAGACAGTAGTGCTGGTTTTTATTGATGACACGGTCGAACGGGACAGAAGCACGCTCCTCCTCGCAGATGCCGTGACGCCATCGTCTTCGATTGCCCACCTTGTCGTTGCGGATGGGATGCGTCATGAACCCGAGATGCACTCTACGGCCACCAAATAACTCGGTGTAGATCAGGGTGCGCAGCTCGGCAGGCAGTTTGCTAAACAAGGGCGATTCAGTTCGGGCCGTAGATCGGTCAGAGTCATCGTGATCGTGGTTTTGAGCCTTGTCCGGGGACGTGATAACGTTGGGCTCATCGCTTGCCCTGCGCTGGCCATACTCGTTGCCGATGTGTGACATGTATGTGAGGTGAGAGCAACACAGGACAGCGAAAGATGTCGTAGGTATACCCAGTAGTCATCTGGCATGGTTGACGGTTGAGTGGAAAGATCATGTTGATTTCAACGTGAAAATGTATGTAATGTAAAGTACCATTTGTGTCGGGTACTAGGCGAAGTGCAGAAGTGCCCAAGGTACCTAGGAGTTAGGGACTTGTTAGCTAAACACTCGTACTATTTTAGTTGAGCACATAACTAAAGCTAGCGCCTCAGGCACTATACCCTTAGCAGGACAGCTGCGTTATAGCGCTGTGATCTGTGTAATTATTCCGTAATTCAACGTTACTTGACTTAGCGCCAGGTTCCCCGCTCGCAACTGCCGGGCCGGTTTCTCTCCTGAACGGTTCTCCTCACCGTCCATGCATGGGTCTTATCCCCATCGCGATTGTTGATCCATTGCGAGATCTGCAACCGTGGGAAGCACAGCCCATCGCTCACTTTAAATGGAATGCGGCTGCTCACAAGTTGAATGGATGATGCACTGCGACGAAGTTCTGGCTGTCTGTCGATGCTACTCACAGCGACACACTTACCGGCCATGGCCCTTTGACCCTTTCGGACAGGGTACAGCAAACGCGCCATGATGGAACCATGGGAACCCCTCTCTACTAGACCGAGGCTCGGTCCAAGATCTCCACGCTTACCATACGTCTGATGACGTCTGGGCACGTTTAAATTGTGTCCCGCCGCTCGGCCAGATGCTTGTCCATGGATGCTCAATTTGTCGTCGGTCGTGAATTGGCCTGAAGCCTCAGCCGAACTCTGCCTGAATCGCCATGGGGCCGCCATTGAAATCGTTGTCCCTCCTTGGGGTACTTATTGCATATGCTGTCTACACATTGGGCCCCCTGGTACACCGGGCGGTGACCACTCTGGGCGTCCTACGGCGGTATCCTGATGGCGCTTCTGTGAAGGGCGAAATCATCGCCATCCCCGACACGGTCCACTGCGAGGACCTCCACTACTATGCCCCAAGTGGCACACTCTTCACTGCTTGTGAGGACAATGCCGATACGCGGTTCAAGTGGTTCCCTGGACTGGCCAACTTCGATGATCCCGAGCTCGCCAGCAAGAGCAGAGGCTCCATTCATGTCATTGACCCCAAGGTCAGTACATACATTCAGGGAGAGATCTTAGCTGCACCAGGACCATTATTGACTGCCGTCCCAGACTATGCAATCGCACCGGCTGAGGTTCGAGAATTTTGAGGGTCCCTTCATCACCCACGGAATCGATGTCATTCCAGATAGCGCATCTACAGATGGTCAGGCCGTCTACATCTTTGCCATTAACCACGTTCCCGAGACGGCGCCGTCCGGGGTTAAGAGTCCAAAGGCACGATCCCAGCTCGAGCTTTTCCACCATGTCGTCGGCTCCCCTACCATCCAACACGTCCGCTCAATCTGGCATCCTTTGATACGGACGCCCAACGACATCTTCGCCGAGAGCCCAACCTCGCTTTATGTATCCAACGATCATCGCCACCCCTACGCAGGCTTGATGCGCGCTATTGAAGACCTCTACTTTGGTGCCAAGTGGACAAACATTGTGCATATCCAACTTGACTCGTTAGCCGCAGCAGATGCCGCTTCTGACCTGGCTGCCAGAGTTGTCCTGAGCGGCCTGCACAACGCCAATGGTCTTGGCCACGGCCGGTCAGAGCGGGAGATACTCATCTCGAGTTGTACCAGCGGTGTCCTCCATGTTGGCCAACTCCCGGATGACCTGGAAACTGGTAACATCACAATAGTCGAATCGATGGAGATCGACTCTGTTGCGGATAACCCAAGCTACTTCGCCGATCCTTACGCTCTCACTCCTGTGGATGACCGGAGTGGCTTTCTCGAGGCCGGCTTATCGAGAGGCATCGACCTTGCACGCACCCACCGAGATCCGACCGCCAAAGACCCCGTCATGGTCACCTATCTGAGGCCTTCGCTGGGGCGCTGGGAGAAGCGAATTCTATTCGAGGACGATGGCACTATCCTCAGGAGTATCAGCTCAGCCGTTCTTGTGCCAATCGACCCGGTAGACGAACTGAACAAGGGCGGCGTCCCAGGCGCAAGGAAGGCGTGGCTATTTGCCACGGGTTTCCTATCCAAGAATATGATTGCGCTAAAAGTCGACCTGTGAAGTTCGGACCAACCGCAACCACCCCGTTTTCCTATTTGCCTGCCCAAGATCTTGGCTCATAATACGCAAATCATTTCTGCAACATTGCCAGCTTCTTCATTTCTCCCCCATACCATTGCTGAGGCGTGTCAGTCAGTCATACCCCACTAGCAATGCATTTCGGGGCGGCAACATACCGATTCCATGCCTGCGCCGACGATTTGAATCCCGAGCATGGCCAAGAGTGAATGCGTGCCGTGATTCTTTCTGTACAGCGTGGCGTTCTGGTCCTTCAGTTCCGAGTTGAAGACGATGTTGTTGGGGAGCGAAGGATTGAGTACAGCCGGCCGGGCTAGGCCGACCAAATCACAGCCGCCATCGGCGACGGCTTTCTCCATGCCAACTCGAGTACTGAACCCGCCGGTGACCATGAGTGGGACGTCCGGGAACTCTTTCCGGATAACCTGCGCAAACTCGAGGAAAAAGGCCTCCCTGGCTTTTGTCCGGTCCGATTTCTGCTCCGGTGCCGCCGGCCCGCTGGGCCCCCGATACATCTGCCATGCGCGCATCAGCCGATGACTCCATACTCCCCAGACGCAAGACAAACACAAAACAAAACAATGCTTACCTGCGGATCCTCATAACTCCCCCCGCTGACCTCGATGAAATCCACTCCAGCCTCAATGACCATTCTCACCTGCTCCAGAAACTCACCCACGTCCTCCTTCTGATGATCGACACTATTCAGCTTGATACCCACACAGAAACCCTCATAACTCTTAGTCGCCTCCCTGACAGCCTTGATAACCTCGACAACAAACCGTGCTCTGCGAGCGGGACTTCCCCCATAGTCATCCGTCCGCCGATTCGACGACGCGCTCAAAAACTGCGAGATCAAGTACCCATGCGCACCGTGCAGCTCGATACCATCAAACCCAGCCTCGGCCACGATGCGCGCGGCCCGGGCGAACTGGCCCTTGACAGTCACAATGTCTTCCGCCGTCATCTCCCTCGGCGTGGGGAAGGCCAGCAGCTGCAGCAGGTGGGCCAACCACCCCTGTCCGACCACCAGCGGGATGGCCGAGGGCGCCATGGGCGGCGTGAACAGCCCCCGCAGGCTGGCACCCCGCGGGGATTGCCGGCCCGCGTGGTTGATCTGCACAATGGTCGGGGTGCGCTTACCGGTGCCCGTATCGTCGTCGGAGGGGCTGCTGCGAGCTTTGAGCGCTCGGCAGGCGCGCGCTAGAGCGGCAAACGCCGGAATGAGCGTGGAATCGGGGGTGGAGGTGGATACGGCTGGCTCCCCTGCTAGGGCGACGTTGTTGGCGTCTACTTCAAGGGAACCTGGTGCTCATGCATAACAAAGGGGCACTAGTAAGCTCAAGGTCTGGGTGGTGGAGGTATGGTAGATGCATACCAGTGATGACCAAGCCCCAGCCGCCGTCGGCCCAGTGCTTGTACAGATTCAGCAAGGCCGGGGTAGGGTGCCTTTTCCTGTCAGCCAGGCCTTCGGTCATGGAGGCCTTGACCAGCCGGTTGGGGAGTGTGAGGCCGCATTTCAGCGTCAGGGGCTGGGCGATGTGCAGGTCGGATTTTGATTGCGGCGTCATTTCAAGTTGAAGTCACGGTTGTTAGAGCAACCTCGGCGAGATGTAAGTAAAGATCGCGTGGGATTTGATGTGGTTTTTGCGCCTGTGTGGAAGAACTGGCGTGGACTGAAGCTGATTTCCTCCGCTTGCCGGCCGTTGACTCGTTGAGGCAGGACACAGCATTCAGCGGCAAGTGATGTGATGAGACAAGATCAACGACGGCAATGTCGATGTTTATAGGTGCATCAAACCCCTGATGGGAATCGTGGGATCCTACGGAGTACACTAGTCTAGCCATATCAGGACAATAATCAGTCGGGTGCATATCGTGGGTACTCTGAACCAACGTTAATTCCGGAACTGCCGAGGCTCTTGAAGTCGCCAACAAAACGTCCAGGATCTTGATCAGCACAACACCAACGCTGACCAACACCCCAGGCCAAGGGCCTTGGCTCTGGCAACCGTTCCTGTGAGATGAATGGGATGGCATCCTTCTTCTAGAAGGATTGCTTGGCATCCTAGGAGTGTTACGGCAAGTGAGGGCGTGATGGAGACGCCGTGTCGGGTGGCAGTAGGTAACGGCGGCTCGACATTGTGTTCGACTACCTACACCGCGCAGGCGATGATAAACTAACAGTAGGCGCCGGCATCACTAGGAGTGCTGCCGCTACTGGGGGTGGTGGGTCAGATGCGATTTTGAAGCTCCTGACGAGTACGTTGAGTTCTAGGTCAACGACCTACATACTCCGTACTGTACATACATACATACATACACCCACAGAAGACCAATGCAGCCTTTCTGGGGAGAGTGATAGGTAATCACTAATCACTTCTAACGTGCTGATCGTGATCCTTCAGGTCCAACAACGCCTGGCCCTGATGCTACGTCTGGCCGGAGGTAGCTTCCAGATCCGCGGAGTTAACGAGTCAAACGAATCAGCAGCATTCTGTCACGCTTGGTATATTGCCGGCTAGGTAACCCTATATCTGAGAATGGCTAAGGTATGCGATCAATGCTCTAGTCTGACGCTTCGTAGCAATCATGTTAGCATCTTTAGGTAGGTTGGTGGTGTCGAAGTATGTCCGAGTGGAATTACTGGATGGGACCGTTAATAACTCCGTTGATTCTTTAGCTTCACCGGCCCTGGCTAGGCAGTCATGGAGTCTTGGTGAGGGGGCCGCATAGTGGGGCAGTCATTGGACTTTCACAACCCTGGAACAGCGTCATCCTGGATTCGCCCAGACATCTCACCTTTCCCATACCACACCATGGCATTTGAGTCAGACTGGAACAAGACGATTGAGGGCGAAATCCAAGCCCATAGGGACAAGATCTTGTCACTCAACCACCAGATCCACAGCAACCCCGAATTGGCATACGAGGAATTCAAGGCCCACGACGCTTTCGTTTCCACCCTCCAGTCCCTCGGTTTCGACGTAACACCCCACGCCCACGGCCTCCAAACCGCCTTCTCAGCCGAGGTCGGCTCCGGCGGCCGCCTGCTCATCTTCAACGCCGAGTACGACGCGCTCCCCGGCATCGGCCATGCCTGCGGACACAACCTGATCGCATCCTCCTCCTTCGCCGCCTTCCTCGGCGTAGCCGCCGCCCTCAAAGCCTCGGGTCTACCAGGCCGCGTCCGGCTGCTGGGCACACCAGCCGAGGAAGGCGGCGGAGGCAAACTCCACCTCATCCAGGCAGGCGCCTACCGGAACGCCTCCGCCAGCATGATGGTGCACCCCGGTCCCGGCCACACCCTCCACCAACCAGCAGTACGGGGTGTGGCGTACGTGCGGATGCTGGCCAACGTGAAAGTGCGCGTGCACTTCACAGGCCGCGAGGCCCACGCGGCCATCGCCCCCTGGGACGGGGTCAACGCGCTCGACGCCGTGTGTCTTTCCTACAACGCCATCAGCATGCTGCGCCAGCAGATCCGCCCCTACGAGCGCATCCACGGCGTGTTTCCCTCGGCGGGTCACCGTCCCAACGTCACCCCCGCCAGCTGCTGCGTCGAGTACTATGTGCGCAGCGCCACGCGGGCTGGGGCAGAGGCGTTGTGGAAGCGGGTGTTGAAGTGCTTTGAGGGTGCGGCGGTTGCGACGGGGTGTGAGATGCGCGTCGAGCCGCTCAATTCGTACGCTGATGTAAGGCCGAGTAGGTTGCTGTGTGAGGAGTATGTAAGGGCTATGCCGGAGGGGACTATGGCGTTTGATGAGCCGGCGGATTTTCTCGCGGGGAGTACGGATATGGGCGATGTCTGTTATGAGTGCCCGGGGTTTCATGGCGCGTTTGGTATTCCTACCAAGGAGGGCGAGGCCAACCACACCAAGGGCTTCGCTGCGGCGGCGGGGACGCAAGAGGCGTTTGAGCTGGCGATGGAATGCGCAAAGGGCATGGCGCTGGTGGGGTGGCGGGTCTTGACGGATGATGACTTTGCAGAGCGGGTGCGCAAGGAGTGGGAGGAGGACATGAAGCTTGCTGCGGAAGGGAAATGAGAGAACTATGGTGAGTCTGCCTTGGAAATCCCAGGGCGGTATGGGGCGCAAGACTCCATACAAGTGAAGACAGACCATCGACATGCAAGTACCCGGTAAGGGAACGAGCTTCAATTATTGGCAGAGCGCTGTCTTGCATGCCGGCACTCCTCGTCGAACCGCCGTGGGTGAGTGGCCTTGAAAAGCCACCTGGAACATGCTCACAGTTAGATTGTTTGTATTGCACAAAACCTCGATCTCGTCGATATACTTTGTTGGCGTGCTGTCCTCGATGCATACCAGGGGCAACGCACAAGGGTAGCTGAGGTAAACAAGCCCAACAAGGAGGACTGGCGTGCCCTCAGGGCTTTACTCGTTTGGCAAACAATCTGTGGAAGTTTATTTTGTTCTATGCCTCACCCTTTCGCCCCTGACGACCCTACTACTACTGTTAAGAACAGAGACATTATATCCCCACTTTTCCTACTGGTTGACGGTATGGTCCAATCAGCTGGCGGAAAATCCAGGTTGCAATGGATGCGGTCCGAACCGGCCCGTCAGTTTCGGGTGGCACGGGAACTACGCGGGCGGCTTTGATCTCTTTGATGCATCGCACCATCCCAACTTCCGAAAGGACCGGACCGAGACTCGAGATCCTTCAACTTCCACTCGTTCCCGCGGCAGCACTGCAACCGCGGCCCGCGGCAGACATTCAACGGCGCTTTAATACACCAGTTCCAATCCGCAAACAGCTTGCGATCAGACCTATCCTTACAGTGCCTTGGCCTCGTCGACCTCTTCGAGACCACCCATTGACGACTGAACCGCCGCCACCATGACCATCCGCTCGTTGGGCAGGGCCGACAGTGCCTCGTCCCTGCCGCGGCTCCGCCTTCCGATCTCCCGCATGACAGCGACTATGGCTTTGCTAGCGGCAGCATATGTGCCGCTGGTCCAGGGACACGGAGGACACGACGCGGACAAGATCCCGGAAGGGGAAACCGTCTCGCCCGATCCCATTGTACGCCTGTTTGGCTGCGACATGCTCGTCGGAGAAGCACGCTGACGGATTCTTCAAGGACACGACGCTGTGGATACACATTTTCGTCCAGATGCTCGCCTTTGGCGTGCTCTTCCCCTTGGGCATGGTTCTTGGGGTGAGTGCTCAGTGTGTTTCCCAGGGACTGAGATGGGGGGCTGACAAGCTTTGCGTGTCTAGATCATCAAAAACAGATGGCACGTCCCGCTACAAATTCTTAGCACAGCTCTTGCCCTCCTAGGTTACGCCCTCGGCCACTTGCACCGCGGCAGGCAGTTCAATCCGAAGAACGTCCACGCCAAGGCCGCCACGCCCCTATTCTTTCTCATGGTGGCTCAAGTCGTACTGGGTATCTATCTGAAGTTACACCTCGAAACGGGAATTCACGCGCGCATTCGCCCGGTCCTTCGCATCGCACATAGCATCAATGGCAAAGCCTTCCCTGTATACGCATGGGTACAGATGGTCTTTGGCGGCATCACGGCGCTGGGTTTCTGCCAGGGTGATCATCTTGGGCAGTGCGCGGCGCACTTTATCATGGGAGGCGCCTTCATCGCCTATGGTGTCCTCTTAACCATCCTCTTGCTAGTCGGGCAACTGTGGCTCCGCCGGACAGGCCGCAGTCAAGAATTCTTCGACAGCGCCGTCATTGCCGCCTGGGGCTGCGTCAACACCTTCACCGAGCACCGCTGGGGCACCGCCTGGGTCAAGAACGACTGGCAGCATACTACCATGGGCATTGTCTGGTGGAGCGCCGGGCTCGTCGGTGTGTGGCTCAGCAGAGGCAAAGACGGCAGCCCCAAACGCAACTTCGTCCCTGCCTTTGTGATACTCCTGACTGGTTGGGCCATGTCGGCGCATCCGCAGGAACTGATGATCAGCGCCATGACACACAAGATGTTCGGCTACACCCTTATGGCCGTTGGCGTCACTCGCATCATTGAGATTTCGTTTATCCTCCGGGATAAGCCCGGCCTCTCGGCGAACGGCACCCAGATCGCCGGCTTCCAATACATTCCTGTCTTCGTAAGTCACTTCTCGGTCAATGTTTCTCTCCACCAGGGTATTAACCATGACGCCAGCTTCTGTACGCATCAGGCTTTCTCTTCATGGGCGCGAACGAGGAACAAATGTCATTCATCGCCGGCGCCGGCATGGACCATGTCGCGTACATCCTGATCCTCTACAGTCTAGCCTTCCTGCTCTTCCTCTTCGTCATGGTCCTCATCCACATCTACGACCGTGCTGCAAACCCACCAACAAAACCTACCGTGAACGGGCACGTGCTCCGCGGAGGAGGTGGTGATGAAGCGCAGCTCCGCGACGCCAACGAGTTTGAGCTCGACGGCCTGATGACCGACGACGAGGATGAGGAGCATGCGGCGCGGCAAAAGCTGTTGAAGGAGGACGCGGTCGTAGAGGAAGATTCTGGGCCTGGCAGCCCGAGTACAGTGGGGAGGAACAGTGACCGAGTGGCGTAGCCAGGTGGCAGCCAGGAGGGGAGGTTGCATTGTACATATAACTACTGCATTGGGTCAATTTCTGGAGTTTGGGAGCTGATTTGGATCCGCTGTGGGCGTTCTCGTTCAAAGAATAAGGTACTGTTATCATCTGAGTCCAGGGGCAGGGTAAAACCGCAGCCTGCCAGGCCTGGGTAAGTTAGTAATCCAAACACCAATGAATTGCTCGCATGCCTCTCAATCATAGCAGTATCTTCTACCTACGACATCCTGATCCGGCAAATGTCCGAGAACAAGCACGCACTCTGAGGCTTATTGTCTTTCGCCATAAGGATATGGAACCCTGGTTAGGAATAGAGAATATTGATGGGAAACTGGAGCTTTACGGCGGAATACGGGCTTAGCTTGGGGTTGTTTGGAGTTGTGCAACCATATATGGATATAGACTGGATAATATTGAGTCACGTATCCCTCTCATCGCTGCTCGAATGCTGGGTGATGTCTTAAGATGTACTTCCTATCTGGCCACTCACGGTCACCTCCTCACATTGCCCGTCGGAGTCATCGCCCTATTTTGTATACTTCGAGTCTCCTTACAGAGGATCGATTCGAATCAACTCGGTTCAAGTGACCATTTTCTGCGTACCTAAGAATCGCACTGCACCTCTTCACAGCCTGTTTCATCCATCTCCATCTACCAAAAGATGCGTTCCCGTCCAAGATCTAATTCCATAGCGACAATTGATGCTCAGAGTCAATCTTGTTTAAGATGTGAGGTTCATCCCATAGACAATATCGAGCCTGTTTGCTCCAGTCCGTTCGTATGCTCCGGATGATCCCAAGGGAAGCAGCCAGATCCCGTTTCTTTTTCGGTACTGTGAATTGCTAAACCTTCAACTTCACACTCATGAAAGGAGGCTGTCTGCTGGTTACCAGTCGAGCTTCCCAGTCGATCAAGGGCCCTCTGCACCTATCTGCGTTTCTGTAATTGCCGGGCCGTCACTACTGAAACGTTAGGCCGAAGAAAATCGTTCTTGCTTTTGACAGCCTCAGCAATGCCGGCAGACCTCACTTCGGAAGATGTGTCCACTTAAAGATTCCGAGCCCTCGTCCGCCCCCGAGCCCTCGTCATAGCTCGACCGAGCCCTCGTCACAGCTCGACCGAGCCCTCGTCATAGCTCGATAGGGAGGACTCGGTATCCGAATCACCCAACAACAAGTGTGAATCCCTGCAGTGTGGTCTCTGTGACTTTGGATTATCCGCGAGAAGGGCAAAGTCCTCTTGAGACATCAGCAGTCTTGCAGCAGCCATGTGTCCCCCCTGTTTGGCAAGCCAGACTGCATGGGTATGTCCTCCTCCGTAACATGCCATCTCACCTCCCCAACTCAATAACAAATGGAGAATCTCCAGCCGACCATTTTCCGCAGCAGCTTCGATAGCCGTCCTGCCGTCAACAGATCCCCCAGGTTGGTTCACATCAGCGCCATGTTCCAGAAGTTTTCACACAATACTCAAGTAACCCTGATCTGTGGCAAGCTGCAAAGCTGTCCAGCCTCGCCTCCCTCTCGAAGAACCTCCTCCCCGGGCATTAGGGTCAGCTCCATTTTCCAGCAACAAGTCGACCATTTCTTCACGGCCAAGGGATGCAGCTAACTGGAGTGCCGTATACTCGCCGTGCCAGCTCTCATCTCCGCGGTCGACCCTGGCTCCTAACTTGATAAGCCTCTTGGCTAGAAAAACCTTGCCTGATTTGACTGCGGCAGACAGAGGCGAAATTATTGACCCGGAATCCCGGTATCCAAGCGGGCTATATCCCCAATATGACTCTTCTAGTGATGGGAGAGGTTCCGTTGCTAAAACATAATCCACCACATGGTAATTGCTGTTCAGAATCGCGACGGTGAGAGCAACTCCTACAATCCGCGGACCCCAGTCCACCTTGTCGAGCAGTATCTTGACGATATCTAGAAGCCCTTCTTTTGCTGCGACGATAATCGCCGGAAGGTCGAGTTTGATCCTTCGGGGCCCGTCGAAATTGAAATTGAATCTTGCCGCACTCCGTGGGCGGCAACGATCTGGGGAATCCTTTGTCATTCCGTGTTTCCAAGCGTCCGGTATATGCTGGAGGACAAGGTTGAAGATCTTTTCTATTTTCTCCAGCTTAGTCTGCTTGGCCTTTGGAGTTGACCTGCGTGGTTTCGAACTCTGCGACTCTTTGTGCCGTATCTTGCTGATCGCCTCGACTACCAGCGCGACAGTCCTCTGGCGGACAGGTGCCTTCCGTTGAAGTAAGAACTCAATCAACCCTAGATCCAAATCTTCTTTGATGGCGCATTCGAGTGGCCCGTACTCACTCATGCCAGCATTGGAAAAGTCGATATTATGCGTCAAAATGCAGCGCAGTATAGCTTTGTTTCCGTCAGGGACTTTGATGGCGCTGTTCACGATCTCCGGCGCGTACTGCAGAAGAGCAGGACAAAGAAGCCCAGTTATCGTCATGAAATCCATCATCTCTTGGTTTGGAATAGCGCTCAGCTCCCCCGTCTCAACACCTCCGGCATTGAATATAGACTGGGCTATTGCCACATCGCCACTCTCAATTGCAGCTCCCAGAGCCGTTTTCCTCGAGAGAGCCCAAGTGGGTGCCTGAAAAGGCGCCTTCTCATCGAGAAAGAACCGAACCAACGCGTGGTTCTTAGCAGTGATCGATGTTATCAACGCGTCATCAAGGAGCGCGCCCTTTTGGATCAAAGATTTGCACAGCTCGAAACCGGATTGCGGAATCTCGCAACCCCTGAACTGACTGATGAGAATCCCAAGAAGAGTTTCCTTTTTGTAAACGTTCCAGGGGAGGCGGGGGCGCCCTATCCCGATTGCATCTGCAAGGGCGACGATGGCTTCGTTTTCCACAAGAAAACCGTACGATTTCCATGTGCCCATTGCCGCATGCGACAGTTAAAGGGAGGTAAGGAACAGGCGGCTGGCTCACGTAATGATAGTCTTTTTTGGGAATCTCGCTGAATGTCGGTATGTTGATATTGGCACCACTTTGTAGAAGGAAACCACACATTTCGAAGTTCCCTTCGCGTGCAGCAAGGCCAAGGGGTGTTGTTGCTTGGAGCTCGTTGACATGGCCCGGAAGGAGAGTTGAGTGCGTGAATTCCTGCAACGCATTCACGTTTGCGCCTCGTGCCACCAGGGCTTCTGCCATTTCCAAATCACCCTTCTCAACTGCCAAACCAAGCAGTGTCAGCGTTTGAAATAAACCAGGTAGCCCACCGCAGTTTGCAGCGTCAGGGTCGCCTCCCGCGTCCAATAAACGCAGGCACATCTCCTCATGTCCATCAGCGAGAGCGTGCCACACGGCATCAGAACTGGCGGGAGCTCCCGCCGCAATGAGTATTTCTGCTACCGCCCAGTGTTCTAACCTGATGGCTGAGCCCAACGGCGACTGGTCTGGATTGTCGTGATGTATGGATCGGTGTTTATTCGGCTCGGGCACGGCACCACGTTGGAGAAGCATCCGGACGGCTTGTTGTGATGTTTCCTCATCGTCGATGTCTGCTGCAAGTTGGAGGGGATATTCGCCGTCAAGTGACAACGGGACTGGAACAGGACTCTTAACATCGACTCCAGAGTCCAATACAAACTCCAAGAAGTCTAGCCTGCCTAATCTCAGAGCGCTCGATAGGCACCGGTCCTTGATGGCCGAGATGGCGACATTGGGAGTAGAGAAGAAGGTCTTGCACCGAGCGAGTCCGGCCGTTTTTACAATGTCCCATATATGTAAGACATGCTCATCCGAGTCTCGTTCCCAATCGCGATGTTCCTTATAGGAGCATTTGGCCAGCATATGGTCGTATGTTGAGAGGTTATTCACCAGAAGGTAGAGTTGCACCATGAGACTCTCTTCAGTCTCCGTTGTGGTGCGGCTTCTTACCAACGCCTGAATGATATCGTTGGATTGTCCAGGATACTCTTCTGGCATTAGGCGCCTGAGCGCCTCAGCTGCCCATGGGATGATTTGGTCTCCCTGCGGCATGTTTCGGCAATCAGAGCCTGAAGCAGATATGAGAGCGGTGATAGCGTCTGAGCTTGGCCATGAACCTCCGACACTCGTGATGATGAGAGACGTCGCTGCCGTTGGCGAAGCAGGACGAGACGGAATTGGAGCTGTGGATTTCGGTCAATCCAATATCCAGTACCAAGAGGATGAAGATCACCCACCTTGGAATCCTAATGCGCGAAGAGTCCTCATGAAGCCTAGCCAGGGGCTCCCACCCTCTACACGTTGGTGGATCGGATTAGGAGGGAAGATGAATTCGGGAAGTTTTAGTCGCGTTTGTCGAGAATCTACAACCCGAAACTGTTAATGTACCACCCTCAGAATGTCAGGTAGATGAGCATGTTAAAACTTACCCTTCAACGTCACGATTGCATCCTGTTCTCGGAGCTTGAACCCCTGGTTTTCATATCTGGAAACTTCTCTCCGTACTGTCTCAAGAGGCTCGTTCGCTGCCTTTTGCTGCAACAACTCCCGAATTTTCGAGCTCATGATCTTTTGGATGCGCCATCGTCTTATTCTTTTCTCGTATGACTCCTTGCTAAAACATCGTAAGCCACTCTAACCGCTGCTACGGGAGTGAATGTAAAAGCTGCAATCACACGCACCTCGCAACGAAACCTCTAGTTGCTCTGATGATGCCAATCACGTCGTCAAGAGCTCGCTTCTCCACAATGTGTAGTCGCTCAATCTCGGCGCGATGCGCCTCCCAATTGGGCTTCTTCATTCTGCCAGTTTGGTTGAAAGGGAAGGTGAAGCACTGAAGACTGAATGTCTGAAGGTGCCGACGTTTGGGTACTCGAGGAATGATCAGGTGTAGGTCTCAAGAGGATCCAGAAGGACAACGCAAGGGTAAAAGGGCTGTAGCATCACTCGGTGAAAAGAAGAGGGAACAGGACCTGCCAGCACCAGATCGTCATGAATCAGATGATTAGGCAGCAACAAGAGTCATCAGCTGTGAGTGCCTGTAGGCTGTCTATAGCTCCTTCTTGAAGTGGTTCCTTCCAAAATCGTCGGTTACTGACTGGCGTTGAGCAGTTGCGCATCAGAATCGGAAGGCTCTCGTCAGAGACCCATAGCCCTTGCTCAACAACCGGCAATTGGCCACTTCCAGAAGCTTTTGACAACCTAGCACCTGATTGAGGCCAGGACCTTGTCTGAATTCTTGTGAATCGGCTCGGAGGGGAAATGTTTTGTTGGACCATTCCTGATGTACAAAAAGAATCAATCACTCACTCCCAATTTTCAACTTTTTGTGCAGTCTTCAGCCCGCTTCTGCGTGGCACAAGTGACTTTCACTTCGAGATGACAGAGCTGAACTTCATACTACAGGTAGACTACCTCTTGATATTGCCTCGGACAGTCTTTCCTTGGGCTGTCTGAGCAGTGTTTATGTCGGCAACCTGCAATTTGGATCAGCATACCCCAGCCGAAGGCGCTTGACACTAGCAGCTTCCCCAAGCAAGGAACTCTTCCAGTCCTTGCAGAAATGTTCTTTTGATATTTCCCATGAACTCTACTTTCAAGAGGCTCCAACATGTCTTTTTTTTTCTTCCTCGTCAAAGCAGGGCGGTCATTTCAACGCGGCAACACCTGGTATTAAGCCCCCTTGTCAAAATATGCAATGCATTGAAAAAGGGGCTAAGGCTTGGCATTCAGGGGCTGACTTGCTGTCCTCCCTGAGGGCTGTGGAGAACATCACAACAAGTCCTCGATCTATTCACAACCGCAACATCGCAATGCAGTACCAGACCACAATTGGCAACAACTCGGAGTAGCGCATACAGTGTATGCAGAGATAATTTGAACCAATCTACTAATCTAATCATGGCATGGCCAATACCAAGAGTGGAACGAGTAGCAAGTGCTGATCACGCTGATGCCCACCTAGTGAAGGATCGAACGATCCACCCAAAGCCAGCGTTGGGAATATTGCACGCTCGAATCGGAAATGCATCGGAAATCGGGTACAATGTGCTGCCTTGTCGCTCCTTCTGCAGCGGTCTAGCGGTATATACCTGTCCTGGGACGCTGGATAAATAGCACCCGAGCTTTGAACCGGCAGCCTGATTAGAATCCGCACCCAGTCTCCATCAGCAAGGGAGTCAAACCCCAGCATTGGAACGAGGAGGAGTACCTGAGAATATTTGCGGCTGGTGGGAGGCTCCCAGTAGTCTCGGGGTCGATTAGCTCCTAGGTAGACAGGTTGCCTTCACGTTGCTACCAGGTAAGATTGCATTGCGACCACTCGCTATTGTCCGCTGTTTTCAGATTACTTTACTCATTCGTGCCACAGTCTCCCAGGAGTGTAAAGATCATACCTATGGTATACCTACATGGCTTCTTGCACCCACAACGAGCGTGAACCGGCCTGTCGGGTAATTCGAGCCGCTCAATATACCCCCATGACGATCTTTGACGTCTTGGCCTCGATATACAACCACCTGTATGCATCATGCCTTCCATGCGTCCGACCAATGTGGACTCTGGCAAGGCAGTCAGCCCCCAGAGCACAAGCGCGATTGCCGCACGATGCGGCTGACAGCGAGGACGATATTGCATACCCCGATATTGCCTCACCTAAAAAGCCGCCATGAAGGAACGGCCCGGGGTTCGGCGGCTCATGGAAGACCAGCCGAAGCGTTTCCCGTGGCATGCGGCGTAGGAATAACTCCGCCGGATTACTCTGCATGTTCGAGATTAAATGGCTGCTGTCATCCGAGTGAACCAAGCCAACTTCAACCGCTCAGCCTCTCGATACCGCGCCGCAGGAGGACGTTTCCGGGCTCAGCAGCCGTCCAAGGACTGATAAGCCCGAATACTGGGGATTTTAATATGGCGATTACCGGCAAAACGCTGCGTGATCCGATTCTAGCGTTCCGCTGACCCATGAATTGATGACGGCAAGAGCAGCAGATTTAAGTATGGCAAGATCGCCATACCACCAAGAATCCAAAATGGCGCCATTACCATCGTCTCTATCATTGTCAGTCTTTACAACCTCTATTGGGGAGTGTGAGAAGGACCTGAAGCTTCTGGAGTTGGTCGCCCCTGCCCCGACATCTCCCAGTGGACTATAACTGTATATTGGTGTGCATTTCCCCAGTATTTCTCTTTCAACTAGAAGTCCGTACGACCTGAACCAAGAGAAGACGCGACCCCGTGGACACCACGGCGGGTTTCCAAAGAGCCGGGCTCATTGCAGTTAAGGCCCCAACGCAGCCGTCTATTCAAGTTAGACCCCATGCTCCCGTTTGCGCCCCTTCTGGCCCTGCTGGGCTTCGCGAGCACCGCTCACTCGTCCGCCCTCGACAAGGCTGAGGACTTGAGTGACTGCCTAACAAAGGCTGCCGTACCCATTAGTGCTCGAGGGTCCAGTGACTGGAAGCTCGATGCGGCGCCATTCAACCTCCGGCTTAACTACACCCCGGTTGCCATAGCCGTGCCGAGGACACCTAAGCATGTGCAGGATGCCGTTGCTTGTGCGAGACAGCTTGGCATAAAAGCAAACGCAAAGTGTGGAGGGCACAGCTATGCATCCTTCGGTCTAGGCGGAGAGGACGGCCACCTGATCATTGAAATGGACCGGATGAATAAAGTGGTTCTTGACAACACCACGGGGATCGCAACAGTTGAGGGTGGTTCACGCCTTGGCCATGTCGCCTGGGAGCTCTACAATCAAGGCAAAAGAGCGTTCAGTCATGGCACTTGTCCAGGGTGAGTGAAGATTCTCACAAATCAATAAAGACTGAACTTGTATGTTGACTTGTTTAGCGTGGGTGTTGGCGGGCATGCACTCCATGGAGGATACGGGGTAAGCTCTCACACAAAGGGTCTAGCTCTGGACTGGATGGTTGGCGCAACTGTGGTCTTGGCCAACTCGACCATCGTGAACTGTTCGGCAACCGAGAACCCAGACCTGTTCTGGGCTTTGCGTGGTGCCGGGGGGTCGATGGGTATTGTCACCGAGTTCCGCTTCAACACCTTCGAGGCTCCGGAGCAGGTGACCTACTTCATCGCGCCGGTGCAATGGCCCACGGAGGCGAGGGCATTCGTGGGCGTACAAGCGGTCCAGGAGTTTGCCCAGTCCATGCCGGCTGAGCTGAACATGCGCCTGTTCATTGCCAGCCGATTCATCAACCTCGAAGGAATGTACTACGGCAACAAGGAAGACCTGCGAGCTGCTCTTGCGCCCCTGCTCAAGAAGACGAACGCCACATTGGCTCTGACGGAGACAGGTGGCTGGCTGGATCAAGTCAAGCATTTCGGGGGCGGTGTCAGCATCGACCAAGGGCACCCCTATGACGAGGTATGCTCAGAACCAAGGCCCCTCTAACGCAGGCATATATTGACAGTCCATCACAGCACGAGACATTCTATTCCACCAGCCTCTACACCAAAGCCCTCAGCGAACCCCAGCTCAAGACCTTCGTCAGCTACTGGTTCCAACACGCCAAGACGAACAAGAGAGACTGGTATGTACAGATCGACCTGCACGGGGGCAACAACTCGGCCGTGAGAGCGGTCAAGTCGGATTCAGCCTCGTATGCACACCGCGACTACTTACTCATGTACCTGTTCTACGATCGTGTCGACAAGAACCGCGTCTACCCGGCTGACGGACACACCTACATGGAGAATTTCGCCCGCAACATCACCGATGGCATGTCCAGGAGCGACTGGGGCATGTACATCAACTACCCGAACTCAAGATTGGATCAGCAAGCGGCTCAGGTTAATTACTGGGGAGGCCACTTGGCTAAGTTGCAGGCGATCAAGAAGGCCGTGGATCCGGATGATATGTTCCATCATCCGCAAGGGATTTTGCCGGCAGATGCATGAGGATCTGGCTTGGGTGTAAGAGATTTAGGTGGCGCAGATCTCTTTCACAGCCCTTAGGTTCCAGAACTTCCAGGTGCCCGTGTATGGAGAAGCTAAGGTAGATAGATATAGACGACTAAACAGTGCTCTAGTTCTGTTCAAAGGTGATGAACCTCAATGGCCGAACAGTTGTCTCGACAACCTCGAATCCATGATATCCCCAGTCCTAGAGTAAAGGCGGTGGCGATGGAATCTTACACGAGTTGATAGCATAACAGCAAGGCCTCGAACACACACGACCGAGGTACCGGTATGGGCACATATTCAAGCCGCGTTTCTTCATTTATGTATAAGGTATGCAGTATCTTGCGATCACAACCATCCGCAACGGAACCTCAACAACCCAGAACAAAATAAGGGGTAATCACCACCGACGCCAACTGATGCAAACCCTCCTCTTCCAACGTCCCAACCCCCAATACAAACAAACCCATAATGCCATCCCCCACCACCTCCCCAAAACCCAACAACCAAAAGTCATGCACTATGTAAACCGCACCTCATCAAACAACCCAGCCCTAACCTGCACCAGACTCGCCAGCTCAAACAAAAAGCTTTGCAGGATAATCACATTGGTCAGCACATGCGACACGGACGCCGTGTGCCCCCGCCCATCTCCCTTCCCTTCCCCATCATCCGCATCCGCATCCCCATCTTCGCCCTGCCCATCCTCAGACGGAGCGAGCAACGCATCCTCCCCACCGCCTTCCTCCGCCTTAGCCTCCTCCTCCTCCTGCTCAGCATCGGGTTCGCCCGTGGCAGTCCGCTGCCGATCAAAGCTCAGCGGGATGGGCTTGACGACCTCCTCCTCCGAGACCTTGGGCTTGGTGATCTTGGGAATCCCCACCCGCCGCGCGAGGATGCTCTGGTCGATGGCCTGAAAGGCCCTGGCCTGGCTGGTGAAGGCGTCTTCCTTGACAACGGTGTGGGTGTGGGTTTCCCACGGAGGCTGCTGCTGCTGCTGGGGTGCGCCGGGAGGATAGGATCTCGCGCCGCCTAGCCCGGGGTTGTTCGGTCCTGGCCCACCACCACCACCACCACGTAACGGCGTGTCAGGGACCGGGCTAGAGGATTGCTCGGAGGCTTGGCCCCGCTTTACCTCCTTGCGGCCTCGCGGACTCCCTGACCGGGAGGGCGTGCCAAGCTCGGAGAGGATGCGCTGCGCAAAGCCTTCCAGTCCAGACGGCCTCTCGCGGGACGCGTTACGCCCCTCGTCGAAGAGAGGCCGTTCCAGGTAAGGAGTGCTGCTCGTGCCGGAAGTCTGCGGAGTGGGGGTTCTAGTCGGGGGGCGTTTGGGAGGGGGGTCGGCGCAATCTGCTATTTGAAAGGCCTCGCGGCGCTGTTGGAGCAGGTCGTCGAAGCGGGGGATGGTTTCTCGGTAGGCTTCTACTTGCCCAGTGAGGGTCTGGAGAATGCTGAGGAGACGAGGTAGGCTCGACTGGATCCACCTCGGGCGGCGGCGAGACTCCAGCATGGATTGCATTTGCTTGTACTCGGTGTACTCCTGCGACTCTGGGTCTAATGGCGGCTCGGGTAAAGGGGGGCCGTCCTCCTCTTCATAGACATAGTTCTGGGGGTTTCTTAGAAACCATCCTTCCAGGTGCATGAATCCGCAGGCAGCGAGATCAAAAACCGCTTCGGTCAGCGAGAGATTCATATCGACGGGGTTGAGAAAAAAGTTCTCGAGGCGATCAAGCACGATGTTCAGTAAGGGATCACTCGGGTGGAGGGTATGGGGCCGGACGTCTCTTGGTGCTCCGGGCAAGCTATCGGGGATGGCGGGCAGTTCCCGATTATTGGTTGACGTTTTCGGCGTGACCAACTTGATGGAACAAGGGTGATTTTCTAGTCGCACCAATGTATCCTTCAAGATATTGTTGTAGATCTCGTCAAAATTGTCCTGCCCGCCAATAGTTCCGGCCAGAGACATGAGATACTCAACCTCCTGTTGATGGGCACCTGAAGTTCGATGGTGGGACTCGGCAAGCACACCTTCTGTATAGAGCAGAGTGATGACCGCGTATCGATGATGCCTCTTGAGAATCACCGATATTAGCTGGAGAGTAACGTAAACAGTCTGGTTATTCTGAGACCTGAGGCATGCTAAAATTAGATCAACCAGGTTGAAGAGCAGCGGATCTGCGGCAGCCTCGCCCTTGGAGGCCATCATTGTTGCTAGGTCTAGCGACTTTCGCTTCCGGGCGGCGCTCACGACGTCCCCAGAACCGGGATTGACAGAACCCACGATGTCGGGCAAGGCGAGCAAGTAGTGTAGAATTAGGTTAACCATATCAGGATGATCTACCGATTCCAATATCCGCCGGAGATATGTTAATACAGCAACGGATGAGCCTCCATCGATATCGGACGACTCGAGGAGAGATGGGTATCTGAGATGTTAGTGGGTGGGCGCCATTCTCGCTGCAGACAAAGAGACGCTTACAATAATTGTTGCAGGAAAATAACCTGGAAATGTTCCAACAAAGTCGACTTGACCTCGACCGACTTGCAGTGGTTCAGGACATCTTGCCAAAACAGGAGGTGGGACAGGAACGTGTCCAGGTGCGACTGGAACTCGAACGAACAGGAGCTGACAATTTCGTAGTTGGACTTGGGGTGTTGGTAGTCGGAAAAGGCCAGGACAGGTGGGAGTTCGTTGGGAGGGTGATCAATAACTAGCTTGCGGCTCAGTTGACTATACAGAGCACCCAAACCAGTCGCCATTAGCGTCGAAAGGTCGCTTTCGACAATCCACTGCTCGAGAAGGACAGAACTTGAGGCGGCTTCGATGATGTAGAGTAGACCAGTCCTCGCAAAATCCCCAATCTTGCCCTCATGGTGGATATAGTCCATAAGGAGGTAGAACAGGGGGAAGTCCTGCTTCTGCGTCCTGCCAGCAAACTTCTCATGGTAGCCCAATTGTTTTGCATTCGAGGGGCCATTCTGCTGGGATTTGAACCATGCCGTCAGGATTTCCGGGTTGAGGCGGATTTTGGTGGTGACATTGAAGGCCAACTCGACGACGCGGGCCTCGGTGTCGTTCCCCAGACGGATGCTATTGGGGCCGGTTATGCGCACCAATAGGTTTGTAAGGCTGGCAGAAAAGTTCTCATTTTCAACAAATGCTTCCTCCTCGCTCTCGATCAGGGTTGCGAAGAAGAGCACGGCCTCCTTGATAATCCACTCATTCAAGGAGCTCGCTGCAATCTTGGCGACGGGGATGTAGACCTGCTTGGCCGCCGAGAAGGCTATGCAAGGGTGCGGAAGCGGGCGGCGAGACTCGTCGCTCAACAAGCTTGTCAGTTCCTGTAGAAGGATCTCGATGCGTTCTGCAGCTTCCACATCGTGAGCTAGGTTGGACGAGTTGCGCCATGTGTGCTGGGCCGGAGTCACCAAGGTCAGCGAGGGAGACGGGGAGATGGAAAACGGACGACGCGCTGAACGTCGCTAGGGAAACCGCATAATGCTCACCAGTAGCTGGCTGTATTCCTTCTCGAACCGATGCAAACGACGAGCGGGATCCTTCGCAAAATCCCGGCGGGAGTTTGCCGAGGAGAGCGGCGTATGTGCTAAGAGTCGCGACCACTGTAGAAACGTTGCAGTGTTAGCAAATGCCCGTAGTCCAGCAGTACAGTAGCGCGCATCATTCATTGGGGCGACTCACAAACTCCATAGCGTCCTTGGATGCATCTCGGGGAATGAGACGAAGCTGTGCAAACGACGTTCTGACCCTTGGGATGCTCTAAGTCGAATGCATGAAATATCTCGTTCCAGATGTCGCGAATTTGTTTAGCCGTTTTGGGTTCTGGAAGGTCGCGTCCAGGCCCGGCTCCGCTGCCGGCCCGGCAGGCCCCTCCCCTTTCCTCGGCCGGCAGCTAAGACCCTGGAACTGAGAGCACGGACGCTGTCAGGGGTGCCATGTCCTGCCGACTGGCTGCGGTTCACTCGAACAATCTTTCCATTTTTTATCCGTACAAGATTCGTTATCCAAAGACGCAACTTCCTCCTTCTTCGCAGGCAGAACATCAATCTCCGACATACCACGATAGTCTGTCATCATGGCTGCTTGCCCGGTGTATCGGCAGGAACTGAATGCGGAACCGCTTGTACCGTTTAGGCTGCAACCTGACTGCGACATGGCTTCTTCAGGGGATTCATCAACCGTGTTCAGATCCATCTTAGTTATTGGTCGCGTCCGGTAAAGTCCCGACTCTGGGTTCGATCTCTGTCAAAGTCAGGTTGCTTTCTTGCGAACGGTCCTATAGCAAATGCACACATTGCTACTTTTCACCTTGCGCCGTCCGGTGCTGTCTTCAGGTAACCGGATCCGAGGGCCCTGCGTCCGGTGAGAACGCGACGGGAGCTTCGCAACCAGTCGTCCGAGAAAAAGCACGTTGAAAAAATGCACGAGGGACTGGACGTCGTATTCCGACAAAGTTTCAAGGCGACGAAGCATAATGTGCATCTTTGGGTTCCATCATGGCCAGATATCGACTCTGGGCGAATAACTTAAGTGCCCTAGGGTGACTGGATGAGCTCCTGCAACCCCGACAGGTTGTCACAGTCCGGGTCTGTCTCCTATCGTGAATTTGCGGAGCCCAAGCCCGATAGCGTTGTCACTCCGACCAATTCCGGCCTGACTGGTCGGGAGTCTGTTTCTCCACGGGCCGTTACTGGACGGCGGCCTGCAGCGGCCCATCTGCAGGCCCCGTTCCGAACGTTAACCAAGAACTGCCTCGGCAACACGCCACTCGCTCTCAGATGCCGAACAACTTCCCCCACACTCTGACTCTGGGGGCAGGGCGGCTATCAGCCTGCAGCGGTACCTCATCGCTCTCATTCGACAAGTGGTCTCATTCGCTGGACCTTTGATACACGGTGGACTTGGCCAGACCTGGATCCATCGAACCGCCAATGCAGGTTTTGATTCGAGGCTGAGCAATTGTGCGTCAGCGAATGAGGTCGCACAGCCGCCTTCCGACCGGGATGTCATGGTCATCTTGGCCGCAGGAAACGGCAAGGCACATGTACCGACGCCTTCGAGCTTCAGACATAAGAGTTCTTTTGGACCCCAGTATTTCCGTCTTCCTGGACAACTCTCTTCTGGATCCCGCTGAAGGCTTTTGGCAAACCAAACAGACTTGATTGACTTCGCCTTCATTGCCCTACCGCAGTTGCACCTGTCTTACACTGGTAGCGTTGCTGAGGAGAATCGCTGAGAGGTTCTGAGGTGTCTCCATTCCATTTCGATGAGAGACCGGACGGTGCTTTCGGCATGGGGTTCTTCGTCAGGACTAAGAAGGTGAAAAAGGAGTCACCGAAGTCCCCGCCCAAAGGGCAAAGGCATACCCCTCCGAAATACCGGCCGGTGCTTCCGCCGCCACCAACCCAGGTCTCGCAGAGTTGGGATCCCTATCGCCAACCGGTACCCTTTCAACCAGCGGGCCTCCTTCCACCGCCCCCCGGATGGACAGCTACACCGCAGCCTCCGACTGCCTATATTCCCCCGGGAACATATCCACCCATCGTGGTAAACCAGCACCATTACTACCTCGGAGGCCCGCCCCCTTCGCAAGCCCCTGAACCGCCGCGCACAGAATTCTCGCCCCCGGGAAAGCTGAATCTTGAACCGGCAGTAAACTGGGCCAAGGAGATATGTCAAGCAACATGCGTCTCGCAGTTGATAAACCAGTCGCGGCCACTGTGGAGTGATTGCGGGAGTCAGCTGGTTGGCCAAGGCAACGCTGTGATGGATCAAGTATCCAACCGCTTTGATCATGTGTTGACCATGATTGACCGGGGTAACTGCGATGGGAAAGAGCAGGACTTGATGGCCTGGGCGCCAATGCAGTCACCCTCGCAATCCGCGCCGCCCGGCGCCTCGGCTAGAGAGAAGGGCTTGCCCAAGGGAAGCCGGAAACCGCACAGTAAAGGCAATCCCAAGGGGCAGACAACCGCAGCAGCAACAGTCGTGTCGGGGAGCATCTTCTCAAGAGTCGATCGCTACGCCAACTCAAGATTGCCTATGGATTTGCCGCCTCTGAAACTGTATGACAGAATGATCGTTTCCCCGCTTTGCCAACGTGCCATTGACCGTTCCTATCAGATACATTTCTACCTATCCACTGCTGTGCCTGGCAGCGCAGTACTCTGAACGTGTCTATGACAAGCCGTCGGGCTCGGAGCGGCATTTCCATGTCGACGCGGACTGGAAGGCCGGCACCAAAGCCATGGTCATCAAGTCCATGCCAATGGACTACATGAACACCATTGTCTTTGCCATTCGTGGAACCGCTAGTTTTATGGATTGGGCCGTGAACCTCAACATGGAGCCCAAGTCTCCCGAGGGATTTTTGGTAACTAGTTCCGTTCCTTTCAACCCAAGTCGAACAGTGACACTAACTCGGGCAGGATGACCCCGGAAACCTCTGCCATGCCGGGTTCCTCTCTGTCGCCCGTAAAATGGTGGCACCCGTGGCCCGCCGCCTGTGCAACCTGCTTGAGGAGGACCCCGGCCGCGCCTCGTACTCGCTGCTCATCACGGGCCACAGTGCTGGCGGTGCAGTTGCATCCCTCCTGTACAGTCACATGCTCGCCAAATCCAAGTCGGCCGAGAGCCAGCTGAATGCGGTGGCCAGCTGCTTCAAGAGGGTGCATTGCATCACCTTTGGCACACCGCCGGTGAGCCTCATGCCCTTGACACCGCCCAGGCCTCCCTCGAAAAATTTGTTCCTCAGCTTCGTCAATGAAGGGGACCCGGTGGCGAGGGCGGACAAGGCGTATGTGAAGAGCCTTCTGGAGCTGTTTGTTGCGCCGGCGCCGCCCGTTCCCGCGGAAAAAGCACAAGTCGGAGGCAACAGCACCAAGAAGCCGCCCAAGGGGGACAAGATGTTTAGCAGGCGCTCGGCGGCGGCTGGAGGCGGCTCGAAAACAAAGAGTGCGGGTCCGGTATGGAAAGTCCCGCCGAACACGTTGAGCTGCGCAGGTCAGATAGTGGTGCTGCGGACGGGTAGTCCGAAGGCACGACTCAGCGGGAAGAAGACAACAGTGGAAGAGCGAATACAAGAAGGCGTGGTAGCGCAGCTGGCGACAGACGAGCAGCTCCGTACCGTCATTTGGGGAGATCCCGTCAGCCATATGATGAAGCTCTATGCTGGGAGGATCGAGACGCTTGCTGTTAACGCCGTCATCGGGCAGGGAGCGTGATTATTGCGACACGATTGGCTTGGAAAGGGGTTCTTTTCTTCTGGGGAATGATGCCATGAAATGATACCAAGGAGTTCAGGGTAATCGTGTCTTTTCTAGGGTTTATGTCGGGCGCATCGTGGCCAATGAGTTGTGCCTTTCAAGGCATCATCGGGCGCTTCTTCCCCAGAGGAACTGGCGGGTTGCAAGTTCGAATCGTTGACGGGAGTTATAACAGCGTAACGAATTCTACGTACGACGATAGCACATATATCTGGGCCAGCATTGATGCAAGATTGCAAACCATTCCCTCAGTATTACCGTCAAGTGGGTGGGAGGATGCCAGGGTCTCTTTCACCGAGAGCAAAGGCCAAATCTCAGCGCTATCACAGAGCAAATTGACCCCTCCAAAGCTACCCCACTACGCGCCATTAACTGCAAGCTCGCCGTCCCAAGTTTCCCAACGTTCGTGGCCCAACGTAGAAGACCGGGAGTTCTCAACAGCTTGAAATATGGATCTCGACCCAAAGATTCGTACGGACATTCCATTTCTCACTGTGCCTCCAGAGTCTAACCACAAGTTATTGTAGCGCAGTACTCGACCGGCGACCCGACCTCCTTCGCCTACCCCACGGCCCGCGAACGCTGGCCCGTCATTATCGTGAGATTGCACCCTCATTCCCCTGTCGCCTCAGCAACCAAGCACAGCTTGCTAAGTCTGGTTTTCTCTTCAGACACAAGCCATTGACGATGCATACCGATCCGTGGCCGCTTGCGACGACGCGGCCAAGCGCGATGAGGGCAAGAAGATTGTGGAGGAGCTCGCCCGACTGAAATACGAGGTGCAACACGACCGGGCCTTGACGTTTGTTCCCTGTTCTTGGCTTTTGGATGCGAGAAACATGCTAAAACCATGAGGGGGCAGTCCGATTCGAGACGATGGATACCCCGACGTCGCCGTCTATAACAGGGAGCTCGAGCAGCTAGGCAATCCCACCTGGCTCAAGGCCCCCTGGCTGTTCACCGAGTGCTATCTCTTCCGGTGTGTTTCCCCCTTTTTACCCTCCCCCTAATCACCGACGTTGGAGTTTGGACTAACCGTCTCCCTGCCCTCCAGCCGCATCAGCACCTCCTTCGCCCTCTCCCAGTACTGGAAAAACTACGACGTCTTCGCCCGGCAAAAGATCAAGACCTTCCGCTCCTCACGGCCCGCCGTGCTCGAACTGGCCGCGCGGTACAAGGAACTAGTCACGCAGATACGATCGACACAGGCGCATGACACCGAAGCGGACAAGCTGCTCTTTGCCGAGATGTTCGAAGTCTGCCTATGGGGCAACGCGACCGACCTTTCGCTCCTAACGAGCCTGACGTACGACGACATCCAGAAGCTGCAGGGGTCCGAGGCGCGCCGCGCCGCCGAGAAGAATATCCTCATCAACGACCTCGACAAGGCCTACGCCCATCTCATTGCCGCCAAGAAAAAGGGACAAGACCGTCGCGTCGACATCGTCCTGGACAACGCCGGCTTCGAGCTCTACGTTGACCTCATTTTGGCAGGATATCTACTCTCCTCCGGCCTGGCCACGACCGTGGTCCTGCACCCCAAGTCGATCCCCTGGTTCGTGTCGGACGTGCTACCGGCGGATTTTGCCTCGCTCTTGAACGCGCTGGCGGATCCCAGGGGGTTCTATGAGACGCCGACCGAGGAGGATCAGTTGCAGGGCGTGACGCCGGAGAAGCTGAGCGAGAAGGAGGTGGAGGAGTTGGGGTTTCTGTTCGCGGAATGGAGTCGGTTCCATGCTGAGGGTATGCTGCTTCTCCGGCCGAACCGGGTGTGGACGGGTCCGGGGAGCTACTGGAGGCTGCCTGCGGAGGCGCCGGAGCTGGTGCAGGATTTGAAAGGGAGTGAGATGGTGGTTTTTAAGGGGGATTTGAATTATAGGAAGCTGACTGGGGATGTGAGTCTGTCTCTTCTTGGGCTGTAGCGTTCTTGGGCTGACTCAACTCGGGTGGGATAGGCGAGCTGGGATCCGACGACACCGTTTACTGAGGCGATTGGGCCGCTTGGTCCGGGATTCGGAATCAATGTTCTGGCGCTGAGGACGTGCAAGGCGGATGTGGTGGTGGGGTTGAAGCCTGGGGAGGACGAGAGGTTGAGGCAAATGGAAGGGGGAGGTGGCGAGTCAGGGGCTCGTAAGTGGGCGTGGAATGGCAAGTGGGCTGTGGTGTCGTTCTCCAGGGGGGTATAAAGGCAACTGTTGCAACAATCAAAAGGCCAGCCACACACAAGACAGCTAGGAGCATGGAGAATGGGCATCATAGAACGCTAAGAAGATTTGACGGTTCACCAAGGGAGCTACCGATACACAACCTAAAGCGACACTTTGAATCTTGCTCGCTTCCCAATAATTCAAACCTCTTGTCATAGTTGAATGCTCCGTGATCGCTCGTGCGTACTACCTAGGAATACGGACAGCAGAGTGGTTCTCGCAGACACACGCTGAGTATACAGGCCAGTGAATGCAGTGATTATCAAGTACTACGCAATCAATAGACAAATACTACCCAAGTACAACAACTCAGAGAAACAGATTCAACGGGAATAGAAGGCCACTGGCAGTCTATAAGATGGCTCCCTGTCATTGACAGGGGTTTTGAGTTCCTGACAAATCGGCAGAGTCTACTTCGTACCGCAGGCCGATAGGCTGGATTGAGTCCGTGTCGTGGATCTGGTCTGTGCCATGCCGTCTCCCTCGGCGGCAGATCTTTGAAGCTTAAGAGCTCGTGCCAAGAGTTTCAATGTGCCTGGATACGGGGGTGGCTGTGGGATGTAAGATCCACGCGCTGGGTCCATGACTACATGTCCAGGATGATATACGTATTCAAGGGCTTCTTGTGCTTCCATTTGATTACTGGTTTCGTTCTCCATACTCCATAGTACTCAGAACCACGAGGCGTCAAGTTTGACTACTCCACCAATGACAACCGGGAGCGCTTTAGGTTGGGGGTACTATACAATCCATACATACCGTGAGTAATACACTGGTACGAGGCCTCATCCGGCCCGTGAGCCATTTGATAGCTTGCGTCCGTCTGATTTGTGAGACATGATGAAGCCCTAGCACTCTTGCACTAGGTATTGTACAAGACTGCCTTCCACCTTGAAGGTTCTGGAACTCAACCTAAGACAGTGGCAGTGCAGACTCCTGCCTCATGAAGAAAGTTCACTTTTCCTGCAATCGGGTTGCATCTCCTCGTTCAGCGGCCGCCGGTCGGTTCCAAATCGTTTCAATGTGTCAAGGTGGTGAATGCGTTAGAAGGCGGCTGTGTTGGTTAGGTTTGAAATTCTTTTGTGCAGCAGACAGCAGACATTGGACCGTTTCGGAACTATGCGACAGCTCCATAGGAAAGTGATAATGCCTCATTCGTCGAGTGCAATCCGTATCTGTATACGTAAGTAACTACTAATCCGTAGTGACAGGTTCAATGGGGATCGGGGCAGGGACCGGCATTCATCAAATTGATTCAATAAGATTCAAATGCCGAGCCAAGACCACGGAGCGGGTCCCGAGGATCATGATTGAAACCGAGGCAAATCCCGGTGGTGCTGAATGGACCCCGAGATGGACCAAGTGGGTGAGTAATTCGGCTATCGGAGTAGGCCAGACCCTGTCGTGGAGCCCAGCGCCGATCTTCAAGGCGTCGATGCGTGTCCATCGCGGCCTGCGTTCGTGGGGGCAGCAGTCTTCTCTGTCTCAGCACTGTGTCACGCTTGTCTCGATCAAGCGTTTACCGTGACGGCTTCGACGCGTACTACGCCCTTGTCCGTAGACCTTGTCCGTAGAAGCGCATGGCTGGTATGGATCCATGGTTGTATCCAGGGTCGTGGAAGCCTTCTAGAATCTTGTCGCCGCTGGAGTCGAACAGTCCACTCTCTGCCAAGATTGGAACCTGAGGGGACACGAGACAAGCTAGTCTTCCCTCATGGCGACGCAGTTGGAGCATCTCGCGTAGGGCCCTATCTTTCTTCTCCGCGCTGGTATTTCCGGGACTCAACTGAAGGTCTGAGCCCAGCGGTTGCAGACTGGAGTGGGAGTGACGCAAGCCTTGAACCGCGACTAAAACCTCAGACCCCGGGCGAGTCTGGGTGACAGATGGGATGAGGGCGCCTACACATAGCGTATTGGGACTCGGTGAGAGTTCATCCCAGCTACAAGATCAATAATCCGCGGTGTTGTCAGCATGGGCCCACGACTTCTGGCATGCTTTTTGCTTCCACGAACCTTCTCGCCGCCTTATCCTGCCGCCAAAGAAGACATAGTTCCCCAGCATTCAACCGTACTTGGACCCATCTGGAAGCCCAAGTCAGCTCGGCAGTTAGAAGTTGACAATCTCAAGGGCGATCCTCACTTGAGTCAATCTTGCCTCTCACCGCGGGCCATTCCCACAGCCTACAACGGATCTCGCCACCAGGTTTCCCGTACGGGGACAGTGAGATAGACTGCCAAGATTGCGGATTCCTGCATAGTGAGCCATCATCCTAGGGCTTCGAAGGTCGGACAACTTTGCCTGACGACTGTCGCTACCAACTCGGGCGTTTAACTCCACGCTCTAGACTCGGGGGATACCCGGCATCAGCAAGCAATTTGAAGGAAATCGAGACAGGAAATCGGGTCGATCAACCGACCCCTCTAACAGTAAGGAGAAGGAAGGAGGCAGCATCCAAAGCGGAGAAAGGAAGATGTGCACATACGAGTACCTCCATCACCGTATGTAAGACCAAACTCATTCTTGTACTTTGTCATCCGGGCTAGGAAATGGAAGTTGAAAGGAGGAAAGCAATGGCCGGGCGACTAACACAATCAACCAGACCATGTCCCTCCCTGTCAACGGCCAATCGACATTGTAGTCCACTACAACTACTGCCCCAACTCAACAACCGACATCGTGACAGGGACTGTCTACCCGTGCGACACGCCACAGTTCGACGAGACGGCCGCACAGCAACAGGTCGACTACAACGACCCTTGCGCTACTGGCGGCTGTCTGGTTTCTCCGGAGTGCTCCTCGGGCGGATGCCGCCTGGCACAGCTGGGCGGCCGGTGGAGATGCTGCCAGTGCGGAGGCAAGGGCAATGAGTACCGCTGGTGTTACCATCGTCAAAAGACCAGCCCGGATACGTTCTGTTACCATGTCTGCTGTGCCGACTGCAGGTCAGACCCGGCTTCGTCATCGTCTTCATCATCCTCGTCAAAGAGGGGGGGATAGAGGGAAAGGAAAATGTGAGATGTGATATTGTTTAGTTCTGGCGCAAAAACCAGGTTGTGTCCGTCGCTTCCTGAAGCAGTGGACGGGCAAAGGAGAGATTGTAATAGGCAAGAATCAGCGATCCAAGATCACGGAGCCTCATCGGGCTGGCCGAGCTGGCGCGGCGCTCCCATCTTGTTTCTGATATACCGTCTACTATTTCCTCGTTAGTCGTTCCCTTATGCGGGGATCACGCTCTGCCTCGGTTCAGGGGCCAACACTATGAGCAGCCTTCTTCCAGAAGACGCGGTCCATCTCACACATGCTTACCTGATCCTCCCCTTCGACTGGTTGCCACAGTAGCGCCTTCAGTCGGGTATCGCCGAGAAGGTTTGATCAGGAAATTCTCAGACCTCAAACGCGTGTCGATGCGCCTGGTATCGAATCCTGGTTTCTTCAGCACTTCTCCTTTCACATCATAACATGACGCCTCAGTTCGGCTAGGGCAACTTGGCAATCGCCATAAAGGTAGTGTTACTGGACATGAGGCAAGCCCAGCATGCAGAGAAGTTTCTAGACGCCTGCATTCCTCTGAATGTGGCCATCGACATGGCTGACCACATGTGACTGAGGTAGATGGCGTACACACCTCGGAAACAGTACAGGAATGCCGGTTTTCTCCTGACATGAGTGGCCAAGTAACCCAGCCGCCTGTACGCCGCACTCCTCGGCAAAGGTGAAGTCGTGCCGCGGAGAGCCGATGTGATGGAGTCCACGCACGGCAGCCATCTCTCCGTCGAGTCTTCGGACCAAGTACATACCTGGGTTTCCTCAACTTTCGGTCTATGTCAGCTCAATTAGAAACTTGTACAGCTCTTCCAATCAAACAGGAGGTAAACTGACGTCGAGAGATATTTAATCTCAGAACTTGATTTCGATCTCCCAATTCCTTCCTGGCGCGCTAAAAATCGCAAGGGGGGATCCCGGCTGGTTTCCACCATTAACGAAGTCAAGAGATAGAGCCAGATCGATACGCGCAATTATTGTCCCCAAAACCGCCCCGAATCGATTTATCGGCATACTGTGTTTTGTCGATCTTTTACCCGCCAGTGCCGCCATGCAGCGCGCTCGTAGGTTGAAGATGGAATGTGGCTCTTTGCCCGCGGGGGCACGACCCCAGCCTCCAGTCCATTCTCTGTGTCCAGTAGGTGCATCTTCAGTGCAGTTCACAATGAGCGTATCTTATGCAGGTACTACGCCTTGTCAGCGCAGTCTGTCATAAAGCATAGCCTGAAGCATACCGAGAACAGTAGTTGCTCCTGGAAATTCGCAGATCCTCTGAGCACTGTTTTATGCACAAGTGTAGGTGCGTGGCGCTGAACCGACTCTAAGGGAAAGGTAAGTGAGAGTAGGATTGGATATTTCGCCATCTCCTACGAAGTATGCATAACAACGTGCCATTCAAATTCCCCAGACCGAAGATGGATGACACAGCGGTGTGAGCGATGACAACAGCACAGGCTATATGATCTCCCATGCAAAGAACACACGCCTGACAATCAACGGCCTTTCTCTGGATTTTCGAGCTCGCGTATGTACGGATGTATATATGGCCGGGTATTGTCGATCTTAAACACTGTGTGGGGGTTAGTGCTATACTTCCCATACAGTATGTATAAGAGCATGTTTGTAGACTAATGTAGGCTGTCGGGGTTCGGGGGAGGCGTTCCTAGTGTCAAAACTCCAGAGCTGTATAGAGAAGCCTCCGAAAACGCAAGGACTTGATTTCAAACATCGTGGAGCCGTAGTCTGGACGAGGGTGAGAGAAGGTAGCGAAGATGGCCTGTTATTCTCGTTACGAAATGCACCACTCGAGAAACCTGGATAGGTAACCATGGGTGCTACGCCTCTTTCCTGAAGCCTCCTGGAGCCTTGAGGTTGCAGGCTCGCTTGCTCACAAAGGAGTGATAGTATGACAGAGGTACAACATCTTGACCGTCCTGTGGAACCAAGCAAGGCGCCCAAGAGGTCGAGCGCATCCCTGATCTCGGGATGCCCGCGCATCCTTGGCCAATGATCCTTTCAGCCGCAGCAGAGACTATAGACGCCCTTGAGCAGCAGCATGTTAGAGTCTGGAACAGTGTTGGCAACAATCATGGCATCGGAAGCGGCCCGTAAGCCGTTGCGGACTCTGCGTTGGTAACTTGGTGAGAGATCTGGTGATAAATAAGGCCAGAGGTCGTTCTGTTGTCTGCTTGCTAGTCATTAGCAAAGTAGGACACACTAATAACCTGCCAGGCAAACGAAACCAGCCTGTGAGCCCGCCTATTAACTGTTCAGAAAATCTTGATAGACAAGATCCTCTTCCTTTTCCAGCAACCAGCCATGTGCCATGGGCATCCACATCACCATTCTTGCGGTCATCAGTCTGTGAACTGGCACTATTGTCCGTCAGCTCTCATCGACTTGAAGACGGGCTATGAGACACCATGTACCAACATCACCTTTGCCGCATCCCAGCCGTCAACCTCCAGCTGCCCTTTAGCAAACTGCGACTTTCACAGTGCTGGGCTTGAGTGGACCTGCTGCAATTGCGGAGGAAGGAACAACAGCGGGTGGTGCAGAAATATGCTGGCCAGCCCCAGATGGGAGAAGAACGCCGTTACGGACGAGTGGGAGTGGATCTTGTCATGCGATCATGGCTGTTGCAGGAAGTGTACCAAAGATGGTGAGTCGGACTGCCCGGATCATGATTTGAGATATATCCATTTTCAAACTCTGACACTTGTCAAGCTCCTGATCACCCGGAGGAGCACAAACGCAAAGATGGCGGGAAGGGCAAACATGTTCTCAAACGCCAGCAGAAGTCAAAACCAGAATCCTCCTCCAGTCAACTCCCGCACGACTTACGGTATCATGCTGGATCACAACGAAGAAGACGAGAGACAACTGCTTAGAAAGGATCGTTGCGTGAGGAAAAGAGAACAGGGAACTCACGGATGAGAAGGTGTTCTGAACCATTGAAGGCAACGCCTAGGGGTGAGGAAGAGGGACGAAGAAAGTTGGAACTGGATGGAGTATGGCTTCCTTCGAGTACCGTTGTTCCTTTTCCACCAGCAACAGTTTCTCTAGCGTTTCTCGAGAATCAAAGTCGACAATTACTCAGGGATCTGTTCCCATGTTCCCATACCCACTGTCTTTGTGACGCTCGACTTAACTTAAGTTGTGCTTTCGCAACAATGTGTGGGGGGAACCGAGTGTCGTACTTTCAAAGTCTGTCTTTGCCAGAACGAGAGGGTTAGAGAAAAATGGGCCTCCTCACCAAATTAATTTTCTCCTGGCTGGGAAGGATGGTATGGAGGTCATTAAGCAGGTGCGACTCGGGCAGGTCTTCAGGCGGGAAGTCAGGCTAGCCTGTGTTAGAGAAAGAGCATGGAAGGGTTCTCACCGTTCAGCAAAAGCCACAGCCTGCTCGTTCCTGCTGTGATTATTGGCAATATTGGATTTGGGGCCAGATAGAAAACGGGACCGTGGCCTGCAATACAAAGAGCATTGAAGGTGGAAGATCTTCACTGAGCCTAGACCAGGATCGTTAAATTACCATGCGACTGAGAGTTGGGGGTCTTCCTCATTCACTCCTGAGTCACATCCCTGCAAATTGCAAATGCAAGATACCATCACCAACTCCGTTGCTCAGGCAGTTATCTGGTATCTACCATTCAGGGCAAAGTCCGGCCAAATTGACAATTATGTGACCAGACTATCTTATCTTGTTATCTTTTGAATTCGAGGCTGATCAGGGAGGGAGTCTTGAGCCGTCGATTGTAGGCTTGGTGGTTTGCTGCTTCTAAGCCCGGAGTTGAATAGCCGAGATCAGTCGAGCGTTCATTTACACGTATCCTTCCCTCTGCATCTCGGTTCAAGGCGTGTATACCGAGGTTCAGTTACGAGGTGTCGTAGAGAGGATGATTTTCGCATACAACATCTTGGGCTGCACTAACAGCATTTGCGACCTTCGAAGTACTATGTACCTTGACTGGATCAGTTTCACGATCCTAGAATCGACGCGTGGCATCGCCGGTGTCACAGGGAGCTCTGATAATTTCAGGTGAAGGTATGGAGTACGTACATAAAAAGAACATAACCCGCAGCCTTACCCGCGTTGATAGATAGCACCACGTTCCTCTAACCTGCTTCCGCGGCGTTTACCCGGGAATTTGGGATCGTGGCGTACCTTATTGTTTTATCAGCCTTGATCGCTGCAATCCATGATTGTACTTGCTGTTGTGAACGTCGTGAACGTCACGAGCATGATCATCATGGTTAGGCCTACCCCTGAGTCCCACATTTCCCCACTTTGTCCAGGATCACAGTTGGCTGTCGGCCGCCCTTGGTGTAGCGGTCGGGCCACCCTCCTGCAGCAATCCACATGGCCAGGCTGCAGAAACGACGGGAGGTGGCCACCACGAGCCCGACCCGTTGCCCGAGCCGTTGCACTGCCTGATTCCCTCCCCCTCGTCAGTTGCACCGTCCTCCACCATTCCACTGATTCACTTGGTGTAGTGTGCGATACATTCAATCCCAAGGCCATTCTCGAGAAAAGTCTGACTTGCAATCTAACCCTTCATTGACCCCCTTGCAGCGCCAAAGAGCCCAAGACCGAGCTAATTACCGCTTGCTTGTTCGAGAGGAACATCCTCCCGCGGAAATTGACAACTCTCATCTCTCATTGTTCAGTGTTTCAAGTTTGCAGAGCCCACAATCCGCCATAGAACAATCGGAAAAACAAAGCAAGACAAGAAACACGGCGTAAACAGGCCCACCATCAATCATGCCTACATCCCTTGATTCGTCTCGCCCAATAATGTCAGCTTCGGTACGTCCTGCCTCGCTTTTCGTCCCATCGATTGCGCATTGCGACTCAACATCGCTTCTTATGACATCAACACGAGCGCCCGTCCCAAGTGCTCTCGTTCGCTAATCATTCCGCTCACACATCTTTTCCCAGGCACGTGCCTCTGTTCGCTACAGCACCTTCAGCATGGCGCCTTCAGTCACCCCGACAGTCCTCAGCAGCGACAGCGCGACCGCCGAGATCAGGCCCATCGTCGATGGCCTCGAGCGCTTGAAGAACCCCCAGCTAGCCGACCAGCGCGTGTACCTGGACGAAGAGAAGACGGCCACTTTTGCCAAGTTGGCCCTCGGCGCAAAGCTGGAGCGGGCGCTCGATCGACGGATGACCGGTCAGGACGCCGTCATGCGTCCGCGCAAGTCTTCGGTGGCCCACTTCAGCGAGAAGGAGAAGGCATAAAGCGCGCAACTACCGACAGCTAGATACATGAGAAGAAGAGACGAGGGCCACCGAGCCATCAAATGGCTCTTCGCGGACAGCATTCGCCGAGCCGGAATCCACATTGCTTGTTTCCCGAGAGAAATAGAGCGAAGGATCAATCTGATGTCGAGCGAGTTCAGAACGGAATGGATCGGTGGGGTTCATTAACATTAAGTTCGGGTTCTGTGTTACTTGGTTTGCAATTCTGAGCATCATTCTATCGGCATTTCTGCGTTGTTCGAAGAAGCATTGGTCACGAAGGCTTCAGGGTAACCAGCCGAAATGGCTTGCGGGGTTTGGGAATGACGCCGGCCAGGAGACCTGGGATAGAATCTATCACGACGCATCGCTAATGCCGAGATCTTTCTGTATGAATTCTGGGAGCACATGGTTTGACTGCCAAGAGGCGGAAACGGGCTGGATCACGACACTGCACCTTCCATTGGTCCCTTGCGAATAATAGCCCTCATCGTATTGTCTCCAATACCAACCGATTAGTTCCCCCAAACGCCTGACCTGCATCAAGAAACAATATACACAGCGCAGTACCTAAATGGACTTGAAACATATGCTATCCTTTACGGCCCGAAAGTCCCACCCAGGTCTGCCTCCTTTGTCAAGCAAAACCAACCTCCCTACGCATCCCTAGCCGCCTTTTCACCAGCCAACCTCCGATCCGCCTCAGCCAACAACTCAATCAGCTCCTTCTCCTCCCCCTCAAACTCAAGACCCTTGGCCAACCACTCGCGCGCCTCGGCCCACCTGCCCATCTCAAGAAGACACTTCCCCCTCCTGTACCAAGCCTTGGCGTTGCCCTGCTTCTTAGCCTCAACACTGGCCTCGGCGTCAACAGCCGCCTCGGGCCAGCGGCCCAGCTGCATGAGCGCCTGGGCGCGGTTGCCGTACAGCTGGTGGGCCTCCTCGCGCACGATCTGGCTGGGCTCCCAGGGAGGACGGGTCAGCGCCATCTGGAGGCCGAGCGAGTAGAACTTTATGGCCTCGTCGTGGTTTTGCTTGCGGTAGGCGGCGTTGCCGCTCTCGCGGAGTTTGTTGACGTTGGCGCTGCGCTTGGGGTTGACGGGGAAGGGCGGCGGCGGGACGCCGGGGCTGTCGAGGGCCAGCAGCGAGCGGTGCAGCGCGTTGAGGGCTTCCAGCTCGGCCTGGAGCGCCTTGTCGTTTGGTAGCGACGGGCAGGATATGGCTTTGGATTTTGGGTCAATTTGTAGCGGGATGAAGTTGAATGTTTCTAGGTCGGACATGGTGGGCGGTAGTATTGCTCGCTCTGGACTCCGAGGGAGGGAATCGAAGGATGGACGGCGTGGAGAGCCGGCCGGGATACTGTTCGTGCTGGGGCACAATTACGCTGCTTCGAACAAAATAAGTCCAACAAATGTTAAGCCAGGGGTACGGTGATAGTAACGTAGATGGTGTCTCGATTCGTGGGTCAATGGGTCGTTTGCCTGAACTTGAAAAGGACAGCTGTAAATGCTTGGCGAACTTCGTCGCTGGCCTTCCCCAGAAATCGTTATCTTATCAGCAACCCGCAGGTGGTCGGTGATTACCTAAGCTCATGTTCCTCAACGACCGACCCACAATTTCCCCACGACCCCACGAATGGGTAACACGTGTTGACCTTCGTACGACCCGTACGAGCTGGCATACCTATACTTCAGACCTGACTGACCATTGCACTACCCGTTGGCTCTTCCTTCATATGTCCACCCTAACTACGAAGTATGTTCTCTGACAACCCGGCAACGCGCGCTTTGCACACATCTAGTGGGTCTCCGGCCAGGAGACTCGACACACCGTAGGAAGCTAACCAACCTTGAAGACATAAAAGCGTCTCAACATCTCTCGCTAGAAGTAAAGCAGGTCAGTTCGACTCTTAAGGGCTTGTATCGCCACAGGATGTAAAGTAAGGATATATAGGGCGCATGAATCAAATGGATACTACTCACTACTAAACCAAACTATAGCCGCCCGGATACCCAAACAAGCAGTGACCAGCCCATAATCAACAAACATGACCCTCATACCAGGTTCGTGATAAGATTCATTCTGCATGAGATTATATCGTCTCTCTGCCGACACTGGGCTTCTCCCTTGAAAATGTTTCGGGAGGTGTCCAGTCAGATGATTTCGAAGGCTCCGAGAGAAACATCTGGGAGATCCAGAAGTATTCATGCTCCCAGCAACCCTCCGCTGGTGTCTTCGGGATCGTCTCCACTAGCTTGAAATTAGCACCCATCCATATATCCCTATGGAATCATTCAGGAAACGCTTACATTTCTTCTTGACGTGGGCAACCATGTCTTTCACGAACTTGAGCTGATATGGCTCGAGGAACATCAAGGCCGAATCTCCCACGTCATTCCAGTTGAAGTTCATGAGATCACACCGCTTGAAGTATTGCCAGTGGGCGAGCAACATCACGGCACTATGCTGTACTTCCTCAACTAGGCGGGTGAGCGGATGATCGATCTCCCCGTAGCGTGATTCCTACAAGTTGTCAGCTAGGCTTCATGGTGGAGATGGGATAAGGTACTTACCGGACCCCCTTTCGGGGCATTTCTCTTGGTACAACGGTACCGGTCCGCACAAGTGCAGGCCACCTGATGGAGTAGCAAGAAGGTCGCGAGGAAAACGGTGAACCAGGCCTCCTTGTTGCACGATGTAAGGAACGTCTCAAGGGTCCGAAGGACTTGGGGTGCGAGCTTTTTGTAGATACGCTCGTGTCGGATGCTGTCGAATTGCGCAACAATCATCCTGGGCACCGACACATGGCCATAGTTTGGAGCGTTGGGGTTAGTCTCTGGAGCCATCCCCAAGAGTTCGTCACCACAAAGCCATGCCGAATATGTCCCGTGTCCTGAAACCGGTGTTGTTAGCCACGTGCAAAGAGATTAAGGCCTAACGTGGGCCACCCACGTATAGCAAACCATAGGATAACAGCCTTCTCCAAGAACTCCTTCTGATCCGGGTTCTTCCTGGCCTCCTTTCGTGACTCGGCGCCCTCCAACTTGACTGGTTCCTAGAGATTGTTAGTGGCTTGCTCCAAACCAACAGTCCTTGGCAAATCTCACAGGTAACGAGCTACAGTGTTTGGCAATCATGGCAAAGGTCTGTCTGATCATGCCGTCCGAGTCCTTGACTGCTTCCGCAAGACCATCAAGAGCGTTGTGGTAGATATACTCTTTGAAAGTCTTAGCAGTCTTCTCGGCGTCAACAAGACAAAAGGCCTTGATTTCTTGGGTCTTAAGCGCCCCGTTGTCCATGTATTGCCGATTCGATATGTCGCCATCCCTTTCGAGGAACCGCCGGACACGTAGCCGCACCGGGCTCTTGCAAAGGCCTTGGTCCATCAGAATCTCATAGATGGTGCTATCAGGATACTCGGTAACATCCGTTACTTTGGTGTGGTCAAAACGCTGCGTGAGTCCCAGGCCACCGGCCCGGAAGACCGTCATGGACGTGACCTTGAATCGAAAACACGGTAGGTTGTGGATCGTCTTCTTTGAGTCTCGATGTACACTAAGACAGGTCTCGCAAGGCGCGAACGGGCTTTTGCTGTCGAGCTTGTTGGGTACACACTGCGACACATTAGTATACCGAACACTCGTCTCTCGACATGTTCGAATATCACCTACACGAACACGTTGATTATGACACCGCAAGCAGGCGCCCATGCTTCGGGTGTTAGAAGTCTGCTTCCGCAGCCCCTCATCAAACCGGCCGCGCTTCTTTCGGTCACGTCCCCCTTCGCTATCCGACGAATTCACCAGCTCTTGCGCAACATCGACAAAAGGACCGCTCAAGTCAGTCTCAGCCGGTACAACCACCTGTTCATCGCAATCCGACTGATCAGAATGCTCATTCTTGATCCAGTCTTCGTTTTCTGGCCGCTGGATGACCCGAACGTACGGTCGAGTTAGCTCAGGGAACTGATCCTGCGCAAGGGCATTCGTATTGTCATGCGAAAGTGACAATACTGGGTTGACCATGGTGGCGGTGGTGGTGCTGGGGTCTTGAATAATATGAGCAACAGCATTCCCTGGGTCGCCTGGGAGCTCATCGAACGTTGAAGTTACAACGGCCTGTGCTTTTGAGTCCTTCACATTATGCAAAGGAAGGTGCCAGCCGACTTGGCCACCTGAGCCACCAAGGCTGTACATCGATCGCCCTCCCGCCATGTAAGGATGGCGGCTGTCGGGCCCCAGGGGAATACCGACAGGAGAAGGAACCTCTGAGCCGGTGAGGGAGAGCGAGGGAGAAGGCAGCGAAGGCCCAGAGAAATAGGAAGGGCCAGCCGGAGGCTGGAACTCGACCCCTTGGAAAGCAGGCAGGGGTGGTGCAGGAGACAACCACACGGGAGAGAAGGGAGACAGCCCATCAGCGGTGATGTAGTCAACAGGTGAGGGAGGCAAGGAACCCCACGACGTGTGACCAGAGCTCACTGCGGCATATGCATTCACCCACGGCTGCGGGATAGGCGGGAAACATCCAGTTGGCTCTGCGGCAAGCGCAGGTACGCCCAACTGCCCGTTCCCCTGCCTCGGCACCCTCGGACTGGGGTTGCTGCCCTGAAAGTTAGACGACCCTAGGATTGGAATAAGTGCTGGGCCTCTAGATTGCTATCAAACTGCTTAACGTACCTTGCTCCGTGGTTGGCCATACGGTGATGGCCCCAGCATTGCTTGTCCCACCGCCGTTCTGAACGGACGTAGATCCCCCATACCACATACCGAGTGCTCCTTGAGGTATGCCAGGGCTGACCTGGAGACTGGGCAAGGCGATCCGAATGTCTCTACTTGGGCGAACAAACGCCCCATCCCTGCGACGCTTCTTTGCCGCCCGGAATCCTGCATCCGTAGGGCTGCTGGGGCTGGGTAGCACAGTGAAGCCGGTCTAAAGGTCATGGTGTTAACTGATGAGCATGAACTCTATAAAAGGGTGGGGGGATGGATTCGAGGGAAGGGGAGGGGTTTACAAATGCAGGGGTACCAGACATGGAGAAGGTATTGATGTCAGTCTCCATTATGTGCGGTCGCTGGTATCGTTAGCCTCCGGCCCGCGTTGCTGCTTCTGCCCGGCACCAGATGGTTACCGCCAGGTACTGATTGCTTGTAGCACTGACACACTGGTCCTCAATAATGCTGTGGGCAGTGTACATAAAATGCGCCCCCTTTCCCCAAGGGCTTCGGATCTGGGCAACGTGCCGTCAGCCAAGCATGGCGACACTTGCAACCAGTGAGTACTGGCACCCGGTAATCACTGAGAGCCACTTCGGCAGAGGATGCAGGTGCCACGGCCGAAGTATTGTCTAGTGAAGCCGGTGAGCCCAACGAGGTGAAGGGGCGCGGATCAACCCCGTGCCGTTGGATAAGGAAGGGTGGAGCAGATTGGACCCAAGAAGCACAACCGGCCTTTTTTCCCCAAGCTTCTGAGCTAACCTAAACCTTCTCTCTTTTTTCCCCTTTCCTTTTCTTGTTCCCACCTGTGCCGCTGTGCAACCAAGAAGGGGGGCACGAGCAACTGCACGCCAGTGTCCGAATAAGTTGCAGATGGACGCACTGGGGAACGGCTGGTGCAGGCGTGTCGAGCCCGGCGATCTGGGGGGAGAGTGCGGAGAGACGGGAAAGCGCCGGCCACCCCGGTGTCCAACCAGGAAGCAAGAGAGAGCGCACAAGGTTAGCCAGGGTGACGAAGAGAGACTGGAAACCGGTGAGGAGAGCTGCGACACGGCCACCGGGGTTTCACAGTCCGAGGAGATGGAACCAGAACGTGGTGACGACCCCCAAAGCTTTGTGGGCCGGAAAGTCAACGACGGTCAAGAAGTGGGATGGATGATGAACCCTGCTGGCCCGTGGCAATCATGAGTACGCCCGGCGGTGCAGCTTGAGTACCTAAGGCGTTTCTCTACAGCCGCGACAAAAGAGAGCCAACGAGAAGTCGGGGTTCACAAGGAGGGAAGACAGGCGGGCAGAGATGCAAGGATTGAATGGTTACAGCGGGAGTTCTTGGAAAGATTGGAGTGGAGGTGGTGGTGGGATGCCTGTGCTCATGAAAAGTAATGAGGCGTTTCTCTCCTGCGGCCGGGAAACTCGCCGTGGGCGGTGAGTCCGACAGCTACTGCGATACTTATGCAGACAGAGGCTGAAGAATGAGAGAAGATTGTGCAGAGTTGGCGACCGAACGGGGTTGGGGGAAAGGTCTGCTGAGTGAGTTTGCTGCAATCCAGGATCTCGCTATTCCATTCGGGGAACTCACCATGGTGCACGGGTTGTTCCTTCTGTTGGCTGCTGAGTGTGATGCTGTTCGGTAGAGGGGCAGTTGGGCAGCGCCACGCTGCAGCGTCGCTGACTTGGCGCACAGTTGTTGGCGCCTCCAACCTTCCAGGGCACCTTCTTTCCACGCCAAAGTTGACGCTATCCCACTCTCCGCCAAGCGTCGGGTGCTCAACAATCATCGTCAAATCGTTGACATTAACCACAGAGTATACCCAAAGTACCTGCAATGAGCAAACACCACATCAGAGGCATTGTAGTGAATATTGGTATGTACTTCTGTTGACCAAATCAACTATCTGCGTTAGGTCAGCTTCTCTACGTCTACGATAGACGTTCAACGTTTAGAAGCTTGGCGAACTTGGGAGCTTTTCGCACCCTTGTTTCTCCCACACTCAACATTCCAACAGCAGGACTGTCAAGATGCAAAAGAGATGCCTCACACGCCGTGGACAGATGGCCGCACAGCTGTGAGCGAACATGCTGCCAGCTGGTTTTGTTCCGAATTGCCTATCATTTCTGGAGAAAGACCTGTTTGAACAAAATTGAAACGGCTTGCCATAATGAAGGTGGTCCTGCACCGAAACGACTGGCGTTGCTCAACTGCACCTCCGCACCGCTTGACGGGACCCATCCGCGGGCGGCAGCCGAGCGGTCCGTTCCGATCCAGCTGAGGAATGCTAAGTGCATCAGATCCACCAGCGGTCAAGGAACCTTAACCCTCTTCGACACTAATTACACGTGGTTTGACTAGGCTCGTCTGTCCCAAGGCTCACAATTCGGCCTGACGTCCAGGGCGATTTAGGCGGCGGACCTGACATCTTTCTATGCCTTGCGTCCTGGCATCCTCTAAGTCCAACAACGTGGAAGACTGTTGCCAACGTTGATGGATATTGGATCAATAGAATGAAGTATAGCGGAGACTAGCGCGGGTTAACTAACTCCTAAGCTGGGCTAGGATATGTTGGAACATCCATACACATGCGTGTTCGCTGCAATGCCCGCTAATAAGAAGGATGAGACAGGCGAGAATGCACATTCAGCGCTTCACAGGGGCAATACCTAAGATAACCCCGGCCAAGTTTCTATGCAGGGAGGTGTACCTTACCCAGTAGTGTATGAGTGGTTCCTTCCCCGAGCTTCCCAGCAGCCTGCCTAACTTATGATTCGCATGAGCTGGGGTCTGTATGGGGACCTATCAACTCTTCTTCGGTTCGGTTCCACTGTCAAGGACCATACTAAAAATCCCAAAGACCCGCTTCGACTTGTCTTGTTGAAGTTGTCGGAACGATATCTCCTTCCTCATGTTAGGGAAAGGTAGCTGGGATTCTGGCAAACATGTTGTGACGTTGCTCCCCAAGGAATCTCGCCGGGGCCCGGACCGCACGGTTTACCACCCTTGGCGAGGGACTGGAGAGTGATTATTCTTCCTCTTGTCCGTCTTGCTTATCCAGGATGCCGCGTGGGCCGCTAGTCCCGACTAACGACCCGTCCACCCTCTCCCTTCTTTTCCCGACCGCGAGCCAAACCTCCATGTGATTTAGTTGACGATGGTGATGGCGATACCGGAGTCTCGATTCGATCTTCGCTTCGGCCGACGTTATCCAAGCAATATCGAAATCTACTCGGCAGATGGCGTGGAAGGGCATGCCAAAGGGATTGAACTGGGTGACACACCAGTCCATCCGGGTCCCGGTCCACCCAGTCCACGGTTCCTCTTCTGTGACGTCCCTTTCAAGCGGACCTTCAGCGACGAAGACGACAGCACGGCCTGCAGAGCCAATCAATTCCCTCCCGTTACGATTGTCACCGCGATGCCCACCCCGCTGATCCAAGGAGCCAAGTGCGGGATACCTGATCCCATCGACCCCTTCACCATGTCGCGTACTCGAGCTCCCGCCTTCATGGCAGCAGACCACCGCGTCCCGCGTCCTGAAATACCTTGCGATCCCGTCCAGACTCGATCACTCCCATGAGTCCCATCAGGCCAGCAGGAGCATTGGCAATCAGCCAAAGACCGCAACATACTATCACCGCCCCATGAAGATGGACAAAACACACCACAGCATGGCCACCCAGGGCGACTCCGTGTCTCGTTCCGTGGAGACTGAGTGGCTCGACTCTCATCCCATGGCTTGGGCTCCTCACGACTTTTCAAGCCCAGAAGAAGCCCAGACCAAGCCATCGTATGTCATTGACATTGGCGAAAGGGGTGTTGCCGAGGTTGAAGAAGCTTTGGGGGCCATCAAGGGTAAGCAAGGCTGCCTCGTTGAATCAAGCAAGCACTCAATGGACTGACTGAGGACAGAGCGCGGGTTTGACGGAGACGCCATCACGCGTGATAACTTCCCCCTTCCCCAGCTCGAAGCGCAACTCGCCCAAGTTTGTCTCGACGTCCACCGAGGCCGGGGGTTCTCCATCGTTCGGGGACTCGATCCTCAGAAGTACACCGCTGAAGACAATGTGGCAATCTTCTTGGGAATTGCGAACTATATTGGCGAGCAGAAAGGCGCCCAAGACAAGAAAGGGACCATGTTGAGTACGTACGGCAGAGCAGTTCGGACATGAGGGTTCCATCGGGCTGACAGTTTGGCACGAATAGCCCACGTCACCCAGTCCAAGGTCTGGACAACGCCACCAGAACTCCGCCATGGAATTCATACCACCAGTGGTCTAGTATGTCGCCTACAGCCCAAGGCATCTTGCCATGTCTACTCTGCTAATGCGAATCGATTCTTCAAAGACTTGGCACTGCGACATGGGAACCGATGTTCTCGCGCTTCATGTCCGGTCTCTAGCAGAGGCCGGCGGCAATACCTATGTGGCGTCATCTTGGACCATCTACAAGGAGCTCGCCGCCTCCTACCCGGAGGTGCTTGAAGCGCTGTGCCATGCCAATTGGCCGATCCAAGTGTCAGTCAACGCATTTTCTTGCAGTTGTTTTGATTCTGTCACACCTCACATATCTGTACTGCTATACAAGTGGTTCGCCTGCTAACAAGACTAATGCCGGCCATTCAGATCAGGTAATCCACCACGCCACGTTGTTGCACCACTGCTGCATGTGACAAAGGACAAGATCATCATCAGTGTTGATCCGGGACGGCTGGGCCTCCACCCCGCGACGGCGAAAACCGGGCGAGACCACGTTCCTGATTTGAGCCCCTTGCAGCTTGAAGCGCTCCAGGTCCTCTCGGACCTGGCCTCCAAACATCGCCTCCGTTTGGACATCAAGCCCGGGGACATTGTCTTTATCAATAACCTATCCCTTCTGCATGCCCGTGACCCTTACGTCGACGCCAAGCGGGGACCGGGCCGTCATCTTGTTCGGCTGTGGCTGCGAAATCCTGCCCTTGCTTGGCACATCCCGAAATTGATGCGAGTCCCATGGGAGGCGGCATTCGGCCCGGGCGGGAAGGGTGTCCCAAGCCAACGGGACAAGGTGGAAACGAAATATCCCGTCCTCCCAACCCCAGAATACAAGCCGCCAAAGTACACAGCAGGCTCAGCGGCGTTTATTCTTGAGGACAACGACGATGTAAACGGACAGGGCTCGGCTTGACATTACTAGTGGTTCGACGCAGTCACGCAGCATTTGCAGCTCGCTTCCCTTACCTCAGCCTAGAAGCCAACTATGCACTATCGTTCGGTCAACAACAGGCTTCCTTGGCGGATAAAGTTCGAAATGCCATGATGGATTGCACGTCCAAGGGATTTGGTGCTGCAGCACGATGATTTGAGCTCATCGGTTTCCTAGGCACATTAAGCCGTCTGGCAAGCAGTCACGTCTCTTACACTCTCCTAGCTGCTGGCCGCTTCATCGCACGGCCAGGTATCAGGCCGGCTTGATGTCAAGCATGAGGATGAAAGTCTCGTTATCAGTAGTTTGCGAGGTTGTCAACTAGCTTCATGATTCATGACAGTCTGACTACATCTCCCCTTGCATCCCTCAACCCCCTGAACAGCGTATGCTCTTGTTGACTTCTCCTCCACAATCTGCATACATGACGGGACCGTATGATGGCCCCTTATCCCATGATTGCTGAAGCACACTTTCTCAATCTTGTAATGGCCCGGCCATATCAATGCCGGATACCACAATCGCCTCTTTCCGCTCAGGGGAGCTTTCTCTCTCGGATCAAACGGTACACAACTGCCGTTGCCAAATCTGGATTGCCCAACCGATAGTCTACTGTCAGTAGCATGACTACGTGTGTGGCTATACTCGGACGGTTATCTCCTCGACTGCCAGATCGACACCACTGCCTCAAAGCAATTACACACTAACACCTTGGTAACCTGCCGCCGGAAGCGCCTCAATCCCGGCATGCTGCGAAACTCCGAGATCCCAACTCAGTGTGGGTGAGCACGTTGATGGTTCAGCCAGGTTGAGTGGAAAGCCAAGGAAAAAGGAAAAAGTTTCTCGCCTTAGGCACAGTGACGCTGAGCGGAAAACATGGCGAAGCTCCAGGTGCTAGCACCGTCACCTCTTGACCTCCGCGATCGGACATTTTCTTGGAATGCGCGCAAGACGGGATTTGAAAAAGCATTGTATTCGTGGCAGACGCGGCAGTGAAAGCCGCTTCACCCTGCTGTAGACGACATGTTCTAATGTGGAGTGGTCAGGGGTTGAGCGTGAGCCATGCACGGCCAAGTTGTTAGATCATGCAGCAGAGTATCATCATGATGCAGCGAGTACAAGATCATCAGATGGAGACTGAAATCGGCTGGGTGATAGCAAATCAGCCAGCGCAAGCTACGCACCAACCTGCTGCTGCACGTCTGATAGGACTCTCATGGGAGCGGCTTGAGGGATGCAACAACGCGTCGATTATAGCAAGATGCCACGGGCTGGAGATAGAGATCCACGGGAAAACGCATTCGGCAATCCTGTAACCTCCCTGTGTAGGGTAACCTTGACACCTAGCCAACGACGCAACGCGGCAACGACTTGAGCATCTGGTCGACAATCACCCTGTGAGAGGCCCCGGGCCAGGTACCTCAAACCATCGTCCGATTGGATACGATTTCAGGACCGAAGCACGAATGCTCCAAATGCTGCATCCAAAAATTCCCGATGAGATCGGGGGGTGCTGATATCAAATGGCAAGCTCAACTTCTTGTAGTTGTACGTCCCGGTTGCCCCGGCACTGCATGGGACCCTCGACTTACACGGTACACACCACCTCACCACATATCTGGCAGCCCAAGGCCACCCTCTCTTTGCATTTCCCACATCAAGGGTACCTGTGTGGCTGCATTAGCTTGTTCCGCGGCTTCGCATAGTCGCCCCATAGTACTGCAACATACTGCATCATTTACATGACGGCTAGACACACCGACAGCAGCTGCATGTGAAGTTGTATGTCTGTATCAGGCACCCCCTTAATAGGCGACATCTGTCGGTCAGAAGCAAGCCGAATCCCGACAGCATCGATTCATAGTAGCTATCACGGCAGAAGTTCCCGGGAATTCACCGTCAGGCCTAACCACTACTAGTAGTACATACTTATCCTGCATGTGGTGTCCTGACTCTTGAGGACGACGGCATCTCGCAGATGTAGCATGATACGTTACACAGCTCAAGCTGCATAAGGTGCATGTGGCAGACAAATAGGATATTCCCGGATATCACTGTCATCTCTTTGAATCTACCTCGGTGAAACTCAATCCATTGTTCACCTTGGTACTACCCGCCCTGCTCAAGGAGGTAGCTAACAAATGGAGGAAGACAGATCCTAGGCCCCCTTTTTTTTTGATTCGATTGTAGCCTACATGTAGACCGACACTAAGGATGAGAACTGCAACAAATGTTTACTGCAAGGTACTACTAGTAGCGAGACTGGTGAGATCTATTCTGCTGGTGATCCCCCACACTTAGATCATACTAGTATTAAATAGTACCGAGCAATGATGACTCGGGAGCACAGCGAGGCTTCCTTCTAGTATCTGCTGAGTTCTAATCTCTGCTGATTGATGAGTTGCCCAGGAAAATCCGTCTCCTCTACCACGGATGTATTATCATCGGAAGCCTAATAAACAACACGCCACTGAACCGCGCTGCAAATGCACCTAGGTATGTACTGTACATGCTCAGTTTCTAACAGAAAGAGACTGCTGTTTTGTTCCTGCTCAACCCTCATGAGTCCTTTCATCGAACCCTGTTTTACACATCGCGATGCTAAAACCTTTGTATCTCTGAGTTAACTCAATGCTGTCTAAGTCTCTTCCGTCTTCCCAGCCTTTATTGTCTTAGTATCGCTTAGAGTAAAGCTCAAGGCTGTCAACTCATCCACCTTAGCCGGCACCCATCCACTGCTCACATAACGTCCAGCTTCATGTTCTCAAACTACCTACAAGACTCCCGCTTCCAGGTCTAGCGCGGGCTTGAGCTCGGCGCTGAACCGGCTGGCCGCGCGTATCTTCTCGCCGTACGCGATGAAGCCAAACGGGACAACGGCCAGAACAGCACTGACAGCTGCCAGGATGGTGCATGACCAAGCAATCCCCAGGGCCGCGAGCATGTCCTCAACCGCCAGGGGAATGATGGTTCCCGCCAGGCTCCGCGTCATACTGAGCGCCGCCAATGCCGAGGCCGAGTAGATACCGTACGCATCAACGACATACTAAGGAAGAACAAGTCAGTCCAGCCTGCTCGCCCTACCGAAGCTTTTGCAATCTCTGCTTACATTGATCATGGCCATGAAGATAAGATGGTAGGTCAGTCCGTAGGGGATGGTAGATGCCAGAGGCACGAGGAAGTGAATTTCGGGCCGTGACGACCAGCCCAGCCACAGCATGGAAACAGCGAATACCGGCCCAGAGACACAGGCGAGTGGAAGCCGTAGATACTCTTCCCTTTTGTCGGGATGTCTGTCGCTCAGGCGCAGGGCAAGGCTGTCGTACCACCATAGGATGAAGCAGGCGACAAAGGTGCCAAATCCCACTAAACGGTAGAAGTCAGAACTATCCGCTTTCGTATCAAGTCCGCAGGTGCTGTACTTACTGATCGTGAAAAGGATTCCCGACATGCCGGCACTGAACCCGTACACACCGCGGAAGATGGCCGGGAAAATCTGTACCAACCTGGAGACACGCCGTGTGTGAGTAGTGTTACTAGAGAAGCTCGAGCGGACAGACCTACATGTAGAACACAGCGTAGACAAAGCCCAAGTACACACACGTGATGGAAATAATCATCTCGCAAAAGAGTAGACGCCAGGGTCGCCCCAGCGTCGTTTTCTTGATATCAAGTCAGTCACCTAGGTACTTGAGATTCGATTTACCATGGGCCCATCATGCTTTCACTTACATACGTAGTCCAGGGTTTCTCTTCAACCAGGTCTGATGGAGCTATGAACCGCTTAGCTTTGTCATGGCCTTCTCTGTTCAGCCTCGCCGCCTTTTTCCTCAGGATTGTCGACGCCAGTGTCTCGGGGAGCAACAAGGTCGTAGCCAATCCAACAGCCGCAAGAATGGCCGCAACCCTCCAAAGGTCACCAGTTAGCAGAGTTCCATGACTAAGGGGAAAGGAAGCAAAAATCAAACAAGCCACGCCTGACAGAGCACTCACCAAAAGACATTCCGCCACCCCAACACGGGACTCGCATATCCCGCCAGGATAGGCGCAGCTAGGGGACCGATAAAGGTTGCCGCGGACCTGATGATTGCCGTAAGCAATGTTCCCCACGGTCAGCTTATGATCTCACAGGTAAACACCAGAACCATGACCCCTTTCACTCATACAACGGGCCCTGTACTGCCCTCTTCTTCAACTTCCTCCCATCCCCATCCTCACGACAAGCCCCCTATCCCTCTCAAACCCAACAACAACCCAAAAGAAAGAAACAAAAAAAAGGAAAAGTCACCCACCAAATCATCATAACCCTCCCCCTCAACACCTCCCCCTCAAACAAATCCGCGACCACCCCTCCAAAGACACTCGCAGGCGGCGACGCAAACACACCCAGGCCAAACCTCGTCCCCAGGAACGCCGCCCACCCTGACCCGTCCGGATTAACAACCGCCCCGGCGATAGAAAACACCAGAAACCCCAGCGCACCCGCGACCAGCGCCCAGCGGCGTCCGACACGGGGCGCCTCGCTCAGCGGCGCGAACACGAGCGGGCCAAACACAAACCCGGCCAGGTACATGGACGCGGGCAGGACCGAGTTGGGCCCCGTCGCAGGAACGCCAAAGATTTCGGCTATCGGTGGGATCAAATTGGAGGGGAGAGTGGACGGGACAAAGGTTATGCTTGTTGTCAGGGTGGCGGCGAGGAGGATGAGGGTTTTGGTTTGCTGTTTTCTCAAAAGAGTTTTGTTTGTGACTTGGTTAGTAAGATGGGTAAAGGTAAGGTAAGGTAAGATATCTGGGGGGTGGATGGGGGATATTGGACTTGGAACTTTGCATTGATAGGGGGTAGGGGGTCGGTTTAAGGAGGTGGTAGTCGGAGGAGTAGGGTTGTAGGGTGGTTCAAAGGCGTAATCACTGTTCAGAGATGGCTCGGCTTGAAAGATAGTAAGTAGTGAGAAAGGGCGGCTTACAGTCGACCAGTTGTAAGGGTTGGACGGGTCATTTGGCTTAAACGACACGACAGTAACACTTGGTTCTTGTCCAGGCACGGGGAGCGACAACGTAGATGGTTGAACGAGACAGGAGGTTTGCCCCTTTTTAGCCCAGAAAAGGCTTCCTTCACTGCTGGTGGTGGCATACGAGTCGGCGCGAGCTACCGGCGAGGGCTTTTCCACCTCGATGGGCACTTGTGGTTCCATGGTTTAGTCTTGGCTCAAGAAATCTAGCAAGAATGAAGTGCGGTGGTTGATGTCGAGGAAAGGCGTGCTTGCTCAAGTGTTTCCAGAGTATAAATATATCAGTATCCTCGGTGATATTGACGTGTTATCTATGTTGAGAACAGATCGTGAACCAGCTCCTTTTATGGTCATCCAGAGTGCTCACAATTCCTCCCAGCTTCCATCCCCATGGCCTCCTCGTTTCGAGCATGGGGAGTCTGCCGGCATCGTGAAGGAAGCACACATAGTGTCAATGAGTTGTCAAGCGCCGTTGATGACGATAGCGCACACTTGCATTGGTGCGTTGAACCCCTGCCTGGACGTTGACGATCGCCCTTCGTTCACGGTCCGACAACTGTGGGTGCTGTACCCCGGCCAACCTCCAAGCTCTTGAAGGGATGCAAGTCGACGCCATGTCGACCGCAGGGATACACGGTAAAGTTGCTATATCCGCCAAACTCCGCCTGGTGTTGCTGCGCCTGCTGCTCTTCTTCGCCGTCAGGGTCGGACGCACTCATGGAATCGCAGACGTACTCATGCGGTACCGGCACGAATGCCCAGACATGAACCCCCCGAGACACCGGAAAGACATCGGACCTCTTCGACCGGCATCGTGAGTCGTCATTGGACGGGGTGTTGACCGTTAGGTTCTTAGATGGTCGGACAATATTCCCCGGAGCGGACAAGACCCAGAGCAAGACCTCCGGCCACTGGCCGAATAGGGGCTACTTGCCTGCGTCTTGGGCTCCCTCGCAGCGTCAACAAGCGAAATTCGACATGACATATCGTGTAGTATCGGCCAACATGACTAGCACTTTCCATGAGATAGCGCATTCTGCAGTAGCGTTGGACGGTTATCAACAAGAGCGGTGAAACTTCGGCCGGATCTCATCAACGCTGCTAGTCCTGGTGATGGTCGTCGAGGCCCTGTGCTGGCAAGCCGAGACGTCTCCGATGAGCCACGGGGTTGGAAGAGCCGCCCCTCTTTGGATTGAGGGCGAGACCCGTCGATTCCACCTTGGGACGGATATGTTACAGGGAACACGTCTGCCCCGTGCCGGGCCCACGGGGGGCTCGGACCCGATTGGCCCCAACAACTGCGACTGGTCATGTGCCGTTCAGCATGCTCAGTTCGGTCTACCAGAAGCCGAACTGATATGATAATGGACCAAGTGCTTGCCATGCCGAGCCGAGTTGGGCGTAACCCGCTGCTCCGGTATCGTTCCGGTTAGAAACCCTCTCCCGAGGAACTATACCGGGGATTAGCCAATTTGGGCGACGACCGACCTGGAAAGAAACCTATTGTCGTATAGCGACCAGTCTAGATCTCATATCAGTAGGCTGTTGGACGGTGTGCAATGCCCCTCAATAACAGCCATAACCTCTTTGACCTAGCTCCGTGGTGCTGAATCCACCAGCGGTCCGGTCTGGAACCAAAATTCATAAGTGTAAATGTCGGTGTAAATAGCAAAAGGGTATACTATGTCGTAATCATTTTCCATAACACGTCAGCCCCGTTTCGCCCTTGCCGTAAATGTTATCCAAAGCCTCGTCCCCAAATCGTGCTTTCTAGGCCGCCGTTGCACACTGATCGGTCTCCAGAGGCACCGGCCTGACAGGGATCACCAATTCCAACCTGCTAGCCCAGCGCAGGAAAACGAAAGGTCTGCACCTGACCCCTGGCATGGCTTGCACCCATAAATACCTAGATCACGATCCATGCATGTGTGAGTGGAGAGGGTATCTCGATCCAAACGCCTCAAATCAGAAAACCAAAGAGACCAGCTTGTTCCACAATTTAAGGATCAAATTGACCAACAGGCTAAATCCGGCGAGCACGCTGAAGATCTGGAGGAATTCGAACGGGTATCGAGTCCGGACTTCGGTCTCGAGGAACTCCTCCCGGTCTTCTGTAAGGGTATTGGCGGGGTTCGCGGGAAAGCGACCAGTGGATAGGTACTGTTCCATGAGGGCATCTTTCTCGTACCATCGCTCGCGCAGCCAAAGGCCAAACTGCTCCTGGTTGTCAAGGGGGATATCATCGACGAGGAATCGACGCCAATAGAAATTGACCGATTTTGGCGGTTGGCCCCGGAAATAGGTGCCTGAGAGGGTGAAGATGTTCTCACCAAACTTGCCACGTCTATTCAGAGCATACCTGTTAGTCAACAAGGATATGGAAAGCTGATGGCGGGGCAGGACATACGGAACCCCTTCGTACGCTACAGTGCAGTCGTAGACATAGTCGACTGTGCCCTTGAGCTCGCTGAGGCAGAAGTACATGCCCGTGCTACGGGGCAGTAGGACGTGCTCGGGATCCTTGACCCCCATTTTCTCGGCCCACTTAGCCGACTTTGCCCTGCCGTTTCGGGAAGCATTCGTCCCTTCGGGAAACAGAAGCAGCCACATGGGATTGAGATAGCTCTTCCCGTCGGGAGCCGTGTGCCGGGCCTTGAGCTTGCGCAGACGATGGGCCATCCGCGGCTGGTCGACAGCCATCTTCCGCGACATGAAGATGAAGCCATAAAACATCATGCCGGGCCCCGCTATGGGTATATACTTCAACGATTCCTTCAAGATGATGTAGATGGAACCGTGGCTCTTGGGTTTGTTGGCGTAGCCGACCCACCAGAGGTATAGCCAATCTGTGTAGATCTGCAAAAGGGTCAGCCTACGGTATGCTGCCCGACGGCTTGTAGACGCAACGAACCTGGTGATTCGCAATCATGATCATGCGCTCCGGGAATGAGAACTCGACCAGCCCATCCTCTGTTTTTCTAATCTGGTCGGCCACCGAGGCATCGCCGCTGATACGTATCGTCGTGGGGCCCCACCAGTGGGTGGCGGTCGTGATGAGAAGGCCAAACGATTGCTTCGTCAGGGACATATAGGCATAGAAGAGGTCGCGATCGATCCAGTACAGCGGCGCGCCAAGGAACTGGGTTAAGTTGATGCTGCCATGGTGCCGTGTCGCGTGTCAGCTGCCATCCGATGCAAATATTGGCGGGGCACGTCGATGTCTGTAACTGCAGGTATTGTACATACGCAATGGCGCCGGTCAGAAAATAGGCGAGGAATGAGAACCCCCGAAGCAACTGCATCAGCCTGCCGTGCTTCTCCCGACCGGAGGGATGGCTACTCGGAGCCATGGCGGCATCTTTTGCGGCGGAATCGGCCGGCGGATGGCCCGGGCCGGGATGACGCAGTTCCGCAACCATATCGCACGGGCGCAGTTCAGTCCGAGCTCAAGACCGCGATCCGAATACGGCTGGGAAACAGCCGTGAGATGAGGATATGTAGACGTATCCAAACCTATAAAGACTCAAAACCAGAGGAAAGTTTGACGTCGGAGGAAGTGGGCGACGAGGTTGACCAAGCTGCAGGGAGCTTGGTGGAGGTTGACGGCAAGGCAGGCATCCGCTGCTCGAACACATGCACGCGACCTCGAGCTGAGCTTCTGGTTCGGCAGCTTCGGGACGACAAACGGGGCCTGGATCTCACGCTGCACAATGCTGCTGCACCCAGCTAACGTTATTGCGACTTCGGTTCAAAATCGTAGTCTCTTGGCGAAGCCATTGTGTTAGACAGGTTCGGTCAGAAAGAGACTCGAGCAAAGTAAAGAAGCGCAGATCAGATGGACCATCTGTGTGCATCAACCGAAGCTCTGTTTCCTGCCATCAGTGACATATGCATGCGACTTCCGTTTGGGTTCGGATGCCCCGCCCCACCACCACAGTCTGCCTTACAGGTAACCGGTCGAGCCAGTGTAACCTGGAAGTTAGGCTTGGGACCAGCACTGCCTTCCAAGACAGATGGTCTGAAGGGAACCACTTACTGTACCAATACTCCAAATCATTTACCTGATTGCGTGTCAGAATGTACTGTACCGAGTAGACAGCTCGATAACTGACGGATTCTTCTTGATGTTTCCATGTTTTTGTCGACGGCGGGACCAAGGGACTTGTCAATCAAGCTCCGAGCCAGGCAAAGCGGTGAATGCCGGCATAACGTTAGTGTCTTGGCTCAGTGGGGTACATTGACCGCTGCTGCGGCCTGCGGGTGAAATCAGCGCTTTCCCATTGGCTAGCTTTGATCTTCGGCCGTCGATCACAGTGCTCCTTTACAAGTCCTCCCACCCGTAGCTTCAAGAAGCAAATGCATAACCTGCAACTGGGCAATGGACACTTGAATGTCGAGCCGCGCCGTTGCGAGGCGCATCATCAGTAGCTTTAACAAGCCGCCGCAAACTCACAAAGGGACGAAGCAGCCTGCGGCCGCCGAACATGTCGCCATGTCGAGCCCGTCATTTCTGGCTCGAGATCGCCACCTCAGTCTTCTTGCCCCCATGGCCTTGAAGTCGCCCAGCATGGCCGCCTTGCGGCGCAATAGTGCGAGTGTCAGAGGCCGTGGAACGTCTCGCTTCTTCTCTGTGTCGATGGCATGCAGACAGATCCTTGATGTCTCAACACTCCCCGACCGCACCGTCCCTCACTACCAGCAAACGAAAACATCGTCGCTGCTCTCTCTTCACTGGCCGCAACCGCCGCGCAACATCTTGCTCATGCCAAAGCTGCACGCGCCCATTGTCACTGCTAAGGCCGTTGAGTTCGCCAAGCACATTCACAGCAACTATCCCGGCCTAAACCTCGTCTTTGAGAGCCATGTTGCCAAGGACATCCACGAGACGCTGCCATTCCCCGTCTATACGACCGCTCCGGTGGATGCCACCACACAGTTCGCCAAAAAGATCGATCTCGTCACGACCATGGGCGGCGACGGCACCATCCTACGCGCCGCGAGCCTGTTTTCCATGCATGAGAGCGTCCCCCCGATCCTGTCCTTTAGCATGGGCACCCTAGGCTTTCTGGGAGAGTGGAAGTTTGGCGAATACAAGCGTGCATGGAGGGAGTGCTACATGAGCGGTTGCTCCGTTACCATAGAAGACCTGGTGGACCCCCATACCCGGGCAGCTCTATCCCCTCCTGACCGGCTGGATTACACCCCGGTCCCCAGCGCATGGGACGGCGTCCGCGGCAACGGGCAATGCATGGGCCCGAGCCGGACCTCCAAGATCCTGCTGCGCAACAGACTGCGTGTGGGCATCTACGACAGCGAAGGCCGAAACATCAACCAACACCTCCTCCCAACCTCAACCGCCGAGCCGGACCTCGGCACGCCCGCCGACCTCAGCTACCACCCGCCTCTCTTTCCCCCCACCGGCCGCTCCCCGCCTTATCTCCACGCCATCAACGAAGTATCAATCGACCGCGGCTCGCACCCGCATCTGGCCATAATCGACATCTACGTCAACTCACACTTTCTGACCGAGGCCGTGGCCGACGGGATCCTGGTCAGCACACCAACGGGCTCAACAGCATACTCACTCAGCGCGGGGGGGTCCATCGTGCACCCGCTCGTGAAATCGCTGCTCATCACGCCCATCAGCCCGCGCAGCCTGAGCTTCCGGCCCTTGGTGCTGCCGCTGCACACCAAGGTGGTGCTCAAGCTGAGCAAGCGCAACCGCGGCCGCGAGCTGCCCGTCAGCATCGACGGGAAACGCCGCGCTGGTGTGTCTATCGGCATGGAGGTCCGCGTCGAGGGTGAGAAGCTGGAGAGGACCCCCGACGGCTGGAGGGGCGGCGTGCCGTGTGTTATCCGCGCGTCGTCTAGGGCCGGCGGCGGCCCCGAGGGGTTTGCTGAGGATGATGACTCTTGGGTTGGTGGGTTGAATGGGTTGTTGAAGTTCAATTACCCGTTTGGGGAGCCGGGGGAGATGCATTAGGATGGTTTTGATGTGAGGGGTACAATACAATACGGGTGTGCATACTAGTGTACCACGGAGGTGCCGTTGGCTTTTTATCGGGCTAGAAAATGAAAGTTTGGGTGGCATTGGTGGATAGGTATGTGATACCCTGCAATATATTCCCAAATAGTCCTTGGGACATCTTCTCTCTGCTCGTACTGTGGTTTGTTGAAGCCTGTAGGTTTTGTGGCGTGTTGCAATGCAGTGCTGGACCGGCAGATGCATGTGCAGGAACGGCTGGTTTCCTACCTAATCGCTCAAGACAGCTAAGCTTAACGGTGTGGCTTGAACTGGCTCCTTGTGCACAAGGTACGCAAAGCTGGTCCCTGGATATTGCTTCTTGGTTCTTGAAGATGTAGTAGGTTCTAGAGTATTGTAGGTCCGGTCAGGTACCAGGCACCTAGGCAAAGTAGGGTTGTTAAACAGAGTCGGGTGACAGTCAAGGTAATCCCTACTCACACTAGGTAGGTAGGGAGGCTCCTTCAGGTATCTAGTAGTATAAGACCTCGAACAACATGCTCGTGATTCGGCCTTCGGTTAGCATCAAGATTTCTATTCTTGAGTCGCGGTCCTGTACTCTATGGATAGGTACCTAGGTAGCAATCACAAAAGGGAGCGAAGCCCCTTACTGTAGGTACTCCGTACTCCATATGGGAAATGATCTTGTTTCAGTGAATTTACCCAGTTGTTAATCGTCATTTAATCAAGAAGGTAATACGAATCTGTTACAAGCGATGCAACCAACAAGCAAGGCATCGCAGTCACACACACACACATCGCAGGTGAGGTCTGGAGGTAGGCGTCTCACCAGAGTCACCATAGGTACTCCCCTGTATGTAGGAACGAGGCACAAATACAATTAAAAACAAGGGAAATGCATTATGACAGTCAAGTTAAACAAGGCCATGATCGTTCGGCTAGTCCACAAGAGAATAGATTGGGATCTATGGGCAACTGTGCCACTTTTGTAGAGAAATAAGTGCTATGTATTCGTACTTCGTACATACCTACCTCCTATGTTAGGTAATGTAGCAGATACCTTGGTGTGCACTATTACAACAACGGAATTCAAATTCTAAGGTATCAAGTAATATAAGGTAATTTTATCCTTTTTCTTCTTTTGTGACAACCCGACAACAACATTCCAAATTTGCCGCCAGAGATCCTCATACCCTCAGCCAGTAATTACTTCGTACACGGTTCAAATTCGCTTTCGCACCAGGTCACACCAGGTCGATTACTAGTACTTAGAGAGCAACGACAAAGCCCAGCGCAAGCATGCCCAGAGATCCAATGTAGCCGGCGACAGGAGCGCCGCCGGTAACAGCCGAGGTGGTGGTGGATTGCGGGGGCGCGGAGCCTGAGGACGAGGATGCAGGGGGTGCGGTCGTCGTCGGGGAGGTCGACAGGGTCGTGTTGGACGAGCCGCCCGGCAGGGTGGTCACGGAGGTGACTGGTTCGGACGTAGTTGTGCTTTCATCATCTGTCTCGCTGGTGGTGGTGGTAGTGGTGGCAGTGGCAGTGGCTCTCGCACTCGTTGTTGTCGCTGAGCCCGAAGAGCCGGGGCCAGGGGCAACCAGGGCGCAAAGCTCCTGAGCCGTGGGGAGGACCTCGTCTGGTTGGATCGCGTCAGTATTATTACCTATGATTGAGTGACTTTTGGGAGTCACAAGTGGTGGACATACCCTGGGCAACATCCACGCCGCAGGCGTCAATAACGCAGTCCACAGCGGCTTCCATCATGTCGGCGATGCTCCCGCAGATGCATCCGAGGTCGGTCGGCGGGCAATCGCTATCCTGGACGGCATCCATAATGCACTGGAGGGAGCAGGCCGGGAGGTCGGCAAAGTCCTGGGCTGAGGCGACGGCCACGAGGCCAGCGGCAAGGACGGCAGTGTACTTCATCTTGAAGGCTCTTTGGGGGCTTCGCTGGCGGGTTTGTTGAAAGCGATCTCAAGGACAATGAGTGACTAGATTTCACAATTGACGGATGCCGCGATCGCGATGAAGACCGGTTATATGTTGAGAGTTGGAGGAGGCCTTACCCTCATTTTATACCTCGGACACCTTGGACTTCTTCCCCGACCTGGCGTGCGGCGTGCGCAAACATGAACCCCTGAGGCTGTGGAGCAACCGTCTATTTTCGCGAAAGCAGCGCTTCATTGGCTAGAGCCCATTGGACCTCACATAGGGTGGGTGGTATTGCAGTGTAGGATTGTTCGTCGATCCAGTCATGCTCTTAGCCTTAATGGGCAGCTACAGGAGAATCGTCAGCAGCGAATCCGGGGTGGTGGAACAGGACTTCTTTGGAAGATCTGGTCAGTTTGTTAACACGAGACTCGCCCCCAACTACCTGGACCTTCACTTTATGCCAGAAGACCCTCAGTAACGTAGCACTTAACCTCAGCTCTTCAAATCTTAGCCTTCAATAAAAGCTGTTCATATTTCAAGACCAACAAGGGGCGTGTTTGAGATGCGTGGAAAGGTTCCGGCGCCTTGATTGGACTGGGTCTCCCATCATGTGGGCTCCATACACAGGAAAAGGGTTGAAGAGAAGCCTCGGCGCCCTGCAGCCTTACCCCAACTCATCTACCGTCTTGTTATCCGTACAGACACCGACTAACTTGTGGCCCAGTGTTGTTTAGTGTAGTTAGGATATGCGAACAACTGGTCGGAGACTGAAGACTTAAGCATCGCCGAGAATGTCCGCCTGGACGCCATCAGGCTGGCGATCTTTCTGCCAGACCAGGCGGCTTTGGCCAAGTTAGCGGCCGCTTGTTGTTCCACGGAAACAAGCAAACAGCATTGCCAGCCCTAGCCGGCCCTACCCCAGGCCAACAGTGCCCCAGGAGGTTGTTGTGAAGAGAAGGTTTCACACATACGTTAGTCGGGGTATTCACTGTATTGTATTAGCTTCTGAAGTTGTGCATACGGAGATAGTGCTCAGCCATTGAGGCTGTTGAGCCGCTGAGCGGGGCAAGGTTGCCCGCCTTCCTGTTGGGCTGACGCCTGTTGGCCTTATTCCCGCCACTTGCATCATCAGTTGGGCGGCCCTACACTCTACTCTAACAGTCTAATTACACCACAATATCCTCGCCCGCCTGTTGTGTTGCACAACTATACTACACTACACCACGATCCAACCGGGATTATTGGCTGATTGCCTGCCCTGGTGGCTGTGCCGAGGAAATGCCAGGGCCATCAGCGTTCTCAGATTAACTACTTGCATACACGTGTACACGACGTGCACAATTCTCGGGGGAGTTCCTCGTGTCATGTGAGGTGCGATGCGTACCTTGCACTGCTCTAACATAACAACTTTCCTCACTTTAGGGGTTACCCAACAAGGATAAAGAAAAGACACTTGAATATGAGTCTCTGAGATCCTACAATGAGAAAACCCAATGGAAAGGAGTCTTGCATTGCGTGAAGTCGGGTCAGTCGAGTCGTGAATTGGTTCTCTGAGATTTGGCCGGGCTCGAGTTCAGGGAGCTCCGGCAAGATCAGACGTCTTCATCATAAGGGAGGCAAGAGCTGTTGTGGCTTTTGACAACTCCTTTTTGACCCGGATATAAGATCCTCGTCGCATGTCAAATTCGAGAGTGGCAAGCCAGAACTCCGTGGGCACTTTCTTAACTGCACAACTCAGCCTTGTGAGTCAGGAACAGAACGGAGTCCATTACATGACAACCTAGGTATTGGACACTTCTCAAAAATGCGTGATCATGGCGTGCTAAAAGACTGGCAGCCTTCGGATCTAGAACCGAAGAGGGGAGAAGGGAGACATACACCCATGAAAGGATATTACTAGCCCTATGTCCGTACCATCTTTGTGGTTGCGGATTGGAATCTCTGAGTTGGTTGATACCCAAAAAGGGGACTCGGATCCAGACGAGGGTCAGCGGCAGACGACGTATATGATGTTAGCACAGATGTGGGCAACCCGATGCGGGAGCAGAGCATCATAGTATTCAACTGATCTGACGGCTGACCTGAGCCCTGCAGATGTTACATTAGCACGCTGTGGATGTGAAATCTTCTGGCAACGTCTTCGAGGTTAAACAGCTCAACCCTCGTACGCACATTTTTACCCCGTCTTCTGCCTTACATTCACGCGACAGCCGTGATCGATCAGGCCGAGGTAGTAGTAGAGACAGGCAAGAGGGCGAAGAGAATGTGATGCATTACTCAGCCGTGCAACATGGCATAGCTTCAATCCGGGAAGAAGACCGATGTGGCTTGCAAAGGGTGGAGGGGAAAGGCCTTCCTCAGACAACTGATTACGAAGATCATGCTTGGCATACCCTACCTGGCCGATACCATGATCACAATTGCAATCATCACGTCAATGAGCCCAGGAACAAAAGACAAAGCCACTAACTTTTTCGCATTGACCAACCCTACATTGACCCATCTACGGATCAGAGCTGAGCTGAGCTGAGGCAAAGAGCACGCTTCTTCAGTCCCATGATGATGCAGTCCAGGCCCGCCCATCGCCAAAGCCACGAGCAAGATGCAAGGGGAGCTTGTCGACTGCGTGCTCGGGTTGCATAGCATCGGAATTCCGACGCCGACGCCGCCCTGCCCTAGAATCAGACAGGGCTAGTAGCCTCCCCGAGACTTCCGCCGCTCCCGCTGCCAGACCGCACACTACTGCGCCTCGAGCCTGAGCCTGACCCGGAACCCGATGCTGAGCCAGAGCCCGAACCCGAGCCCAACGCCGATCCGGACCCGGATCCGGAGCCCAAACCCTTGAAGCCCAATCCTGGTGGCGCTCGCAGCGGCGTCGACCCCGGTGTCCCGATAGCAGGCTGATGACCACCCCGATGACGTGAAGAATCCATGGTGCTACCAGCGTTGTTGACGTTACCTCCGTCGTGCTCATCTTCATCGGTCGACTGCGTAAAGCCTGAGATGTTGCTGAGCATCGACGAGGAGCGGCCTCGTGTCCTCTGGGGTGGTGGCGTGCTCATAGCCGTCTGGATCGGATTGGGGTAGGCAGGCATCTGTGGGGGGACGGACAAAGGACCAGCTTGTGTAGGCAGTGATACAGGCGGCCATACAGATTGCGCATTGTACTGGCCAGCCGGCGGCGCCCACGCGACAGGCGGCACGTAGTGTCCGGGCTGCGAGGTTGCATCGTACGCCATCTCATCCGATAAGTTGGACAGGTATGCCTGCTGGTTCGCCAGTTCCTGAATCTGAGTCTGTTTCCCGAAGTTGCTGGCTCGCAGAGACTGTATCCTTTCTCGAAACAGCTGCTCCAAACGGTTCACCTCAGCTTCCAAATTGGCGCGGTCCTGACGGCGACGCTCGGCCTCGTTCAAACCCCGTGCGTTGGCATCCGTGATCCGGGCATGCTCGTCGTCAACCTTGGCAATGCGCGTCGCTATCTTGTTCCGCTTTGCCTGCAGGCTGGCCTTGTCCTCATCGAGAGACTTAAGTTCCTTATCTATAGAAGACTTGAAGCTCTTGAAGGATGCGCGGGCCTTGTCGAACATGGCCTTTTCTGCAACCCAGGCCTCATGCTTGGCTCGATACTCGTTGAGCAAATCCTCAGGCACTACCTCCAACTCCTTCAGCTGCGCGTCAAGGTCGCGGATGGATTCCTCGGCTCGCTTCTCCTGGATGTTGTTCTGGGCGACCTTTTGTCTCAATTTCTCATCGTCGCCACCCGCCGACTGAACTGCAGAAGAGAGTTTCTCGATCTCTTTTCGTGCCGTGTTCAGCTTGCGGTTGTTATCCTTGCGTACAGCCTTGAGGCGAGCTTTCTCATCGGCCAATTTGGCCTCAGCGGCCGCAATTGATGCTCGGAGCGTTGTCGCTGGTGAGTCGTGGCGGGCGTGTGATCGTTGGCTGCCTGTGGTTTTCGAGCTGGTCTCCGGGTCTTTGCTTTTGGCTTGGACGGTTCTTACGCATGTCGAGAAGAGGACCTCGCCGGTGGTTGTGCTCACGAACTCGCACTCGTAGTTGGATAACGGGGTCAATCCATAAATGTCTCCGGTCCATCTTGTGCCCTGAGTATTGTCTTCCTCGCCGTTCTCGACTGGAATGATGCGGGTTGGTTGCCAAATTACATTGTTGACTCTAACATAGAATGGTTTGGTGGCGTCTATTCCTGGTTCGCTATCCTCCAGGATGGCTTCCTGAGCCGGCGGATCCGGAAAGTGACTCGTGCTGAAGCAAACCTCATCACAGCCGACATAACATATCCAAATTTGCTCGGGTTGGGTATTGAAAGGCGCGTTGCCAAGATTATGAATATCCGTGGCGTTAGAGCCTGCCGACTCGCTTGCCGCGTGCGATAGCTCATACTCCTTGACCATGACGATCTTGGTGCTGGCAAGTGCCGCCCAGAGGGGCTGTCGTATCCTGACTTGGGCACTCTGCTTTCGCCTCTTCTTGCTGGAGAAACTGGCCGCGCTAGTCTGCAGGTGCGCATCACTGTCTGCCGCCATGATGGCAACATCAGAAGAGCCTTCAGCCGAGAATGAGACCGACTTGCCTGCTTCAGGATCAAGCAAGCCCTGGGATTGCAAGTCTCGCCGTTCCCTACGGAGGTACCATTCTCGGATGTATCGGACAAGGCCCTGTGTAAGGATATGAATTGCCAGAATGCTCCTGACCCACCCGTAAGGGCCCTTTTTGTCGAAAGCCCGTACCGTCGTCGAAGAATTAGAGGATAGAAAGCGGTTCGTGCCAAAGAGCGTAGTCAGCCGGGAGAGACCATTCAACCTTGCATACTGATTCCAATGCGACGCGCCAACGATGACAACGCAGAGCAGGATGTTGTTTGTCGTCCCATGCCTCGACGTGCCCCCGCCGCCCAAGGTCAGCGACACCACAACCTGCGCAAGATCCAGTATGAATTGTTGCATTGGAGCCCAGAGAAATAGCCAAATTCCCAGCATGATCACATCCATACAAACAAGCGTCGTCAGGGAGGGCGTCCCTTGGTTGCCATCGAAAATCTCGGCGATACTAAGGCCGGAGCTGGTGGTGACGGGAGGAACGAAGGTCAGGAAGGTGAACAGCATGTATATGGTGGCCAAGGCGGCGGGCGACAGCTGCATGAGGATGATCAGGATGGCAAGAGTGTCGTGGAGCGGGCAGGATCGGAGAACGGTGATCGCATAATCCAAGGGGCCCGTGTCACGGTGCACATTGCTGTTCTTGGCGTCATTAACATCGATTCGACGATGGGCTTCTTCGGGAACGGCATGTGCGGGAACCGCGGGGAGGGACTCGGCCGAAGACGACTCGGAATAGGTGGTGCCTAACGAACCCCTCCGCACCAACTCGGCTGCCTTGCGGTCCGGGGCCATGTCGTCGGAACGGGCCGGAGAATCATTCGCGGCAGCGGGCAAAGGAGGTACGGGCGGCGCACAGGCACTGTCAACGTCAGGCTTCAAGCCGCCATCGAGCTGGCCCTGGCTCTTCTGCTTGGTGACGCGCTTGCCGGGGCCTACCAGACCATTCTCATGGCGTGTGTCACGCTGGTTGCTTGCTCCCTGATGTCGCTTTGCCGAACCTGACGCGCGAGGCATGCGCATCCGCTGACCCAGAGGCTTGTTCTGAGCCAGCCCAGCACCTGTCGAGCTTAAGGCGGCGGCAGCACGATCCGCAGATCGGATTGATGCTTGCGGGCTTCCCAGGGTCCGGGCGACAACGCTAGGCCGACCAAATCGAAGCCGGTCTCGAATTGTATGTAGCCAAGATGTCGGTGTCGTCATACACTGTCGTCGCAACGTAGACCGAGACCGTTAGAGCGTGGGCTAGAAGGTAATATATCTTGGGTATCCTCTCCCTAGGTTTTCTGAGGCTACGTGCGGATTGGAGGCAACGCAAACCGGCGATTTGAGTTTAAAAGGAGGAAAGCGGATTTTTTTGGATTGGCGGCTGAGGATTTTAGGTGCAGAGCACAGTGTTAGAATTTAGCTCAGCTCGCTTTACCAAACGGGCAACATCCAACAAGGAACAACCAACAGGGGCGCTCACCGAGCCCAACGCCAACCAGCTGAGGTCGCAAATTTAGTATTTTACAAGTCGCTCCAGTTCTGTGGCGACTGGGGATTACATCCTCCGGCACTGCGACCGATGCAAGGGACACCACCGTACATACATGCAGTGTCGCCAAGGTGTGCAATTTTCAGATAAAACGATGTCCTGAGTCAGTCCCTCGAAATTCAAAACTTTTTTCGTCAATTCAGGCAGACGGCTTTGGTACAAGACAACCTTCGTTTCCATGGGCAGAGAAGGGGATCGGCTGTCCGCATGAGTGATGTGGACTTGCGTGCTGCGTTTGAGCAATCACGCGCGATCCGCCGCTCCAGCATATCAAGCTGCCCGTTGGTTCGATGCTCCCTGCATATCCCTCGTTTGTTGGTTTGGCTGGACTCTGCTCACGGCGGGAGGCAACGCACACTCACGTCAATTTCCCGCGGCTCGCAACGCATTGCGGCACATGGATATTGATTGCAACCACGCAGTCAGCTAAGCCCTCACCCTGCTCCGCAGTATAGGGTTCTGATGTAATCCTCCAGATACACTTTGAGGTTTTCAAGGTAGGCACTCCGTACTCACAGACAGTAGAGAAAGATTCATCGGCCGTCGGCATAGTCAGCATCATTCATCAACAGGCGTCCGGCACCCAAAAACCTGTCCGCACGTGCTAGGTCCAAGGTCCTCGCGAATGACTACCTTGGGCCATCTGTGATGATCGTCGACAAGACGCTGACCGCCTGCCGAAGTAGGTTACATCCGCGAATCAAGCATGGGACCCGACATGCGGTGCGGGGAGATGGTGACATGTCGATCACTGCTCGCCAGAAATACGAGTGCATACATACCAGTACCATAGTGTATAGCGTAATACCAACCATTTGCGATCACCGTCGAAAGCCCAGAGGCCTGCTGCATCTGGATTCTGGAGGTCGTGCCGTAGCCAATCCAGGGTTGCTCTGTTTCCCGGCTCAACGCATGATGCCATCATGTGTTTATAAGACTTGTCGCTTGTTGAGGCGTAAGATCATGGGCATGTCTCTAGATGAGTTGAATGCCCAGTTGCTAGAACTCTTTTACACGATAGACAAGTGGTATCCCTAGGTACCTTATGTTGGTTTTCGATCCCTCCACTAGTGTACTTGTAGCTGGATGGAAAACCTGTAAATACCTGACTTACTGTACCTTATTTACCCCACATTGGAGATTGAGCTTATCTCATCCACTATCGCCAGCGACAAACTTCCTCCTTGAGCATATCGCGACCCGGACATCTTTACATTACAGAACCTACCATTGCTGCGCTACTACTTGTAGGACTACAATTGTTGTCCTCATACTTCGAACACAATGCAACTCCTTACTGTAGTGCATGATTTACAGTACACCGTAGGTCCCGTCTCTCGGTTCACAGTACGGATATGCCGACTCCACACGATTTCCACACTTCGGCATTTGCGTGACTTTAAATTCCGCTGATTGGTTTAGGCACTATCCCGCCCCACTCTCATTAATGTGGATACCCGGTACCCATATCGTGCCCATTTCGTTTCGTTTCGCTATTTCGCCCACCATAGAGGAGAACGCATCGTCTCTCCACGAGACCTTACCTAACCTCCAGGCATTTCAGTCTAACCTGCACAAAAGAATACGAGGCACAGGAATAACCTGGGTATAAGAATCAAAATCGGGGTTCCCGAGCATTTTGTATGGCAAATAAGAACAACCTGGGCATTGGAATTATTCTTACGAATCTTGCTTAGTAACCCATACAAATTCAGGTTTATTCTTATATACAGGTGGGCAAAGGTATGGTTGAACCCCCTGACTGGGGCTGGGGGACCGAACATTTGACCCTGAAAATTGCCATTCTGGCCCCGATTTGGGCAACTTTTGACCTGGGTTAGGGTTATGTATGGACCCTGGCATTAGGAATAACCTGGGTATAAGAATCAAAAATAGCGTTCCGGACCTGATTCTTTTGTGCAGTTTAGACTGTACACTAGTAGGGCAGTTCGCTTTTCCCTCGTCGCGTTTCGCGGCTGCCACCTGCCAAGTTCCGCCGAAGATCCGGACGGTGCTTTAGCGGACGATCTGTGACCCCGCTACCTCATGTAGAGTGCATGGCTACAGACAGGTCGACCTACAGCACTCGAATCCAATCACAGGGAATGGATGAAGTGCGGGGTGGCCACTTCGTAGCATGATATCAGGGCGCTTTACTTGGGTCGCGATGCCGAACTGCTTGCCGCCTTGACGAGCGTACCTAATTGCAACTACACTACGATGGAAGTCAAAGCGGGCACCTATGCTCGAGGGCTGGCTGACTCACGGTGTGTGTTGGCATCGGAGCAAACCGCTCCGGTAACCCTGATCTATATCAGCGACTTTAACTTAGAGGTACTGTATGTGCGCGTGATGAGTTCATGCTGGGTCACTTGAGCTCTTACTGGTTCTCCCAAGTCGTCGGAATTCTGAAGGTCTTGCACGGCGTTGCAGGTTTACCGAGGTCACAACACGCCGGAGTCTCCTCTGGCACCAAGAGATTCAAGAAAAGCAAGTCATCGGAGTCTAGGGTAAAGTGGTTATGGTACGATGTAAGCGCTGGGTCCTCTACATGGCTGCCCTGAGTCGATGGTAGCGGCTTTGGGATCGGTGGGTTACTGAGATAGTCCATCTTAGGAGTGATCGAGTTCCAGGCCCTTCCAGATACTTATCAGCTCTATCGTCAGAGTCGGCATCAAGATCTCAGTATTTCGATTCATAACCGCGAGGCGGGTGAATCCGAGGGGATGAAGAAGATATTTCAAGAGCTACTCCTCGCGCTGCCCAAGTCTTCAACAGCATCAGGTCTATCCCATGTCTCCTTTTCCAACGCCTCGACAGACCTTATTAGTTCCCATATTCTCATCCTCGCCCTGTTCGTTTCCTTTTCCTGCAATTGCCACGTCTCTTCGAACCGGGCCAGCATGAACCCCGGCATACTGGCTTTCTCAGCCGCCTTATAATTGTAAATGACAATGTCCTCCTCTAGCCTAGCAGTTACCCGTCTATGTTGGTGCGAAATAACGATGCAGTCAAGAAAGAAGGATTTAGGTGGAGGATTATCGTTCGGCCTAGACCGTAGTTTGTGGTAGACCGAGATCCTGTCTGGGTACACCATCGGCTGTAGTCAGTTCCAGTTAGCCATCGTCACCCACTCCGAAAGGGCCCGGGAGAGTGGTGAATGGTGATACGCACAAACTTGAAATCTGCCTTCAAACTCCGCATAATGACCCCTACTTCTTCAGGCGACATCAGTCTGCGCCACTCATCGCGATGCGCCGGGTCGAGAAGCGCAAGATTTGTGATCCAGTTTACACGCGCCGACTCGGCAAAGCGGTAGTAGTTGACATTGTTGACGTGCCCCTACTCGGCCCAGCAATCAGTCAGCACTGAAGTACTTTCACCCAATTAGAAAAGGAAGAGGGCAAACCTACAAAGGTATCCATCTCACCCCAAGCAATCTCCCTCGAGTCGAGCCCGCGCCGCCCGCCCGTCAGGAACCCCTCGCTCCCCGCCAGCAATTCCTTCCATTCAGCCGTCAATGCGCCCAGCACCGCTCCCGCCCGCTTGATCTGCTCACGGTTGCAGCCGAAGGTGATGCACTTGCCCACTCGAGCGCGAAGGTCGGCGATCCATCGAGGCGGCGGCGGCGGCGGGACGGGGCGTGAGAGCGGGAGGGCCGACGTCGATAATGGTCGGCGCCGGGGATCCAGACGAGTGGTTTTTGAGACGGAAATCCGCGAGCGCATTGACGCGCTGCATGCGCTGTGAGCAAGCCTCAAGCTCACCGGTTGCTGAAGGGTCGGCATCGGGCGGTATGGCAACGGGTTCTCGGGTCTCTTGAAGAGCAATGCATGGATTGATCAACTGCGCGGTTTGAAGGAAGCGATTCGGAACTCTTTCCTTGGTTTGGGAATCCCGCTCATGTCATGCCTCCGGATTTGAACAATGGCAGATTTCTTCCCGAAATCGCGTCGCCTCGCCGGTCTTCCCTAAGAGCCGCCAATGTTTGGGTCATGCACAGCGGGCGGTTCGGGTTTCGGCGAGGCGGATAGCGAGGGACGGCAAGAAGTGGGGATCCTTGGCCGATGCCAGCCGGGCGACTTCCAACCGAAGCATTAGGAAAGCTTGCGCAGCAGAAACGTTGTGATGAATTCCATGTGAATGGTTAAATATCCACTTCAATTGCGGACTGACCGTTAAGGGACATATTAGAAGTCACTTTCCAGTCAGTGTATCCAACAGCGCGAGGGGCAAGGCTGTTCAGGAGTTCAAGCACTTACTGTAACTACGAAGGTGTTTGTGTGGACTGTGGAATCCTCCCGCTGTAAGTCACTGCTGGATAAGATAACGTTAGGCTATGTCGTCACTGGTGCTGCACAGGCAACACAGCACAAGCATCCAAAAATGTCGAGATTCCGCCCAGCTTCACAACACCACGCAAATACCATTGGTATAGGTAGCGATTGAGGATCTATCACTGATATCCTCACTTTTCCGAGTCCAATGCCGGCGGTTGTGAATATGGAACTGAGGAGGCAGGTTATTGCCATCTACAAACGCAAGTTTCCTCTAGAATCTCTCAACTGCTTACGCTCATCTGAACTCCCCCGTGGTCCTTCTTATTCAACTAGATAACTATGAATATTCCCGCGCACTTGCTCACCGTCTATATTCCAGAGCTCCTCTTTCTCGGCAGAGACTACCCCCTGGGATACGACTACTTCCGGACACGGCTTCATCGCGCCTTCAAGGCAAACGCTCATCTCGAGGATGAAGAACAAATAAGGAAAGGGATCGCGCGTGCCGACTTTGTCAGGAAAGGTGAGGGAATATGCCCCGCTCGGGTCTGATCATGGTCACAGCCATGAAGGAGAAGAGGATTTTATGAGTAAAAGCAGTCGAGATCAATGTCTTTCTTAGCACCTCCTGGCACAAAACTATGCCGCTAACCTAGTCCTTAACACAACCCACAGAGATCGAGGCTTTGTAGGTGATACCCTTTCTTCTCCTTCGAGCATCTTCGATGTCCCATGCCTTCTTGTTCAACCTCGACCGGCTTGGACTCTAGCCATCTGCTTGCCAAGAGTGCAAGATCAAGGAGAATGCGAACCCTTGTCTCCTTGCCTCCCTATCATGAGCTCTCCAAGGAAAAAGAGTAATGATAGTAACCATACATTTGTTATGCCATGAGCATCAGGCCAGACGAGATCTGCATGCATATATATACGACATCAATCTATCATACGGCAGAGCCTGCCCCAACCATCAAATCATCTCCATCCCTTGCCTCTTGCCTTTCTCTTCCTCATTTCTCAACGTCCAGCTCTACATATTTCCTTGACACTGACCCCCACATTCATCCAGGTACTACCTCAAACGTTACCGGACGCTGAGAAAGAGATATGAGGGGACATAACATATAAATAACCAAGTATGATACACGACCGAAAACGTGCACCAGTGTCGGGTATAGGTTGTGTCACATATCCAAAAACAGCAGAGCCCAAAGCTGCCGTAACCTCGGGCCCGGAGCGGGCATAGGTAGAGAGAGGGCCTAGAGACAAACTGCCACCCACCCCACGGAAAAAGACAAAAACAAAAAGAAAAGAAATTGAAAGAAAAGCAACTATACCACCATCGGCACCCCAGCCGGTCACCTAGGCCGGGCTCACCCTCACCGCTTTCTCGCCCACCAGGCCCCCACCTCCAGACACTCCCCCCAGCTAGTCCCATTCTCTCTCACCAGATCATTCATCATCTTGCCCATCCAGGCATCCCACTCGTCCTGGCTCTTACCACTAACCTCACGAAGTATGTGATCCAAGCTCTGTATCTCGCCCACGACCGTCATGAGTGCGGTATGCCTCAGCGCGGCAGCAGCCGGGTCCAACGACGGCCCCCCTCCCCCTCCCCCACCAGCGCCACTACCACTACTCCCACTATTCGTACTACTCGCCCCACTAGCCAATCTCTGCTTGGCCTTGCCCGTCTCAATGTAGCTTTTCCCGTCCTTAGTCACCACACCTCCTACCCCTTCGCGCTCCCAGCGCACCTCGGACAAGGGAACCGCCAGCCGGCGGCTGCCCACCTCCTTGAGCAGCTCGGCCTCCTGCACCAGCACCGACTCCATGGCGGTGCAGGGCATGGCGAAGAGGAGGCGCTGCTCCAGCGCCTTGGCCACCCACCCATTGTACTCGACCAGGTACATGTTGGTCGGCGTGCTGAGCGGCGTCCCGGGGGTCATGAGGTAGGCGGCACCGACCTCGGTGGCTGGGCAGCCTCCTCCTGGTTTATTATTAGGGTGCTGCTGCTGCTGGTCTGTTTCTGAGTTGTTGTTGCTGCTGTTGTTGTTGTTGGTATTATTGTGGTCGCTGGACCTGTGATCTTCGGCGTTAAATGTGGGTATGGGCGTTGGAGCAGGTATTACTGTGCTGGCAGAGTCCGGCACGTGCGGTCTCAGCATGCGAATGGTGTGGTCAGTCTCCCAGATCTCGACCGTCCCCCCAGGCTCGAGAATGCGAATATACTCGTCGATTAGGCCTTGTTGTATGTTCAATGGGGAGGCCAGACCCATATCCTTGACCATGACGAAATCGAACGAGCTGTCCGGGAAGGGGAAGGGCTGTTTGCGGATGTCGTGATGCACATAGTGCCAGTTCATGTCCTTATCCGGTCTGGTATCCGCTTCTGCCGACGCTGCTGACGATGGCGGCACTTTGGGGCCGCCTGACGTGGGAGGGAATGGGACGATGTCCATGCCCGTGAAGCTCATGTTTGCATGCTGTCCGCGGGCTTCGTAGTACCTGTAGCACATCATGCTCCAGAACCCGGATCCGCAGCCGACTTCCAGGATGCGCGATGGCGGTTTGTTGGCGAAGCGCGGGGAGCATATCGGCCGGCCGTGCAGCTGCATCAGGAGCATCGTCTTGAGCGTCTGGCGGTGGATCTCTTCCAGGTCGACCGGGAGGGGATATGCTATGGTGGGGTCAGAGAAGTAGGTCCGTCCATTGCGGACAATAAAGGGGCGGTGGTGATATGCCGGTGCCTCGCTTTGATGCTGCTCGGTCGAGGGCATTGTGCGGTTGCTCGCCGTCGTGTGGGCCGAGACACTGGACATGCTCTCAGCCCGGGGGAGGCCGGCGCTCCCCGGCACCTTTGCGCTAAGACTAAGTTCGGGGTACATGGCGGCAAGCTGGAGCTGGAGCATTCGGCGATCCGAGAAGCCGGCGCCTGCAGTAGCGGGGTTGCCAAAAGTGGCCGAACTGGTGGCGCTCGCAGAGGCGCTCGCAGATGCGGGCTCGGAAGCGGAAGCGGCAGCGGCCTGGGTATTTAGACGGGGAGTTGCAGGGAGCTGCTTGTCCTGGTAATAGTTGACAGGGGCAGACATGCGTTCCCGGTCGGAATCGCGCGGACCCGCATGGCCTGCCGAGTCTGATGTCACGATTACGGGCGCGCCGTCGACAATTCCGGCCCCGCCAGCGTCGAGCCCTGCCGGCGACGGCGCTTGCGGCCACGAAACGTTGTGCAGCAGGGGGTGGCCGTCGGAGCGACTGCTGCTTGTTCCCGCGCTGCTGGTCCTGGCGTGACCGTGACCCGGAATGCGCGATCGCCTCTTGTTAGTTGAACTTGTTCTTGTTCCCGACGTCGAATTGGCGCGCGCTGGCCCCTTTGAACGAGGAGAGGGAGGAGGATGCGGTTGCACTTGGTAGGCGGCGTGAGGAGCCCTGGCGGCTGCATATCCTGAGAGAAACTCCATTCTGGATGCTGCGGTCCCAGTGAAACTTTTTCTCTCCTTAATGGAACTGCAGGGGACGCGGCCGGGGACGGGGGGGTGTGCCCCGCCTAAGCTGCCGCGGCGCTGTTCCGGTGCGTTTGATGCTGCCGCTGCAGCAGCTGAGAGAGAGCGGGAGGCACCGTAATGGGGCCGTGCCGCTAGAAGGGTTAGGCTAGCAATGCGGCGTCATCCAGCGCAGCGCCTCCAGGCTCCGAACGCCCCCGTCTAGTGCAGGTCCCTCGCTCTACAGTAGCGAGGCAGAAAAAAAAGGAGGGGCACGGCACGCGGGAGGCGATAGGTAACCTGGATTCTGGAAATTGGCTTCTCCTTTTCGCACTTGGACCGCCTTCCTCCCACGCCCTCAACAGAAGGTTGCAACCGTTCGGTTCCAAGGGCCCGTCCCCTGGTTGCTCTAGGAGGAGAAACCAGTGAGTCGATAAGCACTTTGAAGCAAGGCAAATTGGCCCACCTCCTTCCTATAGAAAGGCGTCCCCAGGGCCTGGGCCTGTTTCGAGTCCCTGTAACTAAGCTCGGTCGTTTCCCGGTAGGTAACTCGATGAGCCGGCAACCCGTCGGAGAGTCGGACCCTTGGCCGCACTGCAACTTGCCGTTCCCCGTGGTGGATATTTCTCTTTATCCTTTCCAGACAGCAGCCCCGCCTTCTTCTTCTCACGGCCGGTTTTCTTCAAATGCTTGCTTGCTTCCTTCCTTGTCGAGGGTTGACAGGTCTCCGGCTACGGGGCTAGTGGAACCGGGGCCGACAAAAGCAATGAGCGACCAACAGACGCAGGCGGACGATTGATGCGACGGCGGCAGTTGGGGGTCACTTTGTCAGGGGATCCGTATATGGTCGCCCGACTGGGAGATTTTCGTGGGCAGGATGCAACTCCCTCGACTTTGCGTCGCTTCTTCTCGCTTCAATGTTCGCCAGGCATTGCGTTCTGATCATCCCTCATGGTTAGTACAGGGATATCCTCGACAGCAAACTGTCACGCGGCGCTGCTCCGCACAGCCCCAAAGGGCCGGAACGATATGGCCACGATCAATCGCGGCGGCGACTTGGCCCAGATGCTCAAAGTGTCTCTTGGCTCGTTCCGAGGAAAGCAACGATTTGAGGCTTTTGAGCAGCTTTGCCCTTCTGGCAGGTTCCAGGCCAGGTCAATAATAAGGGTGGTCGAGTTGAGACAAGAAACGGCCGACGATATTTTCACGAGTCGTCTATTAGTTGCGTGCTTTTATGCTGCGTGCGTGCTGCTGAGATATTATCATAAGGACGACAGCAATCATGGCAGCACCTGGTGTGGTCACTGTAGTGGCCTTGTTGTAGAGAATGGAATTCTTCTGGCTGAGACAGATTCGTGGCAAGAGGAAGCAAGTGCTTTAGTTATTCGACAGAGACGAGAAACCAACTACTAACTAATCGCCGAGTTTTACCTGGCACACACAACCTTTTACTACCTACCACTTTTTCTTCGCCCTTCGACCGCACCCGATCGTGGCAGGTTGGTCGACGCGGTGCCATACCAGTCTCGTCCATTACTTGCCCTCTTCTGGGCTCGGCCTCACCTTCGGCTGCCAATCGCGGAGAGACAGCCTCTTCTGGCAGGACAGGCTTCCCCGCACTGCAGCTAAAAAGCCCCTCCTAAGGTACCTACTTTTGGTTGGCATTGGCTGGCTGGGCAATTCCTGAGAGGCTTGCACACAGCTTGCTTCGCATGGATTTGCAGAGGGCGAATCGAATGATACCAAGCTTTGCTCACTCCGAGACAGAAGGATTTCTTGATCTCGCCATTCTTCTTTTGGGTCAGGCGCCGGCGGACGGACATCCTGCAACCCAGATTCCCTCTTCTGTGCAGTACTGCAAGGGCTCGCTGTGGATAACAAGTGTCCTTTGGCAGTTTTGTAGGTATTTGGTTGAAGCGGAGGCCCGTCTCAAGGAAGCTCTGCCGACTTGTATGTTATATTCGGGTGATGCTACTTTCAACCACTTTGCGACTTCATGCATTGGGTTAGCCCGCAATCAATGAACCACCGAGACCACTTAACCATGGAAGATATCCGCGAAGGTTCCACAGCTCAGAATCAAGGAGGCGTGTCTTCTGCGACAGGCTGACTCTTCTCCATTCTCACCGACTTGATCCGTCTCTTCGATGTCTTTCCTAGCTCACTGTGCCGTGTCAGTGCGCCGTTAGCTAGGAATTCAACAAACGTTACCAAAAGCATATGTGAGTGAAAAGGACTTGCAAGTGCGGTACAACAGAACTGAACGTTAGTACCGCATGTATGGTAATTACGTATCTTACTTCGTATCGTCTCAGATGTCATATCACGTGACGCTCTTAGGTAAGCAGGGCGGTGTTGGAGGGCATCTCTGCTGCAACTCCATCGCGGCGGGCTCCAACTGGAGGAGGCGGCGCTTGACACATACGAAGTAACGACTCGCCCAGCGCACACCCCATACATATCCTTCACTTCGAGTATCCATTGGACGACCACGGTATTATTGCCATCAGCAAGAGGTTGTTGCATTTTTTCTTTCATATTGTGAGCACTCTGTTCAGCGACGGGAAGAAAAGGGAACAAGCGAAACACAGCGGCACCTCAGCTTTCCCTGTGAGGCTTGTCGATTTTTGGATTTGACTCTCTTGTCCCAATCGTACCTCCACCAGGCAACTTGACTTTTCCCAGCACTCTATTGTTCTGGTTCTGTCGCTGACTCGCGGTGAATTCCCCAACAGGTTTGTAGTCTGGCTAAAGCAGGCAACAAAAAAGAACAAAGAGAAAAACCCAAAAGCGAAAAAAAAAGAGGAAGAAGATAGACAAAGTTTCGCTTCACCACCGAGCATCGTTTTCATCTTCTCTCGCGATCGTAGTGCCAAGCCAAAGGACTTGTCCGGCGTCTCGTCACCAACAATTCCGAGCGAACACACCACGGTTACGATATCTTTGCTGTGCAGTCCCCACCCGACTTTGCTGGTGGATGGCGCTCTGAGCGATCTTCAACCCCCGTCACCAGCCGCGGCAAAGGCGCTCAGCACACCACCTCCATGCCCGACCAAGATCTTGCTGAGCCTCATGCAAACCCCGCTTTCTCCAGCTTTAAACCCTCTACGACACCATACAGCCATCCTTCAAGTCCGTTTCCTACCGACCGCGCGAGCTGCCGTTCCGCCGCCTCCAGCACCCTGAACCTCGTTGCAGCATTACCCGTAGATGGCAGATGGTCGCGGCCATCTCTTGCACGCCTTGCCGAATCCGCTCTTTCCGAACGGCAGCCCCAATAGTCAGATCGCAAGCGGCCTCTTTCTGAACTCGTTTTTCGTTACCCAACTCATCGCTGCCCAGCCGCCGTCTCTCTCCAAAACCCCGGCCCTCGGCTCTGCGAGCCAGAATATCCGCGGCATGTACGGTCAGAACCACCAACAGGGGCACACCCGTATGAATGGCGCGCCGGCCCGGCAGCAGCCCATGCCCATGCTGTACAACTTCCAGCAGCAGGCGGCTCATGGACACCAAGCCCACCCCCAACACCATCAAGCGATTCAACCAGACCACGGCGGCCATGGCGCCAGCACGGGCATCATGGGCCATTCGGCCTTTTCAAGCGGCGTCTTGCCAAACGCCAGCCCCTTTTCCGGTAGCGCTCTGCAGAACGGAGCCACGTCGAGGGGTGGCCAAACCCAGCAGATCAACGAACACTGGGCGGAACAACTCCGGCTGCACAAGGAAGCCGAACGGGCACATGCCGCTATGACGGAGCAGCACCAACCCCACTACTATGCGAGGTTAAAAGCGGGTGAAAATAGGGGCATCGGCGGCGCCGCCCTCAGCAGCGGGGGTGCGGCACCCGCTGTTGATGGCGAGGATGACCGAAGAAGACCGTGGAGCTTAGACAAGTCCAACAAGCGACAGGACTGGCACAACCTGGACATGAGTGGCCAAGGGTTGCGTGTTCTTGCGCCCCCATTGTTCCACTACGAGTTCTTGCAGGAGCTCTACATTGCCTCCAACAGATTGACCTACCTTCCCGCCGACATTGGTAGGCTCCGCCATCTCCGCCTCCTCGAGGCCTCGAACAACCTCATCTCGGAGCTTCCGCCCGAGATTGGCATGTGCACTAACCTCAAGTCGCTCCTGCTATTCGACAACCAGATCCGCGATCTGCCCTATGAGGTCGGTTCGCTGTACCTCCTGGAGATGCTTGGCATCGACGGGAACCCTCTCAACCCCTCTCTCAAGGAGGAGATCATGGAACGCGGCACAAAGAGCCTTGTGAACATGCTCCTTGAGCAAGCTCCAGGTCAGTATCTCGGCACTCTCTCTATGGAAGACCCCACTGGTTGTTGGCTAATATCGCGGGTCTATAGTGCCCATGCCCCCCATACCGAGAAAACCGGTCGTGGTGCAAGAGGACGTGTCAGCGAATCTTGAGCGGATCAAGATCCTCACCTGGAACATACTCTGCGACAAGTATGCAACTACTACTTTGTACGGTTACACGCCGACCGGCGCGCTGTCGTGGGACTACAGAAAGGAAAGAATCATGCAGGAGATCCGTGATCGGGATGCAGACTTCCTCTGTCTCCAGGAAATTGCCACGGACGTTTTCAGGGAATTCTTCAGTCCCGAGCTCGCTCAGGATGGTTACAAAGGGGTACATTGGCCGAGGCCAAAGGCCAAGACCATGTCTGAAAAGGATGCCCAAGCTGTCGATGGTTGTGCAACCTTTTACAAGGCCAACAAATGGATCTTGCTTGACAAGCAGCTCATCGACTACGCGAACATTGCCATCAACCGCCCGGACATGAAGAATCAGCACGACATCTTTAACCGGGTGATGCCCAAGGACAATATTGGCATCATTTGCTTCTTCGAGAGCAGACAGACTGGAGCACGTGTCATTGTCGCAAATACGCACTTGGCGTGGGAACCGACGCTTGCCGACGTCAAGCTGGTCCAGACGGCCATTCTCATGGAGAACATCACGAGACTGGCCGAAAAGTACGCCAGGTGGCCGCCACTCAAGGACAAGAAAATGATCCAGATGCCACTCGAAGAGGGAGAGCAAAGGGCGGACGTGCCCGAGCCGGGCCCGTCACAAGAGTACAGGAACAACACCGACATACCGCTGCTCGTCTGCGGCGACTACAACTCAACCTCGGACAGCAGCGTGTACGAGCTCCTCTCCAAGGGGCGCGTCGGGCCCAGCCACAACGACTTTGGCGACCACCAGTACGGCAGCTTTACCCGCGACGGTGTCGAGCACCCCTTCAGTATGCGCTCCGCCTATGTCCACCTAGACGGCACTCCCGACGAGCTCACCTTCACCAACTACGTGCCAGGCTTCGCCGAGGTCATCGACTACATCTGGTACTCGACCAACACGCTTGAGGTCGTGGAACTGCTGGGTCCGCCCGACCGCCACCACCTTAAGCGCGTGCCGGGCTTCCCCAACTACCACTTCCCAGCTGACCACATCCAGATCATGGCTGAGCTGGTCATCAAGGCCAGAAAGGACAAGAAAATGGTGCCGGAGCCTGATTTTGGATCGGGGAACGGTGACCGGAGAGGTTGAGCGGGGGAGAGCATCGCTGAGTCGTCATCTCGTCCTTTTCCCTTTGCCCTCAAGAAGGTTCGGTTTGGGTTTTTGTGCGTTGGTGGGGCAGGCATGCAGGCACGCAACTGGTGTTCTGGATTCGAGATGGGGGGCGGATGCTTTGGTCGGTTGGTTGGCTGGTTTGGCTGGTCGGTCGGTCGGTCGGTTTTCCCGGGGGCTCCTGTAGAGAAGGCGGAGGGATGGAATGGGTTGCACATATGGAGAGCGGCTTGTGGCCGGTCGGTTGTCTATTCGTTTGTGCGGCTGCGACAGACTTGCGAATTGAACGGGGAGGTGAGCTAGAGGGGAGGAAAGGAGAAATGTGGATGTGGGCTTCTGAGGACATCATGTAGGAATATATGCCAGCCTTCTTTTTTGGTCGTCGCTTTCTTCCCTTATCTGTTCACCGCTTTTTGCTCTGCTTTGGTGCTTTGTTCTTACTGTTTGCTGCTTCAGAAGCGTCTGCGGTAAATGGGGATTGGCTTGCTTTGGCATGGTACAGTACCACTGGTCCGGTTGGTTCGTATTTGTTTGATCCCTTCTTCTATCACCGTTGCATTGGGGAACCTTCTTTCAAGTCAGGAGAGGCTGCATGGGGGAAGATGGCAGATGCATAGTTTAGAACGTTGTGGTCATGCTTTTCGGATTGGATTATCAAGTGTTCATACCAATGGCAGTGGGCGGAATGTGGCGCGGTTGAGTTCTGTCATTGCGTTCAGCGTGGACCAGATGAGGAATGAAGGCTAAGGGGGGAAATGGGCGTTTGCAGAGAGTTCGCCGGATTTCTTGGTTGTCTTTCTGATCGATACTGCCATGTATTATTGTGTGGTTGCCCGTTCAAAAAGGGAGCAAAGAGACCAGTATATGAGGAACATAGGGGTAATCAACTTCAGGGGCGCAAGAGACTTCCAGCACGCCAAACGGAACCCCTTGAGCTGGACTCGTATCGACAGTCAGCGGGTGAGCATTGCCGCTTGTCACATTTTCTTTCTTCAAACAGTTCGTGAAAACACTTGCCGCGATGGCCCGATGTAGAGATACACCAAGATGCCAGTGGCAGCCCAGAATTCTTTGGGCCTCAATGTAAATTGAATCATGCTGTAATATTAAATCGCGATACTGTAAATGTCTTTCACCCAACCGCGACCAAATGAATGTCCAAGAATCTCATAAGTCGTCAAGCGGCATGGCATCGTCGTCCATGCCAAACCCTTGCCGAGAAAGCGGCACCGATGATGTTTTCCTCTCAGCCAGCTCGCTCAAGACATTCAGGTCCGAGACGGGCACATACAAGCCCGCGATCCCGCCCATCGCCACGACGACTGCATTCCACCGGTCCGCATTTCCCATCTTGTCTTCATCCTCTTCAAGTATCGTGTATCCGTTCCACCTCGTCACAATCCCCTTCAACCCGAGAAGGCACTCCCAACCCCTACTTGTACTTGTACTCCTCCCAGGAGCCCCAGCCGCTGTACTTGTGCTCGCCGCGCCAACACTTCCTCCGCCACCGCAACACACCAACAACTTGAAACCCCTACCAAGAGGTCCCGGTCCCCTACGCCGCCTCCAAGGCGGCGGCCATCTTGCGCTTAAAGATGCGCGCAATGACCTCCGCGTTGGGGCCGAACGAGCCCGCAGCCAGGACATCGCGTTTCTGGACCTTGATGAACTGGACCCCCTTGTTGTTTCCGTTGGTTGCTCCGTTTTGGCTCTTATCGACCGCCTCGCAGACGGCCTTGACGATGGCCTCGTACTCGTCGTCGGTGAAGCCGCCGCCAAAGAAGACGGCCTGGGGGGTCTTGCGCTGGGCCGGGTCGGTGACGGCCGCGTTGGTGCCCAACCCCGACGCGGGCACCTTGGTCAGGTCGCCTGCGAAGAGCGCTGGTAGCTCTTCCAAGGCTGAAGGCAGCGAGAGGGAGCAGTGGACGACTTTCGGATTTGTAAGTTCCCCCGGTAAGAGGGGAGTTGGTGTAAGTTAAGTAGAGCACGAAACGAAGGAGAGTGTTGAAGCGGAGGATGATAGGGTTGGATGGAAGGGGAGTTTGTTTGAAGCCTGGTTGTTTGATGACCAAAGGGGGAGTTCACAAAAGATTTCAGGAGGAGTAGTTCGAGTAGATACCACTACCAACCTTCATACTCTGGGAGAAGCTTTTCGGAAACGGACTCGGCAATCTTGGAGTCCTTGCCGTATGTGGCAACAGGAATGGGGGCGGTGGTGGTGGCCATTGCTGAGGAATCTCAAGAAGGAATATATGCAAAAACTGGTATGGCAAGGGTAGGTATGTGACTGAGAGGGAAGGTCCTCAAAGGGGGCAGTGTACGATACAGGCCGCAAGGGTCGGCAGCCTTCCCGTTTCCCGAGTAAGGATGAGATGGGAACTAAGATCTGCGATGCGGCGGCTGAAGACGGTGAAGGACGAGCTGTACAAGAATGCGCAGGTGGCCGTGTCTCTTGGTCGCCTGAGAGCAAGATCGAACCCCGCCTTGGTGGCTCACTTATTTATAGCCCCCTTTTTCAAGCCATTCTCATGGATCGCAAAAGAATAGGCTCGCACTCGCAAAGCCGTTGCGCTTTGTTCATCAGGCAACATGCCATATCGGAGTCTGAGAGTTTGAGGGTCGGCAAACTCTGTTTGGCCTCCTTTGCGTCCGATGGGGTATGTAGCATCACCGTGTAGGACTGACAGTCGGTGACCGATGAATGTCAGCAAGCCAACAACAAGGCCATGGGTGTTCTGGAGAGCTGGCGTCATTGGGTGGACGTTGGGTTGGGGGAAGCCCGTCCCGAATCAGCCGCATTTCTTCTTTCCCCCGCTTTGCAGTCGTGGCACCCGCTCGCCTTGCACTTCTGCTTTGTATTGTGGCACAGCCTTCCTGGGAGTAGGAGCGTTTTTATGAATGGGATAGGTTGGCCTTCATGTGACTTGAGTTTGTCCCCAGGTTTAATTCCGGCGTCAATGCGTGCGTGCGGAGAGGGGGCTGTGGACGCCGCCAAGCGAACCGAATGCGTGGAATCAGCAAAGCCAGATTGCTATGTATAGCTGGGCGACGCGTCTGCATATAGCCTCGTTCTGCCAAAGTTGTGGCGCGTTAAGTCGGTGACGCGAAGGACGTAGCAACGGCTGTTGCATGGCAGCGGGTACACTGAGCAGACAGGAACACATTTGGCTGTATCCGTATCTCATCCATTCCGCCGGAAAATCTGGCTCAAATCCACGAGGCATGAGACGCGAAGCTGTCGTTCTTCCAGGCGGTGTAGGCATCGCTTGATCCCGCAACTCAAGCCTGATATCTCTTAGCCCCTTGCAGGAACAAGCTTTCCACCGCCGTCTCAGATTGAAGAACCCATTGGATCCGTCTTCTTGCCATTATCCAGCGAACGAAAGGTCGTGCCAAGCCCATCTCCCCAAACACAGTCAGATCTTCTTGCGCTCAAAACCATGCCCCTTGAACCAGCAAAGCTCAGCGGCGCCGATGCCCAAGCACCATGTAAACACAAACCCAAGCAGTCAACAGGAGTTAGACATCAAGTCTATTATTACAACCAGCTAGACCGCGCTTATCAGTCATGGCTAGGTATCATGACAGACGCGGAACAACCAGTACACCGTTCAACCAACCCGTTTCAAGTCGCCGCGTGGTATTTCCATTTGACGCGAACATATCCCACCAGTAGCCCAACTTCCCACATATCCACCATTAAATTCGAGGGCAGTAGTAATCCAACCCGAACCTCAAGACGCCCCGCCTCGCTACAACACCTCCAAGATCCAACTGAACAAACAAACAAGTAGTGACAAAGGAAATTTTTGTTCGATGACGAATTTATGCGCAATCTGGTGCTGTTTCCGACCCCAAAAGGAACCCTCCACTCGTATGCGCCGAGGACTTCCAAGGACGCAGCAAGGACGCTAAGCAAGGCCAATTGATATAGCAGAAAAGCCCCAGACTCCAGTATAAATGCCAAATGCCGGTTTCAAGATGTTCTATGGGGAGCAAGGAAAGAAAACAAAGAGTGTCGGGTACGGAGGTTCACCGGAGGGCCCTTCCTGTACCATGTTGCGGCCGGGGAAGGCGTTGATTCGGTACTCTTTGGGGTCCCGGATTCCATCAGAAGCTGTAGGCTAATCGGATCAACGTCCCCCGGACCAGCGTCACTACCTAGGAAGCGTGTTGAAATCCATATCCGGACCCATCGAGTTGATCCCCAGCGTACCTAGCGTGTTCATGTCCGAGTTGGCTCGTTGAAGCGCCTGGAAGTCACCTACTGTACGTATTTGTGGTAGGCCCATGGCGAAGCTGTTTGATCGTTGTGGCGGTGCCCTAGCTAACAGGCTGCTGTTGCCAACAGCCTGGCCGAGACTTGTGCCTATCCCAGCAGCAAGTCCCTGGTTGAGATGAATCTGTGATGCAAGACGTATGTTGGGTGGCGGGTTAACGTTGGTGGCAGTAATTCCTTGCATCTGGGCGTTCGGGGCCGGAAATGAGGATGCTGGCGGTTGAGAGTGGTGTGTTTGCTGGTTATTTAGACCGCCCGAAGTTGCCATGTTTGAAGGAGGAGGTGCATGGCCAATTGGACTCATGACCATCTCGGGCATCGAATTGAAGTCCGTTGGCAAGCCGTGAGGTATATCCATACCGGGAGACATGATCGCCGGCGAGCTGACAAACGGTGAGTTCATATCGTTGCCGCTCGACGGGGCACCCGTCGGACTACTGGAATCCGAGTTCATGTCGTCGAGATGGGGGACTGCAAACTTATTGTCGAAGTCCCCTGCGGAGTAGACAGGTGGTTGAGCCATGCCAGCATTCCCAAACCCGTCGAAGATATCAATGTTGCAAGGGGCTGCGTTCTCGGGAGCGTTTTGCAGCATCGGGCTGGCCAACTTGGGAAGGGCGGCCTGGACCTTGCTCAGCAATAGGGGGAGGAAGTGATGCTCTCCATTGCGAAGAACTGTAACAATGTTCAGAATCTTGCGCAGCTGCTCGTGAGGACCGGGTGTGAACGAAGTCCGGGGTGCCGGTTGCGCGGCGAGTATCTCAGTCAAGGAGCAGGTGACGTTAAGCAGATGTTCGGCAAGGCCAAGGCCGTGCAAGCCGAGGTTGCCGGGAAAGTGGGACACCATTGGAAGCAGACCGTTGATGGTATCCACATATGGGACTCCAGAATCATTCCCATTGCCGTTAGCCATGCTCAGTTCCCAAGCCTTGTGCTTGAGCCACTGCTGGTTTACTTGCATTTCGGAGAGCTGAGCCTGTGTGTCGTTGGGATAGGGCGCCAAGACTTCCTGGAGCTGCTTTTCCAAGGCTGAGAGATACGAATCGGAACAATCACGCTTCGTCTTCATCCACAGAGGGAGAAGAGTCTCGTCAAATCCACGAAACAGATCAATCTGGCGCAGGAAAGTGGGTGCATGGTGGAGAAAGGGGTCTGCAGGATGATCTCCAGAAGACGGCGGGTTTATAGTGGCCTGGAGCGTCAGAGGCCGGTTGTGCTGCAAGGCGTAGGCACTAGACACCATGCTTGTCAGCTTCAAACATCAGATCAGGCCACAAGAAGTGACTCTTACCGCTCAGTTATGAAGAGTAGCCAGAACAGCCGCCTGCGTCTGGATGCATCAATGTTATCACTGGTATCGTACTGCAGGTATGTCCGTTCCTCATTCATCCGGATGATATGTGCCATTGTCGTAGCTTCGCGCAAGTAGAACCACGCCTTGTCGTGCATGTCAAGCCCATGGTGGACCGCGAAAAGGAAATAGCTCGTGCAGAGACTGTTAATAGTTGGAGAGGCTACGTAGTCGTAGCCCTTGCGAACACGGATCGTCTCATCCATTAGCAGCGAGCTGGTGAGGATGTTCCCGCCAAACATCATGTCTGGGTTAAATGGATCGTTTACGGGCATTCCCATGGTTGGCAGCACCATGCCCGGCTGCAGGCAGACAAATGCGCAGAGTGACGTGAGAAGACAGTAGGTATCCAGATTTTGATCCATGCACATCGTGTCCTGTTCCAGGCGCTGGGGGTCGAGTATCGGCATCATCGGATACATATGGGCGAAGAAAAACTCGATGCACGCCTTGAGCGTCTCCTTGGACAAAAGCCGCGGGTTCGGCGCAAGAGTCGGGCTTGATGCGACGCCATTCATTCCGCTTTGAAGCTTGGCTGAGAGGCTGGTTTGTCGCTGCGTCTCTTTCAACTCGTTAATCACCTTGGCTCGTGAGCCTTTGGGGCCCTTTTTCTGGGGAATTGCATTATATGTGCAAGCCAGCTGCGAGGCCGAACAATTGCGGCATGGATTGATGCCATCGCACCTGACCTTGCGACGATGGCAGGCGTCGCAGGCCCGCTTCACCGCCGTCGTCATGGTGTCGAACGTGTGATGCTACCTGCAAGCCCGTTCAATTGCTGAATTCGGCGAAGAAGGAGCCCGTGTCCGGAGGCAAGCATCCACAGCCCTATTTTCAGATGAAATCCAGCGCGCTGGGACGGTCTGGGGCGATGGTGCGCAATCGTGGAGACTCCAGAGAAGTCGATTGCAGCAATCTGGGGTTGAATCGGCCCGTCAGACTGGTCGGTTAAGATCGCTGGGACCGCACGATGGGTCGTGGACAGAGTTGACTGGCAAAGACGGCCCCTAGCAAAACTAAAACATCAATGAGTGAACTACGTCCCCCAGCGCTGCAGTAGACAATTCGCACCTGGCCACAACGTGTTGTGGTGTTGTTTGTCGACACTCAAAACGGGAGCAGGACGTCGGCAAAGAAGGGGAGAGGAATCAAAAAGGGACGGGAAATGAAGAAATGGGACGGAGGCCAGGATGAAAAGCGAAACGTCGAGTGGGAAATGGGCCCCAGCCTGGCCAGTGCACTATGTAATTACCGAACTAACGGTAATAATCTTGTTACGGAATGGCGGCTATGCTGACTGATGAAGCTAGGCTCGGCACTAGAATTGACGACTCTTCCCTGCTCTCAACGAAACGGAGCTCATTTTCTCAGCGCAGAGTGCGGAGGCGCATGAAGACCATTTTGGCGCATCGCCTGGAGCGCTGGGAGTTGTATCAAAGACGCGACAGGGAATCGCCGTGGCCTTTCCATTCTGTACGAATATGTAGCTGTATGCACTCGGTGTATGTACAAAATTGTGCAGCGATATCTATGGAGCAGCCTTAACTGTTCCAATGGCCATACTGCTGCAAATCTTTCCGACCATAGAGCGCCGGCGTTCCCCGTTGCAGCCGGAGATAGTTAGGTTTTCGATTTGATGATATCCTACGGAGTAGACCTTATTGACTATAATTAAGGTCAGCACAGTCCTGTATTGCATTGTACAGGAGGTTCGGTCATTGAGATCCGACTGTCTCACTCTGTAACTGTAGCCGGACCGTTGGATCGACGATTTCACTTGAAGGGAAGATGGCCGCCTTGCGATCGAGCTGCCACAAGATCTGTAGCCGCCAACTACGTTGTAGATGAACAGGCCCCAAGGTATTCATAGTTGAACAGAGGTTCGTTCCCTGCGTTGTTATGTACAGTACCTTGTTTCAATCAGTGCCTCAAAAAATAGACAAGAGTAAGACGGATCGGAAAACGGTGGTGCATATACTACGTACAGGGCACTATGTACTTTCGTACTCCGCACTCGCGGACATTGTGGGATTTAGCCAATCACAGCCCGCATGGTTAAGGAAACGTTCGATGCATCTGGGTAACGTTGATGCATTAGGAAGGTGCTTGCATGTTTCGATCTCCGTTTAGCCACGCTAACTTCAGGTGAATGAAATTCAAGGAGTGCACCAGTCTCCTTGCCCGAACACGCAGAGTCCAGGTCATAATGTGTATCCGTATGTACGATATTTATATACTCTACGAAGTACAACAATATCTACTCCGTGTTCCTGGGCTTATTGGGTTGCCCGATTCATTGTCTTGCATTCCCCGTTTCTCGCCATTCATGTCCAATCTAGCTATTCGCAACCTGAGTTCAGTACACGTATGGGTGATATATTTGGGGCATCGGACATCACGAAGAGTGTATCCTTGTTGCTTTTGGGGTTTTGGATCCTCGCTGCCAGCGTGCACTGACAAGCTGCCAAGTGCCAATTCATCAAGGCGCGACACGCATCTGCCGAGAACCGGCAATCCTGCTCCTAACACTAACAGTGATTATGGAGTACTTCGTAAACACCAAAGATCCTTAAAACATAGTGTAATGCACGCCTGGTTGATAATGTTACCTACCTTAGACATCCAGTGGATGATGACTGTGCTTTCGTACAATACAGAATGATCCGAGGCAATGGGTCAGGGTCAAAGTACATAGGTCACCGACAGTCGAACCCTGCGATACCGCCTACCTTATGCGCGACATCCTGTCATCCGAACGATGGTGTGGATACGGATTCCTGCGCAGTGCGCACCGTTCCAGTCTCCGACTCACCCGTGCCTAGGTATGTACTCCGTACTGTGTACGGCAAATGGCAAAGAAACCGTTCAACAGACCGTTTCTTTGGTTGACAGCGGGGAAAGAAGAAACGGGGACGAGGTTGCATTGAAGGAGTGGTAAAAGCTGGGGCCGAGCCTTGGGAATGCGGAGGATCCCTAGCATATTCTGCCCTGGCCGCCCACAATCGGGCCGACAAGGCTGAGGGCAGCTCCATGCCACTCCGCCCAATCAGATCTTTTACCAGATTCCTGATCCTCACTCAGCCTTGCTCCCTGACTTCGAGCATCACGGTCAGCACTACTCCGTACTCCGAGTACAACCGCACTGGGACGCATTCGTGCTAAACACAGAGAACCTTGTGTCGATTGCTGCTCCAATGCAAAGGGCTAGGCAATCAACCTAGTCTCGCCCGCTTAACCTTGTCCGACAAACCTCAGCCTGACACCCGCTTCCTCGACTGTCATACACCTATCAATGCGCCGCATATCTTACCCATGAGCCATGTTTCCGTGATGGCCAGGTCCGTGGCGACTGTGGAACGTGTAGGATAATACAATATTACCAAAGTCAGTCTAATCGTGCTTTAGTACAGTCTGCCCCCAAATCCCCCACGACGGGATCACTTAACAGCAATTGTCAACCCACTATTCGAAATCCGGCAGTCTCCATCCAGCCTTTCAGAGCAAAGCTCTTGCCAGTAGGCCCGATCTTTCAAGCCTGACAAACAGGACTTGTTGTGTAGCTGGTCAACCGCTGTCAGTGATGGTTTGGAACCTCGAAGCCCCTTAACGTTAGGTGCTGCACGACCCTATCTGTACTCCAGTTGGTCCGGGTCGTGGTTCGGACCGATGCAAGTGTCTGAGCCTGAACAACCCCACTTTATAGGTTCAATTCAGCTGGGCAGCAAGCTGTAGTCGGTATCGCTTCGAGATCATCTGTTCCACATCTATTCGTGAGGTGTCCTTTGCAGCTAGAGCCGCTACCCCATCTCTAGTCGGTCCTTTGTGCCTAGACATCGAACAATGGGAAGCCGCCTGCTTGACCATCTCCTTCCTTGGCTCGGGGTTGGCGAGGAGAATGGCCCGAGAGAAAGGCCTCTCTCCGCGCGTTGACCAGCGACAGATCTTTCTTGCTGCAGAGACTATCATCTTAGGTTGCCTCCAGGCAACAGTCGGCCCGTCATTTGCGTATCGAACTACAGCGCGGAAGCCAAGCCCTTCACACACCGGGCAGTAGGAACCTGGGAACCTACACATATCCATGCTGAACCCAAAAATACCGGAACGCCCAAAAGACCCAGCCAAACAGCCCAGCCCATGATTACGCGGCCATTCTCATAACTCAAAGCTCTCCCTTGGGCCTCTTGGGAAGATACCTGACCAAAGGGGCGCAGTTTCCCGCCTCCTCTTCTCTACCAAGATCTTGGGCTGGCACAAATTGGCCCGTCTGCAAGCTCCCCTTGATGAAGTAGACATACCGGACCTCTTGCAGAATGTCCGCCCCGCCGCCGTTGCATTTCAACACCACTCTGCCGCCGGTGAACCTCTCCAGTGCCCTTTGGACGTCAGCCAGCGCGTAGTGTCGCCCAGAGTCTGGCACGATGCCCGCCTTCTCGAGGGCTCTGTAGGTATCGAGCGTGCGGAAGAGAGCGGCCGCCCGGGTGAAGTAGTCGACAACCTCGAGCCCGGGCTTGTGCGCTGCGCCGTAGCATCGAGGGGAGAGCGTGTTGATGCATGTTGCGTAATTGTTATATTCGGTCTCCCAGAGGAGGGAGTTTGGCCCTCTATGGATAAACGAAGGGTTTAGGAACTCCAAGCTCGTTGGATGGGGGATGGGGATAACTTACGACGCCGCGGGCCAGTAGCGGCTCATGAACTTTAGGAGATTGTCTTGGCCATAATTCCGCAGCACAGTGGCGATGTCGGTGTAATATGGAGCCAGGTGGCAGTATTGATCATGATGAGTGCCATCGCAGAGAACGGGCCTGATGTATTAGCGGTCAAGGTCAGCGCTGGTCCTTCGGCTCTGTCCTCCTAGTCTGCCGGGCTAAGGTTTGCCTCTTTTGACTGGAACCGCGGGAGAGAATGAGAGCATCTCATACCGTAAGCCACGCAACGTCCAATCCTCCTCAATGCCGCTAGCAGGCACCCGCTGGTCCCATGATTGTATGAGCAGGATCCGGCCGCCAGGGTGGACGAAACAGCACGAGTCGCCAGCGACAGCCGTTTTGTTGTGGCAGCTCATTGGCCCGTCGTCAATTGGACACCTCGGTGCGCCGCTGAGAGGTTCGTATGGGGAGACATTGCGCAGGTTGCTATCAAAGAGTGGGAGCTGCGAGAGGAAGTTGCTTGCATAGGAAACGAGGGCACGCAGCGAAGGCGCCATGGCGCCGCCGAGATAGTAATTCGGAATCGCAGTCAGTGTGGGTGAATAAGCCTCGTCGATGCGATCGGAAATTCAAGCTGGTATTACTGCGAGATACAATGAACACACTGCTGATCGACGGGAACGGCTTTGGGATGGGATGAAGTCAAGAACCAGAGGATAGGACCTGAACATCCCTGGCTGTTAAGGGCTTGGCGCTGCACCCCAGGCCCTAGTGTTAAACCGCCAACACAACCGAGACATGAACCTTGTGAGTCGCGCAATCAGATTTGCAACGTCCGATGCCATACCGAAGGCTCCGCAGTCACGACAGACATCGAACACTGCGGATTTATCACCACAAATGCCATATAAAGAGTACATGCGATTCGCTTGTTGAAGTGCTAGCCCATTCATTTGCTGTTGTCAATAGCCGTACCTGAAAACCGCCACAATGAAGGATCATATAATCTCTATCACCTTCACAAGCATCCGCCCCTGATTACAGGTAGAAGTCATCCCTACCGAAACCACCAAGAGGATAACAATACAACCATCACCAGAAACTAAAGCGCCCCCTACTTCTCTGGCAATACAGCCTACAGTGCACATCAAGATGGCTCCTCATTCATCGGATTATTTTCCCCCTCCCATAACCTACCACCCTATCACCTCCCCAGAGATGCCGAAACAGACCTTCATCCTCCTCCATGGCCGGGGTTCGAGCGCATCCAAATTCGCCCCGGCTCTCCTCTCCACGCCCTTCCAATCACCTCCCACCCACACCCCCTTAGCCGCTCCAAGCGACCTGGTCTCATCACAACCGCCACAACCCGCCCTGGAGAGGCCAGATCCAGAAGCCCAATCGCAACCTCAACCTCAAATATCATCACCACTCACGCTGAAAACCGCCTTCCCCACAGCAAAACTCCTCTTCCCTTGCGCGCCCCGGCAGCGCGCAACAATCTACAAACGCAGCCGCATCAACCAGTGGTTTGACTCCTGGCACATGGACCTCAACCTCGACGTCAATGTGGACAATAACAACAACGAGGATCTATCCTCCCACCAACGCCTTCACCACCACCAACAGCAGCAGCAGCAGCAACAGCGGTGGTGGCGGCAGTTCGAAGGCGAGGAGTGGCGTGCCGTTGATGGGCTGCACGCTACCGTCGCGCATCTTCACGAGCTGATCCGCAAGGAGGCCGCACTCGTCGGCGGGCCGGGGAATATCTTTCTCGGCGGGATCAGCCAAGGTTGCGCCGCTGGGCTGGTGGCGCTTCTTTTGTGGGACGGAGAGAGGTTGGGGGGCTATCTAGGGATGTGCGGGTGGTTGCCATTTGAGCGAGCAATGAGCAGTATTGTTTCTGATAATGGGAAGCAGCAGAAGCGGGAATTGAGTTCTGCAGATGATTATTGGGAGAAGGGGTTTGATCCCTTTGTGCGCGACGGAAACGTCGAGAATGAGGAGCCAGCTGACGGAGCTGCTCGCGCTGTGAAGGTGTTGATAGAGAAGCTGGAACTAGATTTGAAACCACCACCCTCGCGTCCACGGTCGTTTGATACCCCTATCTTTCTTGGTCATGGGGATCAAGATGAAAACGTGGCCATGGCGCGTGGCAAAGAGGCAGCGGAGTGCTTGAGAGCCCTGGGCTTCGATGTCTCGTGGAGTGAGTACCAGGGCCTGGGCCACTGGTATTCCGCAGAAATGCTCACAGACATGACGATCTTCCTGAGGGCCAGGGCTGGTTGCGAGAAAGAAAATGAGACGTTCGTGACTGGCATTACTGCATAACACTCAAGCTGTCCCTCCCTATGCTCTCCCCCAGTCTAAACCTCCATCCATACAAATGCCAAAATTCAACGCCGAAGTACCCTCACAATGAACCGAAACACCGATTATGCCCGAGCCACCACCCACTCACAGACCGCAATTGGTGAGAGGCACCTGCGCGACGGCCGCATCGACGCGGCCCAAAGCCTCAGCCCGCCCATTTGTCAGATCGTTCATGGCGCGGAGTCCGATGTTAAGACCCGAGCCAGCATGGTCAATAGCCAGAACGTTGATGGTCTTGCCGTTGTACGAGACCGACCAGCAGGTGCCGCAGTTGCCCGAGTTCCAGCCGCCAATAGCTTCGGAGCCGCCGATGTAGGGGAAGTTCTTCACATCGCCTTGAACCTTCCAGTTGTACTTCCACATGACGCCGTTGGTGCCGTCCGAGCAAGCCACTGCGGTGAGCGAGCGGTTTGCGTCATCATAACCAGCGTCATAAGAGACTATGGAGGCGCGATGTTGGTGTCAGTGTTGGCTCAATAGGCTGCAGGCAGTGCAAAGGGGGATAGCGGGGGCCCAGCATACCTGTGGTTGACGAAGCTGCGGCGAAGACAGAGAGGATGCTGAGGATCTTGGAGAACTGCATCTTGATGGGTGGATTGGGACTGATATTGGTGAATGAAGATGATGGCTTGAAGAAATGTGGAAGACTGCTGTCTGAGATCTGTTTGTGGATTGATGAATGTTGTTCTGGTGATGAGCAAGCCAAGTGAAGCAAGTTGTCTGGAGAAGAAGAAGAAGATCGGGAGAGGTTCAGGTCGGGCAGTGTCCATTATATCCTTGAGGTGCTGCCCTCTTGGGGTCCTTCCTCGCTTCCCCGGAGGAGGAGTGCTCTGTCCATGATCAACCAGGTTCTGGCGAGCTCTGGCAACCGCAGCCGTTGACACTCCACTGCTGAGGAGTACGTACGGTGCCGTCGACCGTCCTCACCTAATACGGCAGCTCCTTCCCTTGTGTCGTCATAGCCTCGGTCTTCCGCAAATTCTCCCCGTCTGAGGTGAGGCGACAATGGCAACCGCCAATGGAAGCTGCATCCATCCGGCTGTCACCTCAACGGCCATCGCAAGAATGCAGGTGCTCATCGCAGAAAACCGCTGCACCTGCCAGCTTGACGATGGAACAGCTGCTTACATAGTGCTTTCCTTTCGTATTCCGAGGTTTGTCGCTGATTGCGGCGCAGAGATGCAACTGCAGTCAAGGATCGGCACTTGACCACCCTCGTATTCCACGGCTAATCCGCCCACCGTACCACTTCTGATGGAGCACAAAGCCGATCCGATGCGGAGCTGGCACGACCCGCATGCATAGTACTATAAGATATGCACCGCAAACCCTACGATTGCCGGAGCTGCGGGGCCGCAGGTGCCGTGGAATGGCTGACCAGGTGACACCAAGAACCGGGCACTCGTCCGAACGAGTAGGTGCAAACCGTAAGGGTTTGTATACGTAGCAAGCGAGGGGCCTCATTCTGGATTCTTCCGTCATCCGTCCGCCTGTCATACGTGCTTAACTTGAGAATCAGGTCTCAGGCTCCACGACGTCGCTCGTACTGAGATGTCGTGACAGGATAAACAGTAGCCGCCTTCTACGCTAGAGCTATAAGTGCTCAACGCTCATGGAACGAACAGGGCCTCGCCTTGACCGGGATGTGGTGATGCTTCCTTCCCAGCTAGTGACTTCTTCATCTGACCCAAGCACACGGCATCAGTTTTCAGATCGCGTCCTGTGTAGAGTCTCGTTTGGCTTTCCTGGCTGGTAACTGCCTCGTTGCCAACGCCAGGATACCTGTAACACGTATCTCTGTTAGCCTAAGCCGGTGCTACGCTAGCACGCGGAAAGGAACCAGACCGTAGAGATGACCATGCTGTTTATGCAGAATCTCTCTCTCCGTTATGGCCAGAGATCTCATGCCACCTCCTGAGGGCCAGAGCCCCCACCTCAAACGGCCTCCCAGTCCATAGCATCCACCATGAACCCCCACTGGTCCTCCTCCTCCCAAGGCCCTACGCCATCATGGCCCACCCTCCCATCATCCTCGACCATATCCATGTCCGCGTCTGTATTCGGCCGAGCACCGTCACGTACAAACTGCTCGGCAACATGGTAGGCGTCATCCAGCCCTTTGAAGATGATCTCTAGCATCCTCTCGAGATCGTACGTCTCCAGCGGCGAGGCAACCCTCTTGGTATGCCACTCGCGCTCCCCCTTCGCAGTGGCGGAACCCTCAAGAGAGCCATTATTGGCCTCAAGCTCACATCCTTCTTCTCCCGCTGTCTTCCACCGATTCCGCAGATCCTTTGCCCTCCCGAGCCGCTTTCGCACTTCTCCGGTACCGAGTGTCTCGTGTAGCGGGTTATCTTCCTTATCCAGCGCTGCGAGAACATTGGCATGGTACCGATGCTGGCCTTTGTTCTTGCTCCACGCGCTCCCCGCCAACCCATTTGACTTTCCGGCGTTATCGGCGCAGGGTTGATTCCAGCCGCCTTTGGGAACGTCCACACCATACACCCCAAGGAGGTGCACCAGGGCCCTCTCAATGAGCATGTAGTATTCGAAAAAGTCCAACTTGAACATCAACTCGGCTTCAGCCACCGCAACGGGATCCTTGCCGAGCCGATCGATGGCTAGGTTGTAGCCTTGGGCGAGGAAAGGAAGTTTCCATTGCAGGCGGCGGATTATCTTGCTGTACCGGGCAAGTTCGTGTTTCGCATGCGGTGACGGGTATTGGGCGTTGTGGAGGTTGTAGGAGGGATGGGAGGTGGTGAGGGCGGTTGGTATGCGACTCGGAGTATCATTACAGCAGTCGGCGCGGGCGGGAGCCGCGGGTAGGGATGAGGATCGATGGGTTGCATTGCTGCAGCTCGTTGACTGTCGGGACCCCGGCGCATGCCGTGAGGCGCGGAGTCCGCTCATTATCCTTTAAAATAGTTGAGAATAGTTGCCTACAAAAGCTATTGGTCGTGAACTTGTTGTGTATGGCGCATACTGCAGTGACCGGCAAGACACTCATGGATGGCATTGGCGGTCAAGGAACCGAGAAAGATATTCCACAAGTTCGGAAGGTAGTTTGAAACAGATCACTGCCTTGCAATTCTCCACCATGTCAATACCATACGGCCAGCTGACTCCATTCCCGCCAGCCGACCAGCGGCAGGTTAACTTCGACAAAGGTCACCGTCAAAATCGTTGTTTCTCCAGTACGATGCACAGATTGGGGATATCATCACGTGCTAGGTGAAACTTTGTTGGTTTCAACCTTCGAGCCGACTCAAAAGCTTCCGTGTCAATACATACATCATGATGGGAACAAATGCGCAAAGACGGCTCAATAGGAACTCTAATAGTGGCGCGTTTTGGATGGCTTGCACTCAAATCGCGTGGTCTTCTTCCTCACATCCCAAGCAAAGCCCAGGAGTGCAATGAAAAAGAAGTTCGCGTCGCCTGGAGGCAGTGTAATACCAGGGACACTGTGGCAGACGACCATGGGCAAGCCCAGAGGGAAGTCCGCCGAGTGACAAAAATTGGAATAATCACGATTCTGCTCCGTAGAGCAGTTTCAGAGATTAAACTGAAAAGAACAGATACTACACTTGATCTAAGCCAAAAGGCAAAGAGAGCTAAGGAAAAGAAGAAGAAAACAGAGCAAAAGGTAGGAGGGAGAGCGAGATTATATACCCGCTGATGGTGGTCTGTGCCTGTCTGCATTCTGCAATTTTTTCAATTGGTCCGTGCGCGTGACTCTGGCCGCTGGTGGCTGTGCCTCTTTCCCCAAAAAGCTCTGCCACACAACAACTGTGCCACACCCCAGTCATGTACGTACCTTACACATTTGCCGGGAAATGGCGCGTGGACTGAGATTTCCGCATCTGTCTTATCCATGTCTCCTCGCAACTTCCAGGTTCCCTTGTTCGAGGACAAGTTATTGTGTTCATTGTGATGGGGAATCTTGAATTTTGAGGCCCGTGCCAGCTGGCCGATATGTCATCGCCGTTTAGGTTTCATTGCAGATCTCCCCTATGTCACCACACTTCCTCTTTCCCTCCGCGCTTTCCATCACTGGCAGCTGCAATGTACCCTCAGCTGAGGCTTGCCTGTCCACCAAGAGCAGTCCAAGTTAACAAACGGGTAATCGAAGTCACGCTGGGCTCCGGCCGCAATTTACGGCAATCTGGTTCGCGTTGAATTGCGCGCCGATCATCCCGATGCCGGAAAGTGTCGTCGGCCAAGGCCTAGCCAAACCCTTTGAAGAGCGAGCGAGCGTCGAGCCACCGGTGGCTCGCGCTTCCGGCCGGACCTAGCTCAGCTCATAACTTGGCAGTCATCGGCGGCTGCCCGTGTCGGCTTCCGGGCTCATACAGCAATTGGTAAGGTAGGTAGCTATGGCAATGAAGCAATCGCATCTCACACGTATGACATTCGCATGAAGATATAATACTGCACTATGTCAGTTGATCGTTCTTCGATAACTACCTAAGGTTCAACATCATCAAGGTCGGTTTACACTTGTACATTGACCGCTGCCTTCACCATGACACATGACTGTGACGTCCTCATCGTGGGTGCTGGGCCTGTCGGGACAACTCTGGCACTGGAGCTCGCTCTTCACCACGTATCCTTCCGCATTGTGGACCAAGCACCAGTGCGAAGCAACAAGAGTCGGGCCCTGGTTGTCCAGCCCCGTACTCTCGAGCTCCTGAACCGGCATGGAGCATCCGACGTCCTTGTTCGTCGAGGCCGCAGTATTCGAGGTGGCGCTGCCTACGTCAAAGGGCAACTTGCAGTCAACCTCGATTTCGATGACCTCGGTGTCACTGACACCGAATTTGTCCTGCCGCTCAACATATCCCAAGCCGAGACCGAGTGCTTTCTCGATGACTGTCTCTCCAAATACAATATCGTTATCGAGCGGCCCTTCACTGCTACGCAAATAGTCCAGGACGACAACGGCGTCAACACGACGCTCAAGAGTTCCGACGGGAAGACCATCTATGTCCGCTCCAAGTACGTCGTCGGATGTGATGGAGCCCACAGTCTCGTCCGCAAGACGGCAAAGACGCTCAAGTTCGAAGGTGCCGCCTATCCACACGATTTTCTCCTATGTGACGTGCACCTACACGACTCCAATCTCCCACAAGATCGTGTCTCGCTCTTTCTCAACCCCAAGGGCGTTCTCGCACTCTTCCCTCTGAGCGACAAAACCATCCGCATCGTCGCGTCAGGCGACGGAGTTATCCCCAAGGACCAAGAGGAGCCGACCCTGGAGCAATTCCAGTCCTACTTCAGTGCCGTCACGCAGCCGGGTTCTGGGACGCTCAGGGATCCGGTCTGGATATCCCGCTTCCGGCTCCATCACAGATGTGTCAACCACTACCGCGAAGGCCGTCTTTTTCTCGCCGGCGACGCCGCCCACATCCGTACGTACATACAACCGGAACCGATAAGAAAGCATGTTAGCTGACATTTGTTGGGGCTGGGCCAGACTCACCCGCCGGCGGACAGGGCATGAACGCGGGCATGCAGGATGCCATCAACCTCGGCTGGAAGCTGGCCCTCGCTCTGAAATACCTCCGGGACGCGGACGACGCCGGGGGCAAAGATGCCTCCGCTGCCCGTGCCCGTGCCCGTGCCGACGCCCTCCTAGATACCTACGATGCCGAGCGCCGTCCCGTGGGCTACGCCCTTCTCAAGGGGACGGACAGAGTGTTTACCTTTACCTCGAGCACCAATCCCTTTTTCCATCTCATCCGGGACTTTCTTGTGCGCTACATCTTCCCTTTCGTGGTGCGCAATAAACAGCGCCGGTTGGGCTTTTATCAATTCATGTCCGAGTTTGGGGTCACCTACAGGGGCTGTAGCCCAATTGTAGGAACTGCGCAAGGGTTCCGGGGCCCCGTGCAGGGTGGTGATCGGCTGCCTGACGGCAAGCTTAGGAAGACGACTACGAAGAGTGTTTCGGAGGGTGGTGACGAGGGCGGAAAGGAGACGACGTTGCATCGGGTGTGTGTGGGCGGTGCGCATCACTTTATGATCTTTGCTGGCTCTGGGGATGATGATGTCTGGGAGGAGAGTAAACTCGTCGCTGCGGGAGAAACTGTCGTGAAAGCTTTCAAGAGCGATGTGGAGCTGCACTTCATACAAGCTGAAACAAGCCTGGTTGGATCGGGTGATGAGTGGTTTACGGATCCGGAGGGCAAGCTACACACGCAGTTTGGGTTCACAAGGCCAGCCTACGTCCTCGTAAGGCCCGACGGGTACGTTGCGCATATTGGGCCTTTGGCTCAGCTGCAGCAGCTGATTTCCTTCTTGGAGTAAGGGCTTCTCGCATCTTGTCCGGCTGTGGCGTTCTGCTTTGCATATCTCCTCATCCTCTTGTTTGGCGTTAACTAATAACAGTGCATTCATACCTCCGGTTGGTGTTTTACCTTGATGGACAGGTGAATGCCTGGTCTGGATTCTTGCTTTCCCTCAGTGTGATACAAAAAATGGCAAAAGCGAACGCTTCGCCGGGGAGGCTCATACTACTGCTCTATATACCGCGCGACACTCAGTCTTCCATCGATCCGTGTCTTGCATCCATCCGATGCTTCTCTTCTCTGTCGTTAACCCATCTTTGAATTCTGGATCATCGAGTAGCTGTCTGATACACAGTGAAGGTATGCTCTAGGCCCGGTACGTAAGACTTTTCGGTATATCGACGCCTGCCTGCCTGCAAGGTGAATGAGCGGCAGTCAGGAAAGAAACCTGTGATCTCATCGCCGCGTGTCTCCTAAAGGATTTTCAACCCCCAAAAACGGGGAAGATGTGACAAATAAAGGGGTGCCCTGTGGTTCAAGCTTTGCAAAAGGAGAAGCATGAGGGTGTACCGGCTTACAACCGAGTGTAAGTTCAAAATCAATCACTTGACTAGCACCAGATACCCGGTGTTGAAAAAAACCACAATGATTAACTGGAATATAGTAACGGCTACCCAAACTTGGCTAGGAGGCCAACGAAAATATTGGTGGGCCGTCCTTGGTGGCAGGTGCCGTCATCCCCAGCTTGGTACAACAAGGTGACATCTCATTAACGATCAACCTCCTTACCTGCACCTTCCCCAGATTCCCTGCGCCTCATTCTTGCCTAACCTAAACCACTTCCTTTCTACACCTTGTGCAACTCATCAGTCCTTCGCGCCGAATATAGAATGCTACCTGAGCCTTTGGTAGCAAGTGTTCGCTTCTTCGATTTCGTGTGATGCAGGTCATTCTACAGCAGATTACCCCTGAAGTAGCTGCGTAGAAGCCGCTCGTGGGGATCCACATATGGTGACATACCTTAAGGTAGGTATCCATCTTAAAAGTCCTCCCGATCCCGGCGATCCGTCGCGGTCCGAAGATTCGGGGGCTTATTCCTCAGGTAACCCCCACCGAACCGCATTTGCAATTGCCCTCATTGGGCTCACCATTTAGACAAGCATTTTCACCCTACCAGAACCTCAAGAATTCCGCCATTGCTATACGAAGGCAAACTGTGACTGGTCCTTCCTACTTTCCGCTCACTACTGCTGGTTACATCTGGATGATCTGAGCCGCTGAGTGCGTAATCGGGCAGCAGGCGGCATGGGCTCCATGTTCGACACCAACCCAAATCTCATCCAGGAGGCTCCAAGACATACATACTGGCCGTTCGCGGTCAAGGAAGCGACGCCACTCGTTCTCATCCATGATGGTGGCGGCACAGTCTATTCGTACCATCTCCTGGGCGAGCTGGGTCGCCAAGTCTACGGCATTTTCAACCCAAACTACGAGTCGGGCAAGAGATGGGAGGGCGGAATTCCGGAAATGGCACGGCACTATCTTGGACTCATCAAGGCGGTGATTCCAAGTGGCAAAATCATCATCGGAGGCTGGTCGCTGGGTGGATTGCTCTCCCTCGAAGTGGCGCACCTTATAGCCGTCGACCCCCAAAACACGCTAGATTTGCTGGGGATCGTGATGATCGACTCGGTCTGCCCGATAGTCTCAACCCCTCCTTCGGTGCCCATCGTCCCGCGCACCATACAGTGGAGCAAGCACACCAAACAGGAGACGCGGGAGCGGGTTTTGCGATGTTTTGACAGGGCCAGAGAGATGCTCATGCAGTGGAAGTTGCCTGAGTGGGCAGAGGCGCAACCTACCGGCGAACAACAAGAGCAGGGTGACGGCGGGCACGAAAAAAATACACCTCCCCTCGAGCCCAAGACAGCTTCGACAAATCATACAAATGCACGACCCCCCAAGGTGATATTGCTCCGAGCAATGGAAGCCGTGCCGGCGGAAGGGGGAATCGCCATGGTAGATACGCACCGAGACGACCGACTTCTCGGATGGGGCCAGTACCGAGAAGACTTGATAACGACGGTGATGGACATCCCAGGACATCACTACAACATCTTCGAGATGGAAAGTACTGAAGCGGTGACCGAGGCAATCAGACAGGCGTGCCTCAAGCTTGAAGCAGGAAGAAAGGATCAGATCTGGTGATCAGTCACCACTGAGGGGCCCGGGGGTACCTTGGCTGGAGAATCTCTGCGTTGATTCGATTTGAATTCGAGCCAGTTTTCTGGGATCGCATGGCGGGTTGGAGGTAAAGGGAATGACGAAAACGGTTACATCTATAGATACTAAACGCTTTGATCCAACCGAAGTACGCTTCAACAGGTACACGAATACCCAAAACAGTATCGTTGCGTGGGATACGACATGAGGCCGGCTTCCCCCCGTCGAAAGAGCACGCAAGCGTGAAAATCGAGAGAAGTGAAGTCGCCGCCTCCTCATTCTCGGCCAGACATCAGACCATGGGGCTCTCAGCACGAAGGCCAGTGACTCGAACTTTCGGTGTATTTGCCCGTAAACCCTTGCTGGAACCTTATAAGTTATTTGGCTACTTCATTCGGCCAAAACAGGACCAAGTCAGCGAACTTGAACCGGGCGTCAGGCAAACCCGTGAAACGTCAAATCGCAGCGGAGACGATACCCCTGAATTCTTTCAGTTTCAAGATATCTTCATTTTTTCATATCGAGGATGGAAGTACGAATTAGAGAAGTGGCGGATACTAGCCCTTCCCATTTTCTGTGCTTGTTATATTGGGCCAGAAGCACTCTTGTCCTGTCCGTACACCTCACTGTTCAATGTTCTCTTCCCAGCTCCAACGGTTCCCATTAAAGCCCAATAGTAGAAATCAGCCAGTTTTCTATCCAGTTCATATGCTATTCGCAGACGGCTCTGCATAGAGTAGCTAGTCTCACTGGCACTTCCAACGTCGTCTGTGGACCGCATTGAGAGCCGACTTATATTGACGTCATTCCTGGTTCCCACATCATTTGAAAGCACACTCGAGAAGTTATGAGGATCTTTTAAATACAGCACTCTTGTCAAAGCCAAACCGAGCAATATATCCGTTCTACTCTAATATCTACCATCTCTCATCGAAAGCAACTGACTTGCAAACATGGAGTTCACTGAGATCTTACATCGGATTTTACATACGATTCTTGACTATTTGATGTCATGGATTCATCCGGTAAGCCATGTGATTTCGAGGACAGGCTTCAACGAGAAATAATAGCTAAGTTCGCTAACCTACTCTCTCTCGGTATCTAGAATGCTCAATGGGGGTGGATGACATGCGTCCGGAAAGTATGTATTCTACAGGCCCTTACTCTCGTTTGGAACATGTAGCTAACGGCTTCCGAATCACCAGACGGGCAGGTTAGAGAGAGAGCAGCAGCCGTTGCTGAAGAAGCTGAAGCTGCTTCTTCTCTTCAATCCTGTCACCGAATGGATCGACACTACTCATGCCATGCGTCTCCATCTACACTCCGAGTCTCTCGAACAAGGCAAGGATCTCCAGAGTCCAGACAGAGCTAGAAGCCAAACCTCTACTGACCATTAGTTCCAGGCAAGAAAGAAGGCACAGCCGAGTCCAAGAAGCAAATCCGCAAGTTCGTTGACACGTACGGCATCAACATGAACGACTTTGAACCATCCGACGTGGACAAGTACAGCAACTTTGAAGAATTCTTCACACGAGCGCACAAGCCGGGCTCGCGTCCGATTCATGAACCCAACAATGCGTCGAAAGCCGTGGTAGTCGCAGACTCGCGTGCTGTTGTTTATGAGTCGGTTGCCGAGACGGCCAGACTCTGGATCAAGGGCAGCGACTTCTCCATCACAAATCTTGTCATGGACACCGAGCTTGGCAAGCAGTTCTCCGAAGGCGCCGTTGCCAGCTTTCGCCTGTCGCCCCAAGACTACCACCGCTACCACTCTCCCGTGACGGGCAGGATCAAGCTCTTTAGGAGCGTCCCCGGGGATTACTACCAGGTCGATGCGATAGCGCTGCATAGCAAGGTTGATATCTTGACGCGTAATAGGAGGGAGTATGTCGTCGTTGAGACCGAGGAGTTTGGGGATGTGCTGTTTGTGGCTATTGGTGCTACGGACGTGGGTTCAGTCAAGTAAGAAAGACCCCAAAAGCGTCGCCCTAGCTCCCTAGGACGAGCAATGGACAACGAAGCAGACGGAAAGATGTGCAGTGGCACTAACATGTCTCGCAGAATCCATAGCCGCTTCCAGGAACAGGGGGCGCATATCAAGAAAGGCGATGAGCTAGGGATCTTCCAGTTCGGCGGGTCTTCGATCCTCGTTGTGTTCCAAAAAGGGAGAATCCGGTTTGACCAGGACCTGGTTGACCTCAGCAAACAGCGGATCCAGGTCGCGGTAGAGGTAGGAATGAGTTTGGGTCGCGCTGTTTAGGGGAAGGGTTTGTCAGAACACTGTGCGGATGTTTTCTAGGATCTAGTTACGAGTGGCGTACGACGGTACGGAGTAATGCTTTCGGGTTGAGGGAGAACCGATTGTGTAGTGCTTGATTCCAATGATATTCCCATGAACTACTTCGCAATGCGCTTTGCCGTATGTCTAAGCCGGTGATGTACTCGTTCGACCTGCGACGAACAGGGCACAAGAGGCTGCCTAAACATAAAAGAAATTCATTACATGCATACCCAGGATTTACAAGAGCGAGTCCGTTTGCACCATTTCCCCTGAATCCCCCATACATGCTCCAGAATCCCAATACAGCTTGTTCATGCGCCGTCCACTACACTCCACAGACCACGCTCCGGGCCCAAAACATCCGGTGTTCACCGACTTAGGGTCACAGTTCCCCCTAGCCAAGACGGAAAAGCCACTCAAGTCAACTCAGCTGACGTCCTCACGCGTGACCTCCGGTGGCAACCACCAATGCTGTCACCCCTCCATCTTGACATCTGTCCCACCCCCCTTTTGTTTGTTCAAATTCTTGAGCAGGTAGCTTCGCTTAAAATATTCGTTGGGGTGCACAATGGTCTCGAGCTGGGCGGCCGTCATGATACCCTCATCCTTTGCGCGCTTCAGCTCCGCCTTGTGGAGGTGTTCAAAGACCCTGTAGAAAACGTTAGCTGAGTAGCCTAAAATACAGCGAGCGGTAAAGATAAGCATACCGGTTACACGCCATATGGAACTTCTGACTCTCCTTGTCCTCCTTGACACCCTGCAGCACAGCCCGGTCTGTCACTCCCGAGGCCTGGAGCAGGGCCGCCAGGTTCTCCATATTGAAGTGCCTGTATGGACAACCGTGTGCCTCCCCCGGGCCGGGCGGGTGCTCGGTGAGGATCTTTTGGCAGCTGTAGGGGCTGTACCCCCCGCTGCGGCGGTTCGAGTCGCTGCCCACATCCCCGTACACGTGCCGCACGTTGTAGCGATACTCCTTGTTGAAGGTGTCGTCGGTGATTTTGCTGAAGCTGGACCGCCAAAACACCAGGCACTCCTCCAGGTTCAGCCCGATGCCCTTGAGGAAGAGGCTGTACTGCAGCCGGCCAAAGTGCTTGAGGTGCGCGTCCCGCCGCAGCGTGCGGTGCAGGTGCGCCATGCACATCGGGTAGTGCTGCGACAGATTGTCAATGTTGCGAGCAGACATCTCGGCCCCTTCAATGGCGGCCCCCGTGCCGGTGTAGCTCGACTCCGGGGCGATGAAGTTCTTTGAGAGGTGATTGAGGATGGGCGTTAGGCGGTCGTCTTCGTCTAACCGGGGCAGGGCGCGGGCAGTGAGCTCCAGCGCCCGTTCTAACCGGGAGGTAAACTCGTTCAGCACCATACTCTGCTGCTCTCGCCCCGGCACGTAAGCCTTGCCCGCCTTGAGAAACACCTTGCGGCCGTCAACCAGGTCCGGCACGCGAACCCACTCGACCTTGCACCAGTCCTCGTCCATGACCTGCTGCGCCGCCTTCCTGGAGGAGCCAAACCCTACCGTGGTTGCCAGTTGGGGGGCCAACTCGCGCTTTTCGTCATCCGACACGGGGTCCCAGTCGAGGTTGAGGGTGCGCACAAACTCGGCGCGCTCGCGCGTGTCGTCGGCCTGGAAGCGCAGGCGGAACAGCATCGTCTCGACGCGGGCGAAGCGGCGGCGCAGGTCCTCGGTCGACGCAAAGGCCAGGCGCAGGATGAAGTGGCTGTAGTGGTCCTTTTGGCGCTGGGCGGCCAGCTTGGGGTCGCGCGAGCTGTTGGCGTCGAGCGGGAGGTACTTGTCGAGCAGCGGCTTCATGTGCGCGGCCGTCTCGGCGGGCGTCTTGTTGCGGAACGAGCAGGCCTCGAGCTCGGCAAGGACTGCATGGACAGTTATGGTTAGTTTTGTGCGGACTCAAGCTTGGTTGGCCTCGGTGTTGTATACGCACTCCGCAGCCGGTCGATAGCCCATTGTTCAAACTGCTCGAGAGTGATGTCTGCGGTTGGCGGGGTCGAGTAGAAGTTTAGACGGTAAGGGTACTGCGTCTCCTTGTATGAAGGATCTGCAAACTGAGTTTTGCGATGGTCGACATTTCGCCTCTTGACGTCTACACGATTCATTATGGTTGGTACTTGGCCGTCAGTTCCCTATGAGTTGGTCTTCAGGCTTTGGCCCTGGCAAATGTCATGGGAATGGATTGCGATGGGCAACATAGCACTGATGCGGGAGACGCGTCGGACGCGGCGGGACGCGCTTTATTCCCTTGGAACAATTAAACACGAATTCACCAATGAGCATGGTCGCGAGAACCCTAACCCTGACATGGTATGCCAGCAGCTCTTCCGGCAGCTCAGGGGGTGGACTCTTGTGCTTTGGCTTATTCTCCAACCACAAGCACTTGGCTTTCATAATACATGAATATCCAACTGGGGCTATAATACTATACGGAGTACTGTGCCCTCTCTTTCCTTTTTCTGTGATGTCTTGCAAGCGAGGAACATCTGGCATCTGGTATGACAATGATACACTGGGCGAAATGCCTACGGCTCCCCGTATATCGAGCCCGAACTCCAAAATCAGAATGGAGGTAAATTGCGCCTCGAGGTCGAGGCTACTCGTAGTGTCCAAGTTCCCAGCCGCCGGCACTTTGAGATACGTAAGATTCTCAGCGCGGTGTGCTCAACATCGGCTTCAACTCGATCTCCTCTGGTTAGAGAACCCGAACCCGGGGTAGCTTAGCGCTACCGTGACGCTGGTTGGAACGGAGGCTGATTTGTGGTCGTGTTAACCATGAAGTTCATAAATTCTCGTACAGCCTTCAGTCCGGCTCCGAATACTGGTGGTGGGACTGAGAGCGCTAGAGCCGAGAGGTTCTTCAAGAGAAGGGAACTTCCGGCTTGTTGATCTCGGGGATTGGAGCCCCAATTTTTCAGATGGCTGGCCGCTCCTTTGTATCTTGGACTTTTCCGCTGCCTGATGGGGCGGTTAGGCTGGCTGCCTCCTCGGTTTCTCGTCGATAGTGGTAGATTTCGCATCCTCGGGAGTTTCCCATGCCATGTACCCTTGGAGTTTCCATAACAGCATCTGTAGCTTGACCGTCGCCTGCCTGCCCAGCAGAAAGAGCGAGCCATCCCGTAGAAGCGCCGATCCCCGCCTGAGCTGGCCCATATGATCTTCGCCTAGCAACACAAGCAGGTTGTGAACCGCAAGTTTCCTACCATATTTGACGCCCTCAATAGTCATGGTCGACAGTCTTGGGGGAACCAGTTCCGTCTCCGAACCCGAGAGGGCCTCGTCCTTGGGCAGAAACAAAAGACATCCCCTGTGCTTGTGGTCTTTAGCATCGTCCCAGCGCTCGCATTTGACCAGGTATTTGTTCCGGTCCGGTTGCTCGGATAGGCCGGCAAAGTGAAGCAGCGACTCCACGACGCGCCTCCTCATCACGTCCAACAGAAACGAGTCCATGTCGTCGCGCCAGGCCGCTTGGTTCAGGACCGTCGAGATTTGTGCATTCCCATGATCGCTCATGCGCATGAGTTTTGTGTGGCCATTGAAGTATGGTGAGAACCGGCGTTGTATTTCCTGCAGCAACAGCTGGCTCGAAAGGGTGTATCCTGAAGGGCCGGTCCTGATGCCCTGCCGCTGTTCCTTAACAGGCCCGGTAGCGCTTGAGTCAGGAGATCCCCCGTCGCGGGTCTCCTCAGTGGCCGTGGGGATAGCTTTCGGCGCCTTTGGTTCGAGATCTTGGGGCACAAACCAAGGCCGCTGGGTGTGCGGGTGTGCAACAAGGTTAAATCTTTGCAAGAAGAAATTGGGAAGCACCACAGACGAGATTGGACAATTTCGAGGCGGTGTTGCCAGAGCCCGGGCTGCGTATGAGTTTAGTGCTTCTCCCCTTGGTCAATAATGAGGCGGGCGCTCTACCGTAAGGATTCCTGGCCAGTTTGCGTTGGAACTTGGTGCTCTTGAAGGGGGAATGTGAAGGTTTGCTCTTGGTGAACCTCTGCCTGGCTTCATAGAACAATGGGTCCATGAACGGAGAAATCGGTAGGGAGCCAACAGGCGTCTCGACTGTCCCGGCCTCGGGATTGATTTGCACATGTCGCATATCAGGCTCTGGCGAGCCCTCGACATGGCTGCTGTTTATGCTGCTGTGAACTCTCCGAGCAGCAACCGCGTTCAACGGCTTGCGATATGCCCTGCAGAGCGATGATCTCAAGCATACACCGCTGAAAACGTCCATATCGTCTCAACCGGCTGGCTTGTCCACCAGAAACATAGATGAGCTCAAGGTTAAAAATTCTAGCGAGTTCAAAACTTCAAGTGTTGACAATGAGAATTCATCAAAATTACGGATACCTGACGGGTTAACGTGATGAATACGGAGGTACGGATACAGTACCTGAGTTACAAATGAGCCCGTGCGCAGCGCTGAGCTTCATCCATCTCTTGGCAAGCAAGGGAAGCCGTCGGCGCCAAGCCAGGAAGCTCCAGTAGCGCATCCCGGGGCATTGGCACAGCGAACCACTCCACTGTCCCACTGACCTCATCGCAAAAACATCAGCAAACGGGCTCGAGCGAGCTCATCGTGCTCACCCCAAGTCCATCATGAACTCCCATCGCAGTGCACTTCACCTTATACGGAAGATTGGCGCTCTTCAATGTCGTCGATTTTCGAGGATTAGCTCCTCCCCTGGAGCAGTGCCGCCTATAGGCAACATCCCAATGCCCTACATCACCGAGGTCACAGTATGCATTCCCGAGCTCCCTTGGTTGACCCGCTGCTGACAAACTAGTCTGGCGGCTGGCGGACATGTAAGTTCCCGTCCGAATCCACCGCGTCTTTTTAGGATATCAATTGGCGCTAACCGCGCGACCAAGCCGACATATTCTCCAAGTTGCTCCAGGTGACTAGATTCTTCCTTGTCGAGCCCTCGCACGCGGCTGACACTCGGCCAGGAACGGATAGTGTGTCTCAATGGATCGATTGACGATACCGTCTCAGCTTCGATAGTAGCCCAGCTGCTGTGGCTCGAATCCGACAACCCCGACAAGCCCATTACCATGTACATCAACTCGCCCGGCGGCGAGGTGAGTTCCGGGCTCGCCATCTATGACACAATGACGTACATCAAGTCTCCAGTCTCGACGGTGTGTGTTGGGGGTGCTGCCTCGATGGCAGCTATTCTCCTCGTTGGCGGCGAGCCCGGGAAGAGGTACGCACTGCCGCACAGCTCCATCATGGTGCACCAGCCGCTGGGCGGGACTCGCGGCCAGGCGGCCGATATCCTCATTTACGCCAACCAAATACAAAGGATACGAGAACAGATCAACAAAATCGTGCAGAAACATATCAATAAGTCGTTCGGCTATGAGAAGTACGATATGCGGGCCATCAACGACATGATGGAGCGCGACAAGTATTTGACAGCTGAGGAGGCGAAGGATCACGGTATTATAGACGAAATCCTAACACAGAGGTCCAAGGAGGACAGCAAGTCCGGGTCTGCTGGCACCAGCCAGGTGAAGCCATGATGGTGTGACAGAATGCGCGGCACACACGGGGCAACCTCGATCGTCCGTCATTTCGGTGACTGCAATCTTTTCTCCATATCGGGCTTACCAAACCGAACGAAACCAGACCTCTGGGACCAGAAGTCGACGGGAGTCAGGGGGCGTGGGCGTTAGCACGGCTAGGAGAGAGGTGCAAGATGGCCATGTAGCATGCGTCGCCATCCACCAAAGCCGCGAGGTTCAGCAAGAAAGCTCCGAAGATTCGGCAGCCTTATGGTTCCCGGCGAATCTCCAAGTAACGGACCTCCCGTGGACAGTCAGCTACATACAAATATAGCCTTCATGCTGCATTGGCAGTACAAACTACCATCGCCATTCGTGTATGGTTATGTCTTATTCCGCACTCAATTCAGAGCTTAAGGTAGTCCTGAGGGCAATGTACATAGGCCTTATATAGTTAGTAGAGCACGCGGTGTAGCGTAATACGTAGCACCAGCGTCCAAATAGGTGTTTGATAGTGATGCGGGACACAGGAAGAGAGAAACGGTAGTCAGCAAAACTCCACAGCGGCAGACCAATTGGAGAGCTTGGATTTCCATGACAGCTTGCAGCCGGGGCAAGGCGGGAGAGCTCTTTGCGGGGACCCTGTCTCTGTCCCTGTGACTTTTGCACCTCAGCAACTCGAAATTTTAGGTCCGACTTCGCTGAAATGCTCGACTCATAACTCGAGCAACATGCCGATTCTCACTGCGTGACCTCACAGGTGAATCAATTGAATGAATCTTGTGGTCTTTTGAAAGAGCCGGCAACTCCAAGACACCGCTCGACGGCCAATTGGTCTTTTCTCTCTTTCTGCGCCCTGTTGCTAGCTCCCCACGATTCGTCGCTCAGCCAAGTCCGCCATGCTGTCGCCGTCACTCCTGCGCGCCGGGACTCCCAGGGCCCTGGCCGCGAGCCGGGCACTGCCATTGAGGAATCAGCTGTATGTTCGGCCCTAGACAACCCAGTGCTGCTCGCATGGTAGACATAAGCTCATCCTACCATCTAGTCGTCTCTTCTCAACTTCGCCTCGCCGCTACGCTGATGAGCAGCTCAACAAGGTGTCGGCCCACATCACCCAACCCAAGTCGCAGGGCGCCTCGCAGGCTATGCTCTACGCAACGGGCTTGAAGGAGGAAGACATGTCCAAGGCCCAGGTTGGCATCTCGTCAGTCTGGTACGAGGGAAACCCGTGCAACATGCATCTCCTCGATCTCTCAACCCTCGTGCGTGAGAGTGTCGCCAAAGCTGGCCTCATCCCCATGCGCTTCAACACGATCGGCGTCTCGGACGCCATTAGCATGGGAACCACAGGCATGCGCTACAGCTTGCAGAGCCGAGAGATTATCGCCGACAGCATTGAGACGGTCATGCAGGGGCAGTGGTACGATGCCAACATCTCGCTGCCGGGCTGCGACAAGAACATGCCTGGCGTGTTGATTGCCATGGGCCGTGTCAACAGGCCCAGCATCATGGTGTACGGTGGCACCATCAAGCCGGGCTGCAGCATGAAGGGCGAGTCGATCGACATTGTCAGCGCCTTCCAGGCATACGGCCAGTACATCGCCGGCGAGATCGATGAGAAGCAGCGCTTTGACATTATCCGCAATGCCTGCCCCGGAGGCGGCGCATGCGGTGGCATGTACACTGCAAACACCATGGCGACCGCCATCGAGACTCTGGGCATGACCCTTCCCGGCAGCAGCAGCTCTCCGGCAGAGGACCCGAGCAAGAAGGCCGAGTGTGAGAGCGTCGGCGAGGCTATCAAGAACCTTCTCCGAGAGGACATCCGCCCCAAGGACATCCTGACTCGGCAGGCGTTCGAGAATGCCATGATCGTCGTCAACATCCTCGGTGGCAGCACCAACGCTGTGCTGCATCTCATCGCCATTGCCGACTCTGTCGGCGTCAAGCTCACCATTGACGATTTCCAGGCCGTATCCGACAGAACTCCCCTGCTGGCCGACTTGAAGCCTTCTGGTAAGTACGTCATGGAAGACCTGTACCGGATCGGCGGCACGCCCGCCCTGCTCAAGTACCTGCTGAAGGAGGGCGTCATTGATGGCTCTGGCATCACCGTCACCGGCAAGACTATGAAGCAGAACGTGGAGAACTGCCCAAGCTTCCCTGATGACCAGCCCATCATCCGCCCGATGAGCAACCCGATCAAGCCCACGGGCCACATCCAAATCCTGCGCGGCTCGCTCGCCCCCGGCGGCTCGGTCGGCAAGATCACAGGGAAAGAGGGTCTGCGCTTCGAAGGCTCGGCCAAGGTCTACGACTACGAGGATGCCTTCATCGAGGCGCTTGAGCGCGGCGAGATTAAGAAGGGCGAGAAAACGGTTGTGGTCATCCGGTACGAAGGCCCCAAGGGCGGTCCCGGCATGCCCGAAATGCTCAAGCCCAGCTCTGCCATCATGGGCTACGGCCTCGGCAAGGACGTCGCCCTCATCACCGACGGCCGCTTTTCTGGCGGCAGCCACGGCTTCCTGATCGGTCACATTGTTCCCGAGGCTATGGAGGGCGGCCCGATTGGATTGGTCAAGGACGGTGACAAGATTATTATCGACGGTGAGAAGCGTGTGCTTGATTTGGAAGTCTCGCCCGAGGAACTTGAGAAGAGGAGGAAAGAGTGGAAGGCTCCCGAGCCCAGAGCGAAGAAGGGCACTCTGGCTAAGTACGCCAAGCTGGTTAGCGATGCGAGCCACGGGTGCGTGACGGATAGCGCTTAGACTGCCCGGAATGGCGCTCGAGGAAGTGATCTGTGTTGGTCTAATGGTTTTGTTTTGAACACTTAGCTGTATATATACTTGCAATGTCTGTTGTTTTGTTGGGCATCGGAAAAGGCGCTTTGCAATGCCATCGCTGGGTTTGGCCGTTCGGAGGATATCTAGTGGTCGATTGGTCAAACGCCAAAAGTCGATTCATTCATTTGTATCTGGTAATGGGTTGGAAGGTAACCTAACAATGGCCAATGTACTTTTCCCAATAATGCAGCCCCTGGGGAATCCCACGCCTAGAGATGCAAGCCAAACACAAACCACCAACACTCATAATGTAGTATCATAAGCCTAGAAACCCCGTTTCCCATATAAACTCGTCATCTTCTCCCCTTATTCCAAGCTGCCACAAAGGCTTTCTTGTCCCGCAACGTCAGCCCAACCCGCTTTACCCTACCTAACCTAGCCAGCGCCTCGCCAACACGGTCTAGCATCCGCTGCTCCTCGGGCGTCGGCTCGTCGTCCCCTTCTTTCCCATCATTTCCGCTCTCACCATCCCTACTCAGCGAACCCGAACCCGAACCCCGGTAATAGGAGGAAGACGAAGAAGATACTCCTCCGTCAGAAGTGTTATTGTTGTGCACGGCCTCGGCAATGCGCACCCTAATCGTATGCGTCGACCGCCCGAGCAGCCTCCACAAAAACACAACCCACGCGCGGGCGCCCGGCACGGGCGTCGTGATGTCGGGCGGCGTGTACCGCATGCTGACGGGGAACACGGCCGTTTCCGGAGGAGCGCCCAGGAGGCACGGACTCAGCGGCAGGATCCCCTTGCCGTTGGTCGTCCCGCACTCGGGGAACACGGCGATCACCCGGTCCGGGTGCCGGGCGAGCAGCTCCCCGAGGTCAGTCAGGCCGTCGTCATCTCCGTTGTTGGCTTTGCCCTTGCCCTTGCTGTTGCTGTTGCCGGAGGAGGAGGAAGGGGGCCGCTCAGCGAATTGGCTACTCGCCGAAAGCGCGGCCGAGATGGCGGCGAAGAGGCTGATGCGGCGGACCTTGCGCAAGTTGGGGTAGGCGGCGACAAAGATGGGGTCAAAGATGGCGGCGAGGTACAAAGCGTCGATGGGCGAGGTGAAGTTTGCGGCGATGACGGACCGCGGGTGGGGCACGCGCGAGGGCGGTTGTTGGCTCAGCGACCCGCGCTTGACGCCGTCTAGTTGCAGGTCCACCCACCATATCCCCGGGATGGCGAGAAGGGTCCAGAGAAGGAGTTTCCTAGCAAAGACTGGGAGCGGGAGGTGGTGCAGAAGGAGGAAGTACAGGGCTGAGTAGGCCAGGAAGAAGGGCAGACGGAGGAGCACGAGGAAGGTTGAGGTGATGACTGTAAGAGCGGAGGATGGCGTCGTGGCGGGGATGAATGGCGATATGCCGGATCCTACGGAGGACAAAGTTGAGTTGGTAACCTGAAGGGTCGAGATAAGTATGCACGCTTACCTTTGTCTCGGAACTGCGAGAACTTCTCCATGGCGGGCGGGCTAATGCAAGACTATCGAGACTGGCAGTGAAAGAAAAAAGAAGGCATTCGCCGTTGAATTGAACTGTATATTATGATCGCATATGTATCAAGACTTTCAGCGTACACATAAGAGTTTATATCTGACGCTATCGACCGTTGATCATGATAGCAGGCGCAAGCTGACGTTGAAAAGTTGACACTTTTTAGAAAACCCAGGGTCCCAACTGCCGACTTGGGGAAGAGCATGTGAACGAGTGGTTCGTGCGCTTTGACTCAACCCTAACCCTTCTGTGTGCACCTTCCTTTCTATGGTCCCACCTTGAAGCGCCGCCATTGGCCTAACCCTGCAACTCCGTTGCCCCGGTGAAATAAACAAAGCTTCAAACTTCTTTGCGAACGCATTCTACGCTACGCCCATTGGGGAGAAGAGCAAATATCGTTGCAGGAAAGACCCGCCGCGAGCCACGACGTCGCCACCGACCTCATCCGCGACTGGAGCTTTGCTCCTCTCCTCCTACTTGCTTGTGCAACTTCTGATTGTTCAACTGCGCGCGCTCAACATGGAGTCCACCGAGAACGCGGTAAGTTTACGATTGGATTCCCTTTTGCTGCGCGATCTGAAGAAGTCGTCATTTTTGTGCTGACTTATTGTCGCAATCCCAAAGGCGTTCCGGTCGGGGCTTCGTCCACCTAAAATCCATGCGACCACGGCCACAAGAACCCCGGCGGCATGTCTCCAAGAAATGACCGACTCGCAACACAATGCAAGAGCTCAACCCGCAATGCCTCCCGCGCAAGGCGTCAAACGCACCTACAATGGGAACGGTACGCATCTACACCGGCCGGAGAGCTTGGTTCCATCACTCTCTTCCACCGATGCTGACCGTGCCATATCAAGTAGGAGGACAACCCGAGCCGAAATCGCGGAAAACGTTGTCAGAGAGAGCAGGCGAACCCATCACCAACAAGTCACAGCTTCCTTCAGCGTCAACCGGCCTTCCACGACCTGCGAGCAGCATTAAGGGTGCATCGATCGCAGCACTGTCATCTGCTGTAGGTGCCCTTCCCCCAAACCCACCAAGTCCGGCGCGCCCACGAGGTAGGCCAGCGAGGCGCGATGCTGACATTAGCGTCCAATAGCATCCTTCGTCTACCGTGTCGCGACATGCACCCACTGGCAGCTTCGCCAAAAGCGTAGGTCCCGGCAGTCGCGCCGCGCCGTCCGCAAGGGCTCCCACATCGATGGGCTTCACCCAATCAACAAACGGCCGCCGAGGACCAGCCCGTCCGCGGCCAGCTACTGCACTAGGGGACCGGGGACTTGAAGATGAAGCAGGGCCAGCAATTCAGCAGAAGGGTACGAAGGACACACCTTCTTTTCAGTCTCAGTCTAAGAATGCAAGGCCATCGAAGTTGCCGATACCTGTCTCTGTACAGTCCACGTCCTTGTTGACAAAGCAAGAACGCGACGAAGTGTCGCTACTCAACAACCAACTAGAAAGTCTATCATTCAGTGATGAGCTCCGCGATAGGTCCGGAGGTCAAGTGGCCATCAGCCAAGACAGCCAAGCTCCGCTCCATCCGTTTCAGTCGGATGAGTTGTCGGATACGCAGTCAGAGAGTTTCACCTCCAGCAAAGATTGCCGAGAAGAAGCAGCCAGACTCACTCCATTCCGGTCTGCCAATTCTCGAGGATGGCCAGTTTCTTTCCCAGTAACGCCGACGCGAGCCCCAAACGCGAAGGCGGCAAAGGAATCGTGGGCAAAGATGGAAGAGTTTATCAAGAGCGTCCGCAAAAATCCCCTTTCACCAACCAAGTCTTGCTCTCCAGCAAAGCTACCGTTTCTAACAAAAGACTCACGATTAACCAATTTTGTAGGCTGGGACGTCGACGGCCGCCTCAACGAATTCGAATCCCACTTCAAGGTAATGAAAGAGGCATTCGACGTCAGCCTCGCCGATAAGAGGACGCTGGAAGAAGTCATCGAATTGGCCAAGAATCGGGGTAGGTTCCACGATCAGCGGTGTAGTCCGTTGGAGGCTAACAAGTTGGTCAAGCGAACGATCTTGAACGGGAGCAGCAGCGGTTGACGGATCGGAATACCCAGCTTCAGGATCAGCTCGACCAGCAGCGGCAGGAAAATTACTCACTGCAGCAGGAAAAGCAGGCGATGATCCTGCAAATGGAGGCCGAGCAGAGGAGTCACAAGTACGAGCTAGAGGATAAGTTACGAGAACACAAACATGAGGTGGACGAGATCAGGAGGGAGTTCAAAGATGAGGTCGACCAACTGAAGCGGGCGCACCGTGAGGCTTTGGAGGCGATGGAGAGGCATTACCGCGCAGAGCTGGCCGACGAGCAGACGCAAAAATCCAGAGAACTCCAGGAGCTGCGAACCAGGTTAGGGGCCGAGCAGCAGGACCTGAGTCTCGAGCTGTTGAAGAAGGAGCGTGAGATTCAGGAGATGCGGTCGCAGGTTGAGGCTCTGAGATCTGACCTCGACCGGGAACAGACCATCAAGGGGACCCTGCAGCAGCAGATAGCCGAGATGACAACCACCAACATGACTCTGGAGGACCGGATGCGAGGCCTGCGGGCAAAGATAGACTTCCTCGAGTCGGACAACAAGCAGCAGTCCGACTCGTATGCGGCAATGGAGTCCCGTCTGCAGGAAGCACTGCGCATCGCCGAAGAGGCACGACAGAAGCTGATCAAGGAAGAGACAGAGAGACGTGTTCTGTTCAACAAGTATCAGGAGCTGAAGGGTAACATCCGCGTCATGTGCAGAGTGCGGCCTGTGTTGGATTCCTCGGAAGGCGACGAAGCCAAGATCGCATTCCCGGATTTGAAGACATCGACGCAGATCGACGTGACTGGGCCGGAAGAGAGGAGTAGTCTGGGAGTCATCAGCCGCAAGGTGATCCCCTTCGAGTTCGACCGTGTTTTCTCCCCATCGGTACAAAACGAGGAGATCTTTGGCGAGATCTCGCAGCTGGTGCAGAGCGCCCTCGATGGCTACAATGTGTGCATCTTCTGCTACGGCCAGACCGGCTCGGGCAAGACGTACACCATGTCATCGACGGACGGCATGATCCCGCGAGCCACCCACATGATCTACGACACAATAACCCAACTGGCCGAGAAATCGTGGACGTACACAATGGAGGGGAGCTTCGTGGAGGTGTACAACGAGGAGCTTTACGACCTGTTGTCGCCGGGCAGGGAGTCGGACGGCAGAAAGAAGCTCGAGATACGCCACGACGAGGCCCGCAAGCAGACAACGGTGCTCAACTGCAAGACGGTGGCGCTCGACTCGCCCGACAAGGTGGAAACCATGTTGAAGCAGGCCCAAAACAACCGCAGCGTGGCGGCCACCAAAGCGAACGAGCGCTCGTCTCGCTCGCACTCGGTCTTCATCCTCAAGCTGGTGGGCGAGAACTCGGCGACAAACGAGCGGTGCGAGGGCACCCTCAACCTCGTCGACCTTGCTGGCTCGGAGAGGCTCAAGCACTCGCAGGCCGAGGGTGACCGCATGAAGGAGACGCAGAACATCAACAAGAGCTTGGCTTGCCTGGGCGATGTCATTGAGGCGCTCGGCCGCGGCTCGGCGCATATTCCGTATCGGAATTCCAAGTTGACGCACCTCCTGCAGTACTCGCTCGGCGGCAACTCCAAGACGCTCATGTTTGTCATGGTCAGCCCGCTCGAGGCACACCTGAAGGAGACTATTACGAGTTTGCGGTTTGCTACAAAGGTGAGTCGAGTTCGGGCTTCGGGCCGGGGGAAGTTCAGGGGGGTGTTTCTGCTTTGCTGACAACAAGCGCGACTTTTAGGTACACAACACCCATATTGGCACGGCCAAGTCTACAAAGAAGTTGAAGGAGCAGCGGGTGAGTGAGTGAGGTGGCCCGTGGAGGGTTTGTTCGAGTAGGTATATACGAGCGGTCCAGTGGTTTTAAGAGGAGAGTTGGTTTGCGATACCATGGTGCTGCTCCTTTTTACAAGACCACCGCACCGGGTCTGTTTGCAAGATGTGCGGTTGCGCCTCCTGCAACTTATAGCATCGTTGTCGGAGAAGATTCAATACCATGTAGGGGGTTCTGTCAGGCGTTGTATCGGGAGGCGCTAGCGTGGGCTTGGTTGGACTTGCTGGTTGTGTTTTTGGCAGGCCGGGTTTCTAAGTTCATTAGGGTTCCTACTGCTGTGGTCTCTCTCCCCTCCCGGGATAAGAGTGCTTCTACGTTCTAGTGAACTTGGGTCCAAGTACAGTTCTTCGTGTACATACACTACTAAGGTAGATACCTTCCTGTAGGTGTATCTTCTTCATTGTCTGTTCGAGGTTTGTGTAATGTGCTGTACTGTACACGTGACATGCCGCTTCATCCATTTACACTGTACCACAGCAGTAGGGGCATCCCAACCTGGGCTCTGCTGGGCCGCTATCGAATTTGCAGCTTTCGCATGGAGCGATGCAAAACTGGGTTATCAGAATTCCAATATCGATGTGATTATGGGATTTGCACTTCAACACTTGCACTTACCCCGCCCTCACCTCCCACAAAAACGTTCAGGGTTGAGCCGCGTTTGAGCAACGTCCCTTGTGTGGGGCAGCTGTCTGCAGTCTGCAGTCTTCATGCAGCCTTGGCCAAGTTTTCTCCCGTTGCAAGTTGCAACCTTCACCTCTTTGGACGGCAATATGGGCCCTTCCGGAGGAAATTGTCCGGAGCAAACTCTCCGGCCTCAGCTCATTCTAGCCATTCTGCTATCGCGCGATTTTCGGGTCAAAGTGTGCCGCGGATCGAGATCACGCTGTGAAATCGCCTTAGTACGAAGTACTTGGGTAACTTTAGAGAGGCTAAAGTTCGCCCGCATCGCTTTGATGATCTGATATTTTTTCGAATGCTGACTTGTCCATTCAATCCGGCACGCCCTCGGTCGTTTTCTATGCGCTGTAAGCCCAAATCGTACCACAACATCCGCGTCCCGTCAGTTTGCGGTCCTTTGTGTCCGGCTGTCCTTCCACATTGGTGGCTACATAGTCCTATTCGTCGATGCGAAGGGTTTTATAGCATGCGCTTCAAATGCTCCGGGACATAGAGTCCAGAATGCTCCTGTCACCCTCTGTCCGGTTTCTCTTGGACGAGGTACTACTCTTGTTGAGTACGTATGTAGTGGTGGTGATAGAGCATTGGAGACTCTGCCTCAAACTGGAACCCCTCATTGTTTCCCCATATGGGATTCGGCAGTCCGGGTACTGAACCACAGCAACGGCGTTGCAGGACCGATGCACCATGAGGTCATCAGAGCGGGACCCAACTACTCTACCGCTACCGCAGGACACTTGCGATCCACCTGGTTTGGTGTTTAGGGGATAGGGTAGGTATTTCCCGACTGAAACGGTCCCCAAAAAGTGACGCCGTTATGCATAGCTAGCTCAAGAGCCAGCAGATGCCCGAGGGACCCTGGATCGACAGCAGACTCTGACGTCGGCTTCAAATCAAGATCAAACCAGTTGTACTTCCGTAGCAACCAAGCAAACAAGCGGCAGAAGCTGTCAGTCAAAATCATCAATCGCGACATTACATTTCTGTCCCGCTGCTCAAAAGCCGAAGGGGCCGAGCCTTCTCCGCTGCAATACCGGGAAAGATATTGCTGGCTGCCTTGACACCTCACTCCACATCAGCTAGGCACGGGCATGTGTAGCCTGTAGACCGCATCTCCCGTCTCCCTTTGGAGATGCCGCTCCGTTGCTGCTGGAAGGCGGGAATATCCAGGGCACGCAGCTCTCAACATGCAGAAACGAGAAACTGCAGGCTTCACAATCAGCCGAGTGCCCCAACCAAGGACATGTATCTATATCTAGAAGATGGGGGCAGAGCGGAAGCATCTATACTGTACTGTACAGCCGCGGCGGTGTTGGCTGCTTGCAGGTTCCCTGGTTAGGTAAGTTTACAGAGTCGGCAACGGGAATAATCAATGGATGGGCAATGTTCCAGCGGTGGCCACGCCGCGAGCTTTGAGAAGGATGACACTGCAGCATGTAGGAGCCCACCAAGCTGCTGTGTTTGGTCTTGCAACCGACTGTGCCAATCGGAGATGCAGCGAGCTATCAAAAGCTGATTGAAGCGCAACATGCGTACCTGCACGCAATCTAGGACAAGCACCATACGTGGCCAAGCTGTATTGCTACAGTTATGCTGAAGTGTGACGTAACCGTGAATTCGCTTCGGTTTGATCTATGCATACAATTCGGTCTCGGCGAGAGACACTGTAACCTAGGCAGATAGTGTAGATGGAAATACACTAAGGGAGAGCTCTAGAATATCCTGACGCACCTGAAAAGCCCATAACATAGGTACATGACATTGGTATCCTTCGAGAAAAATGAAAATATGTCTCATGCCCGTTTTTCCCAAAGCCCAGGCGCCACGCTATAGATAACCGACAGGGAAAGGAAGGTAAACGCTAGACCTGAAAAACAGATGGGAATACAGAATGGGTGTAGAAACGAACAAGCCGTCCAAACGAGGCAGCTACCTCATACAATTCAAGACACAGCAGCTCAGCTTGCTGTGATGCTACACTTGTGTGCGCTTCCTTCACCCCGCCCCCTCCAGGCAAGACCAGCAAGCTGCTGGAGACTTGAAGCATGCCGACGTCAGAGGCTTGGCGCCTTGGTCAGGGGTGGGTGCTGCATCGTTACCCCGCCATTGGCGGAAGAGAGGATGCAGCCGTTTGATCACACCGGCGCCCCAATGAGGTCCAGCAAACACTTGCAGCAGCCGGACGCTCAGTGGTGGTTTTTTTTGGCTGCAGCAGGGTGATTTGGCTGCTGTGGCTGCTGTCGTGTGTGCGCACGCCGGCATTGAGCCGAAATCGAGAAGATATGCAAAACTGCATATGCTGCCGTCCCCTTCCCCGGCCCGGCCAGGGAGAGGGAGTTGGCTGAAGCTTCGAACCCTCCCTTCAAGAGAGGCATCGCCTGCAAGCTTCGTGTTTGATGTGTTCCGTGAATCGGAGGTTTCGAATGACGTCTTTGCGCCTTGCAACGGACAACATTGAATAAGTCGCTGTCGTGCCCAGCTGACTGCTCCTGTGAGCTAGGCTGGGGATTGAAGGAGTATTCCGTCTGGCGCGTTGTAAAGGCCTGGAAGGCCATGTACTTGTTGCCTCCAGGATTGCGGGCGTTGCCGGCGCAGCAACTGTAAGACTCAAATACGGGCCAGAAAGAGCGGGTAAAATCCAGTAATGTCGGTGACCTGCAATTCCAGCAAAACTTCTCTCAGGCAACAGCGTGAGCCCCGTGCCATCGCCGCCGGCCTGTTCCCATTCTCCAGAATGCCCGAGTAAGCCGCCGAGGAATCGTGGTGCGGCAAGCCTTTTCGGGCCGTGAATCGTGGGCGTATGGCGTCTGCAATGCTCGCTGATTCAGAGTTCGAGTGCGGGCTGTCGTCGGCAACGATGGACTTGTGCAAATTCTGCAATTTTGGCCATCCTCTAAGGAAATCCCCCCCAAGCTCGGCTCACGTGTAGCCGACCATCTTTGCACACCGCTGGCAGTAGTAAATGTTGGTCCCAATCTGGACCATGCCCGACAAGCTGGGGTCGTCTGTCGACGTAATCTCTTCGGCTCTGGCGCACCGCAGGCATCGAATGACGGCCACCTGGACCGGAGGACGGATGGTCGAGTCCATGCTATGACGAACCGTCGATCCCGATGATGCCGAACCCGAGGATGGAAGATCAGAATCTGATGCGGAGTAAGACGACGACGACGACGACGAGGAGGATGAGGATGAGCTTGATGTGCTGATGTATGGCGTCTTCGGCGGCCGGTGGGTGGAAGACATGATGGGCAGGATGAGAGGTGGGTGTCCTGGGCGGTCGCGGCGGGGAGGGGGGTAATGTAGCGTTTTTCTAAGGCCGGTCCAAGTCGGTTACCATTTGTGAAATTCCAAGAATCTAGGCGGGTGTTTTATCAGGGTAGAAAAATGCACTTTTGGAAGGGGGCTATCAAGAGTTTTATTTTGGGAGGGGAGCAGGCAGTGGGTATTGCGGCATTGTCTGGGCCAGGCCTGGTTCCACCAACACGAAGGCTGGACCCAGGGAGCTGACGGAGTGGGAAGTCCGAGACTTGGCCAGGGAGGTGGGTGGACGCAGTAAAATTACGTGTGCGTTGAAGTGTGTGTGTGTCCCTGGTCAACCGTCTCCTCAAGTCCTCTGCTTGCAATTACCGGGGCGTTGGTCTTACCCACTGCACTGGATTACTGGAATTATATGTGGCACCTGCCCTTCATCGACGAGTCTTTTGAGTACGATGGTCGAACCATCCAAGGGCTCAATCATAACGTTAATAATTCAAGCTGCATCGCATGTTGATGGAAACAATCAGCAAGTCTGAAACGGTGTGCAGATTCGGTCACACGCGCCCACCCGTACCATGCAATACCGGTAGGTATGTGCATCGAATGATCACTCCATCTTGGGATGTGTGTGCTACGCAAGGAGCAATGGTAGGACTTCGCCTCCTCGCCTTTCCCATCTCTCGCCGACAGTTGGTATCGGTGACAAGTCGATGTCGATTTCAGCAGGTATGGCTATTGTTGCATGGGCATTGTGGTATCTGTGTCGGGAGAAAGATCGGCAGACAGTCAAGAATCGGTTTGCTGCATTTTTGGCGAATCCATTATTCTGAGAGAGCAAAAATAATATTCTGTGAGAGCAATACGTATCTTGTGGCTCAACGCCCAGCCAAATCCACCACAACCCACCACAAATTTCAACCGTAGGCCACCTTACAGACTATCATCCTCCTACGATAAGCGGATTGAAGCCATTGACATGCGCACGCATCGATGACCTTGGGCAGGTTTGATGCCACTCCGAAAGCTCGGTGTTGTGAAGCTCAGGGTTAGGAATTGGAGCAAGGCTACCATTACTTTAGCCCACATTGATTCTTCGAGGCAACCCGGAAGGTCGGGTACTCCGTACGGAATATAGATGCAGCAAAGGGATTAGGGATACACTCATTATATACTATTGCAAATAGCTTCATCAGCTCGTCACTTAGTAAGGTATTTAACTCGAATGTATACAAGCATATGGCTTGCTCTTCCCTCTTGCAAAAGACTGAGGGAAGAGGAGCATGTGCGGTGGACTGCGCCACATGCTCTCACAGAATAATATTTTTGCTCTCACAGAATAATGTTTTCGCATTTTTGGTTAGCTGTCTGGATCGCGATTTGTGCCTCGAAATCTCGATCTGGCCGCATTTCTCTTCTGAGAAGGCGTCCAGGACTGGCCAGGCCCACTTAAAAACAGAAGAAAGAACCCAGCAAATTCTGGATTACATAATTCCCTCAATTTACCAGCCAAAGTTCTAGACTGCGTTCCTGGCGGCACCCACACACAACGTCTTTTCCATCATGCGGGTCCGACATCCCGTTTCATCAGTTCATGGACGGAGCGAGTGACTGCCTTTGTCTGGACCGCAAGGCGAGCAGCCGAACTCTACCGAGAGCGTATGAAATACGAAACACAAGATCTCGTCCTCTCAGCATCGGTGTTCTTATCAGCCCATTCTAGCTAAACATCAAAGTTTTTGCACGATTTCCATAAACGACTGCCTGCTTCGACGATCGGGCTGCTTCAGCGGGTCAGATGCTCTCGGCAACTCCCGATCCCCGTGATACCTAAGCTGTCAATCAGACCCACTTGCCGAAGTTGTGTTTTGTTTGCTTTCGAGAGGTTTCTGCTCAACTGCAAAAATCCAACAGAGCGTGAAGAGATTGAACACGTGAAGAGTCCTTCGCATTCGTGTTTAGCAGTTTGCATGGACGTCCTACAGTGCTCGTCTGGAAAATTACCGCCGCGATTTCTGGGGGACAGACACATTGAGCGAACGATAGGGCCGGCCTAATTCGCGTGCTATCCCATCTCCGAGCTTACTGTAGCGTGCATGTGTTGTTGCCGGCCCCCTCCGCCTTCGAAACATGCAAATCGAGGCCCAAGTTGGTCCGCAGATCCATTGCCTAAATCAATGAGTCAGCCTGGCCTGGACTGTGCTCTTGGGCGTGAACTTGAAGAGATCCTTCCGATTCTTCCGAGTGTTCCGGCCTCGCTGGAACCCGCTCAGCCGCTCTCCGAGTCCCGGACTCTCGAGGCACAGCATAGGTATTCGGTTAGCCCGCAGGCAAGGACGGCAATGGCAGAGCTCCGACCTCCGTCATATGTCGGCCGTCGTCGCATGCCCGGCCCACCTTTGACGTCGCGGCCAGCTACGCACGACAGCAGCTGCTTCTCCCTTGTTCCGAGGAATCCCTAGCCCGCTACGGCGGCATGCAGTTTCAGCTTCTACATCTCGGCCGGTGCAGTCCAGAGATGGGCGTTCTACGCGTTAGAGTTATTACATTGAGGATGTGGGAGGGCATCGCGAATATGCGTGTCCCGAGCACTGCTGCCCCGACTATCTGTTCCTTACAGTCTGGCTGCGTGGGCTGTCAAGACTGTGGTCTCTTAGACATGCCGACATGCCGACATGCCTTCATCCATTTCTCGGTGGATCAGGGCGTACCTTACTGCTGCTATGTCATTATCCACCCTGCGTCAAGCTGAGTCAAGATACTGTTCACCCAAACCTACCAATCCCCAGCTCGCACTTGATGGCGTATGCCATTGATCGGTAACTGCTTCCTCGAGGCTCCATGCCAGTCCGAAGGTTCCGCAATGCATAATTACCATCTGATCTAGCCGTCATGGCGGGTATGAGATATGAGCCTGTTGAGGATTCTCCCGCAAAGCTCTGTACGCACAATCATTCAGCATCAGAGAACGATTGCCGAAACCCGATCAATCCATTGACTCTAGTGACTCTTTCAACTCCATGACGTCCATTTCATCTCGCTCTGTTTCACGTACACAATTCCCCCATGCCCCTTGCCTAGGGTTCCTAGGCTGCCTAGCAGGGCCGGTTTCGACACTATTCCACGCTGTGAGCGTAAGTTCTTAGCACGTTTAGGAGGCCTTATCAAGAAGAATAGGGGAATCGACGATGGGCCCTAGTTGAGACCATCACATGAATGTGAGATTTCTGCGCACCGAGTAACACGGACGGTATGGGACGGCTGCTGATGGTAAATTGCAGACACCACTCATAGGGTTGACATAGGCTGCAAGTACACTTATACTAGGGCAGCCCCGGATCTAGGATCGAAGATGATGCATTCAGAGCCGTTCGCCCATAGCTACCGGATATGTACATTACATACATGTCCCCTCCAGCCATGGACTTGCACCATCCTTGACACCGGCGTAGATGGCATTGAGGGGGGCGGGCAAAACAATTCTTGCATGGTCATCAGCCGCCTTCATCTCTTTTTCAGAGGTCCGATTTGGCCCCATCGACAGGCGAGATAAGGATCGAGCTATGCACGCGTAGAGGTAAGTCCTCACCTAGGGTACTGATTGTATGTAGACACCGTCGAGGCGCAAAAACTAGAAATCGCCACCCGCCCCTGAAAGCCTTTTCCCCGGGACCGGGTTGACAGGTATTTGGACACCCCACCCTTGTTTCATCCAACTCCCGTTATTCAGGTCCCTCAGTTTCATTTATCGCTTCACCTTTTCTCGGGGGAAAGTGATGCTTCTCCGTTACCGAAGTGGAAAGGTGCTGCTAGGGTTGAGGCTTGACAGGAAAGAGTTCACATGAGTTACTGAAGCAGCTGCAGGACACCGTTCCAGGACTCCCTTTGTGCACACTCTGTGGTTGAAATGGGATAAATGGCATGGAAAGGAGGAGAATAAGACCAGAGCAACGGCGATTGCGGACACAAGAGGAACTTTCAACGGCTACCCACCGGCACGGCACTACTTCCTATAATGTCAACAAATTAAGCCGTCGGCGCCATCATTAGTCGAGGTATTGGTTGGTATCAATATCTTTCACTGCTTCTTCCCTCTGCACAGTTTAAATACAACAGAACTCCTCAAAACCTGCTTCAAACGCCTTCCCCGCGCTTTCGACTTCAGAAAAAGGGAGCTGTAAACACAGAGGGAAACAAATAAAAATGCAAAGGACCGCCAGCTCATGATCTGAAATATACGGAAACAAAGTAGCAAGAGTAAAACAAGCACCACGGCACAGAGGAGACAACGGGTCGGCTGGCTGGTACTCAGACCAACCCGGATAATAGCGGCATGCCCCTTTCTCCTCCTCTCCCTCGCCCACTCACCCTGCTTGCCTCTTCTCTTCTTTCGAACGGTTTTAAAAAGGCATATCAATCTCCCATCGATAAACAAGAGGAATAAGGGGGTGTGTAAAAACCAAATGCCACATTCCTTCGTCCCCAACGCTGCAGTGTATGAGGTGACTGAGCGGGTGGCTACCAAGTAGACCAGTAAAAGTTTCAGTGTTTGCGTCCAGCACTTCGTGGTTCGAACATCGAACGACTTGCCATGTAAGGATAGGGTGAAGTAGATGGAAAGACGAAGAAAACAGGGAACGAGAGGTGGATTGGAGACAGCATAGCACGTAGGTGAATCGGTTAATGAAAAGAGATGGCGTCCAACCTCTGACTGACTCTTGATGTATTAAAGATGCTTTCTCCATGGCTCCTGGCCTTGGGAGCTAAGCTTCTGTCCCCTACCTCGTCTGAAATCTCACATAGCTGGGACTAGGGGAAGAGTGCTTTCTGTTTTCAAAGGTAGGAGAATATGCTCCGCCCCGGGAGGAGTGCGATACAACAAAAGGAAACATTGCGCGACTGCTGAATAAAACAGGCCAGACGGTATCGACGAATGCGGTGAGGCCCCTGTGGTGAAATACAAAGTGCTGAATGCGCTTAGAGTGAAGAAAGTCGTTTCGTCGTAAGTGAGGGATGTCCATTCACTGGCTCGGAGGCGGCATTTAGGACAGGCAATAGAAGGTCGGGTTGGTGGTTGTTTTGAGTGGGCTGTGAGGACCGGGCGGCGGTATGAGAACGGATGGATTGCTTCTCTTGGATGGATGGACGGCAGGGTTACATGACTATGCAGCAGCCGCAACCCTTTTTCTTTGCTGGCGAGTCCTCTGGTGGGACCGGCACCCTGACGACGGGCGTGGGTTGGGGTTGTGGTGCTGGTGACCTTGGGCTTGGTAAGGGGTCGGTTGGTTTGTCCACAATTTTGGGCATGGTAGAGTAGGAATTTGTTCTTCCAGGAAGCGTTGGCTTGGTGTCCGGCTTGAGCGGCCAGTCCGCGTGCTCTTCTGCTTGCGGCTCCTTTTCGGCCTCTGGTTTCGGTACGGCGTCCGGCTCGGGAGGTCTCAAGAAGCCTTCGTCCGTGAGCGGCCTGAACTCCTTGTCGTAAACGTTCCCGAACTTGCCCTCCCTTTCCCACTTCTCCTGCTGCAAGCGCTTGGCCACAGTTGGGAGCAGTTGCTGGTCCGGTGGCAGTCGGGGGTCGGGACGATAAGCCGAGACCATCCATGGGGGTTCGCCTTCCATTGGCCTGCTGCTGATTGAAAGCTCCCGTTCGCCAGATCTTGTTGACGGCCTCGTGCCGGTCCCGCTGCTCGTCGAATCCTTGCTGGGACCACCTCTGGTCTTCGGTCGTCCTGCAGCACCATTTGCAGGTTTCGGTCTCTTTGTGCCCGACCCTGGTGTCGTCTTTTTGGGAGAGGAATCGGTCCGCTTGGCGGGCTGCGAGGTGGTCCCGCTACTTTGCTGTGAGACATGCCCGTTGCTTGTTGACTTTGCCAGAGCATTTCCTGTGCTGCTGCTTCTTTGCCGCGTTTTGGGATACGTTATTGTATCCTCCTCGCTCAAACTGGCATCTCGTTTCCGGGTCAGAGGGGTGTCCCGGGCGAGATGCTCCGTCGGGATCGGCACAGGGCTGACTTTGGCCACAGGTATTCGGGACGAGCCTTTGCCGCCACTGCTGGACACCCAATAACCATCGCCTTCTTCCAGGATCTCCTCTGGTCGCCTCAAATCCCAGCTGGGAATAGAGCTTATCTCGGGTGTCCTCGGTTCCACATAAGTTGCCGCCGAGTTTTTCCTCGACCTCAAGCTTGCCTGATCTGCACCTCCGATTGACCTTGCCGATCCGTTGATCTTGTCCTGGCTCTGATCCCTCCTTGGCCTGTTCTGGCTTTTTGATCTTGCCCTATCCCTTTGGCGCGGTAGAAAGATGCCCGCAGCCTGTAACTCCTCGTTCTCTATTCTTGCTAGCTTGTCCCGATGAATCCACTTGGAATTCTCGTCGCTGTCCGAGTCTGCAGGCAGGTCGCCAGGCGCTTTCCGGTGTGATGGTTCGTTTCGATCTTTGCCATTGGCTTGCGGATCCAGCAAGCTCTCGGCAAGACCTGCATGATCCTTCACGCTTTTCGCTTTTGGATCCTTATGGTTCTGCTGTGGGTGGTAGGTGGCTTCGACGGCCTTTGCTCTCACACTAGCACTTGCCTCCCCATTGCTGTATCTCCGCGAATGAGTGTCGTGTACGCCTGTATTCCCATTATGAGTCGCCAGGGCTGGTCGACCCGCGGGGTAGATGTCTTGGTCGTTCGCCAGCGTCTGCTCATCCTGCAAAGAGCCGATTAGATGGGTAAGGTGAGAGGGCTCCTGCAAGTGGGACATAATTTGGATCTCGAGCAAGGAGAAAGGGTCTCGACCGGGGGTCGAGGGTAGGCTCAAGCTCTTACCTCTAACTCGGTTGGCAAGCCATTTCCCCATGCATGAGTAGACGACGTCGACGTTGTCGCTGTGTGGGATACGGCTGCCATGTTTTCATCGGAACAGCACCGGGCAAACGCTGTGCTGCGATTTCCGGCTGTGGCGTCGGCGAGGATCCGGTATTATGCTTCTCACCAAGGGGGGAGACGATGAGGTGAGGACAACGCTGTCGATCCACACAACCTAAGGGAACTCGCGACTGTAACTTGAAAGAAAGTGTCGAATATAGTGCCCTCAGTTTTAGCTCTCGACAGCTCCTTTCTTGCCTCTGCCCGCCCAGCCTCCCAGCGGGCCACAATAGGCCGCAGGCTCGTCAAGTGCGCCGCTGACCTCTCCCTCTTATGCGCATGCGCCAATCGAATTCCTAAGATCTGGTTTGAACCGGGCTTGTCTGCATCTAAAGCAGAAAGGGCAGTGCCAAAGACTCGCGTTTGTGTAAAAGGCGACGGTGCGTCCGAACGTTAGGCCTCGAGTTGGTCGGAAGATTTGTATTCGAAAAGCAGCAGAAGCGTGCCTCAAGTGGTTAAGGCAACCAGAACCGAAACTCAAAAGTACCGAGTTATTGGGAGCTTAACTCCTAATTGTGTTGCTGGTCTTTGTTTTTCGGTTCGACGGCGATGCAGCGTGCGGCGGGCAGAGGGCCAGGTTTCGGGTGCTTTGTGTTCAGCACGGGGAGCTTGTTGTCAAGGTGAAATGAGGGTGTGATGCGATCATGGAAAGCTTGTGCGGCGGCGGGATTCTATCCCTAGCTAACGTTTAACTGAAAGTGCAAACAAGACCCATACTAGATTTTAACATGGGGTGCGTGCGTGTTTTCCTAGCTTTGTTCAAACGCCAGTCGACCGCCCAATGCCTGCAGCAGCTTAGCAGCGAAAGCAAGACGTGAACAGCAGCAGCTCGGCAGCATTCATTTTTCTCAAGAGCTTCGAGAAGTCAGACAAATTCATCAAGGGTCCCTAGAAATGGATCTCTGGTAAGGAGAAGGGGCACTCATTAATTCAAGCAATCTGTATGCAGAATTCTATTGGTCAATGACTGGGGCCTGTGGGGGGACCGGGTCTCAGTTGTATGGAGAACTCTCAGAAGCAACAATGGAAATCACTGGCTCGGTTGTTTCTGTAGTAATTACTTCGCACCTATCCTACGAACGGTAAGAACGATCCAACGTCTGTTGTAGTGAGTAGTAGATGTCAACACAGTACAGTACCTTGCTAACTTTATTGCCTTTAGTGAAGGGATGGCTGGGATGGAAACACCATAGTAAGAACCCTACATAATCTTCCTCCCTTACATACATATGGATCTTTTCCTAGGGCCTCAAGCACAATACCCCCTCTGTCTGCTCATCCTCCGCCCTCATTCCGAGTCCTGGGTTTAGCTGGCACAATTTGGCCTAGATTCACGTGTTCAAATTCGATTCTCAGTATCTTCCAAGCTTGGTCTCGGTTGTCGATGTCACTGATGCAGTTTGAAGTTTGAACTTTTCAACGAAGCCATGGCTGCTCCGCGGTTGAATCCACGTCCAACACGCCGGACCAGGATTGTTTGCATAAGCGACACCCATAATTCCACTGTCAGGCTGCCAAAGGGCGATGTCCTGATCCATGCTGGAGACTTGACAAACCAGGGGACCTATTCCGAGGTGCGACTTGCGCTGCCTGCTTATCAACTTAGACGAGGAGGGCGAGATGAGGTAGCTAACCCTTCGTCCTTCCAGCTGTCGAGTGCTGTTGAGTGGCTTGAGAAGGCGCCTTACGAAGCCAAAATTGTGATTGCAGGTAACTGTTTCCCTTTGATGGACGCTTGTTCCTTTCTGGGCTTCTGAGGTAGTGTACTCACCCATGACAGGGAACCATGATATCACCTTGGATCGCGTCTTCTACTCGGAGCATGGGTCGACTTTCCACAATCAGAATCCGCAAGACCCGGCCAAGTGTTTGTCACTACTGACATCGAGCCCCTTCATCACATATCTTCAGCACTCCAGCGCCACTATCCGACTCACACACCCCAAGGGGCCCGGTACTGAGTTCACCATTTTCGGTTCCCCCTATAGTCCCAGACACGGTACGTGGGCCTTCAGCTACGACCGCGCAGATCACGACCCAGGATCAAACCAAGCCACAACCATGGCACCAAGCGCAGCGGAGCTCTGGGCTGCGATCCCGCAAGATGTCGATATCCTTCTCACCCATACACCGCCTTACGGTCATTGTGATGGCTTTCTCGGCTGTCAAGAGTTGCGTAAAGCTCTGGCTGAAGTGCGCCCTCGGCTCCACGTCTGCGGTCACCTCCATCAGTCAAGAGGGGTAGAGCGTGTGAAGTGGCATCCGGATGGCTTCGGCACCGCAAACTGCGACAATCTCCGGGCCTCGGTAGAGCGTTGGCAAGATCCCAGCCCCGATCCCGCTTCTGCCAAGATCAGCCTGGTTGACCTGACGGCACGTGGTGGGAAACGGGCACTTGACTTCCATGACTCCGCAATGCCGCCGGGTGCAATATCCGATCCGCTAGCGCCCCGACCGCAGAGTCTATGCAGCTCACTGTCCGCCGGGCCCGAAAGTCCGGATCAAGTGGGACCGCGCGGACACCAGTCCACTGACAACGGCGAACCCGACCTCTGCCCCGGTCCTGACCGAGACTCCGTACGGAACCAGGAGACTCCAGAACCTGAGGCAGGCAGCCAAATTCCGGCACTACCAGACCTGATGAGGTCCCTTGATCGACGAGAGACATGTGTCATCAACTGTGCTATTGTGGCCACCTCATGGCCTCACTTGGGCGGTAAACGGTTCAACAAACCGATCGTGGTTGACCTGGACTTGCCTGTGTGGAGATGAGGCAAGGTTGACCCGGTTTCGACATGGCGACGTGTTCGCGATTCACAGCATTAAGCACGTCAAACATGGGACTGCCTCCGCATCCATGATCTCGACACCAACAGGAGACTCCTTCCTGTCTATTAGGAAATGGTTGATGCCAGCAAGGAGGCGATCCCTACCCAAACTCTCCCTATCGAGCTTGCTTATGACCTATTATAGACTATAAAGCCCTGCAAGTGTTCACGAGGCCGTGCATCAAAGTACTGCCAACCTCCATATCCGATATATCGGATGTCCAATTACCAATGATTCGCGCTCTCGGCCACTTCGTGCAAGGCCGGTCGTCAACAAACTAGCATATCGTTGCGTCGTGGCCGCACCGGACCTTGAACGTGGCTTCCTGACCTCCTACATGGGCCAATGGATCTAAGGGGTTCATCATCACGACAAGAGCAGGACCGCAAAAACGAAGGACTGCCCTGTATGTTTCTTACCATTTGAGCGCTTAGAGGTCGGAAAATAAATGCACTTCCAGCACAGCATCGACGCCTCGTCATTTGGCCCAAACTTCGTTCATCCTCGCAAGTATGCACGGGGTACCGATTGCCGGCTTGGCCTGATCGGTTCCTCCCGGGCTAAAGCTGGTGGCCCACGAGCCGAACGGCATGTCGAATTGTCAATGAAGTGCCAATATAACTGGCCTTTCGCAAATGAGCAGAACATAACCCCAGAATCCACTTCCATCCGGACCGATCTATCGTCTTAGAGGCCTGCAGCTTGTTGTTTTGGCTACAAAAGCAGAGGTCATGAGGCCGCACTAGCTTGTAGCCAGGAGCCAATAAACAGGAGGTGGCCGATTCTTCGCACATAAGTCTTGCCCACGGTTGTGGATATCATATGTGCAAGACTGCAGGTAGGTGGAGGATTGAGGAGGATCCAGGAGAACGTTTCCACAAGCCTAGTCGCTTTACACGTAGCTGAAGCAAGAAGCTACGCTTTTCATACCATCAGGCTATCAGCTGGTAGCAGCGACATGGTGCTCCAGTGGCATGCGCAGATGCCTCAGGACAGGCGACCAGCTGATGCAGCACTTCACGAGGAACAGAGTGATGAATCCAACAAACCCCGATTCAAGTAAGACCTTGCGGGCGTAGCCGCCGTATCCAGAACAAGAAGCACCAGTCAGCGTGCAAGTCTAGTGTAACCACTCAGAGTCCAACGGAAGAGCCGAAACTTTAACCAGCATGGAAGGACGAGTGGAAGGTGTGGAAGGTCTGAAGCTGGTCAAGCGAATGGAACAAAGCGGTGTCCCTCACCGCCACAAAACAACGGTGTACTGTACGACACCCCGCCTTATCAGCCCATCGCTGACGAGGATCCGCGTTGAGGTGCGATTACTGTGTCCATACAGCAATGGAACCCTCCGAGGTCCTGACGTGGAGGATCTCGCTCTTGCTGTCTTAGTCTCTCTTAGAGCTGGATGTCTACTGTACGGAAGGAGCAAGTCCAACCCAGTCTTTACTGTTTCGAGTCAGCATAAACCTTCCCCCCCCCCTCCTCCCCGCACGATTCTCCAACTTTCATGTCCAGGCACCGCAAGCTTTCTGGTTCCGCGTCAAAAGTATAGAATCCAGCTTGAGCCCGAGACGAGACATCAGACGACAGTGTTGAAGCGGAGAGGGACGGGGACGTTAATGAAGCTAATAACAGGTGCTTCTGGCGAGGTACAACACAATACAAAGTACTGTCCATACCTAAGTCTGCTGCAGTCAGTGGCTTCTTCTACCTACATCATACAACCAATCAGACTCGCCAAAAGCAGCTGTCTCCTGACAGAGTGGTCGAGCACCTAAACCAAGCAATCAAGCAATTGTGTACGAAGTATATGACGATTCATCGTCATATTCCGGCCCAACTCCTCAAGGCCACCAAGCGACCCGCCCGTCAGAATGGTCTTGGAACCGTGAAGCACGACTGCCAGTGGAGTTAACCTTTGATATAACTATGTAAACAAAGACTGGCACGGCAAGCTTGAAGAGGGGACCCTGAAAGATTTTATCTCGACCAGCACGTCGTTCACGTCGATGACAGCGGCTTGATCCGTCGACCAGAAGAAGCTCGAAAACCCACAAGCGTCCGATCGGCTGCGTCTCTCCGCGGCCGCCCCCGCGGCCAGTGAAACGGACCCGCCGAGTGCCGCGACAGCAGCCCTGCATATTTCATCAAGGGTCGATGATTGGCTGAGAAACAACAATCCTCCCCACAACAGCCCAGCAGCTGGCTCCTGATAGGATATCACCTCACGTCGTAAGTACTTCCGGTGCTCAACTCGGGAGCAGCCCACCGATGCAGATACTGTTGGCCAGTGAGGAGCGCCGACCGAATGGTGGGGAGGCCGAATCCCCCTCCCGACCCGCGCGTCATCAGCTCCCGCCTTTTTAACTCATTCAATGAGGGGGAACGAGGCAGGCCCTCGTGCCCCGTGAGATGCGGGTGTCTTAAGGGCTCACCGCGTCCCACGCCCAATCATCGGTCCCAGGGTGCCGGAGTTGGGGGAGCCTTGTGAGGTTTGAGTGGGCAGGAGGTGTGAGCAGGCGATCTGTTGCAGAAGCCGGCTGGTACAAGTACATACACCGCCCTGGGGATTCGGTCAGGCAGTGCCTCGTACCTGCTTCAAAGTCGTATAACAGGCTGCAGGTGGTTGGATCCCGATGATGGTGGTTTGGGATCTTGGTTTATGGCCCGCGAGGGGGGGGGGTCGCCCTGTGGGTGTTGTTATGTGAGGTGGTTGATACTGGCTGTGACTTGTTGTTGGACTTGCCATCTTTCAGATGATGGCCTACCGCAACCAGCACGTGCAATGGCTCCCAGTTTCCACACGACTACGCTACTCCGTACGTATCCTTCCCTTACAAGTACCTCACTCACCATCACCCGATAGTGCACTGTAACCACAGGATGGCATGGAGCGCGCGAATGGCGGAGAACTGGAGCCCATTGGCGGATAACGTTGACAACCCGGTGATGGTTCGTCAATGAGTGGCCTCACTTTGAGGTGGATCGGAGCGCATTTGCTCCCATTGATCAGTGAAGCCATGGGGAAGAGCTCCTTAGCCGGCGGTCTGTGATAGCCCCTCTCCTGCAGGACATCACAACTGAAGAGTAATGGTTGGCGGGCCCACACAGTCGCGACCAAGTCGCCTTGCAGGCTGCGTGTGCGCTGGCTGCAATGCTAGCTCACTCTCAGAGCCCGGCAATCCAATCAACAGAAGCCGAACCTCTCGGTTCTCCGAAAGCCAGCAATATTGGGTGCGTTCATTGACAAAGAGGAGAACGGTAGTTGGATGATTCAGCCGTGGACTGTCACAGATGCCATGCAGCCATCTCCAAATCAATAGCTTCAAGATCTTGTGCCTATTCACTGTCCTACAGTAGGCCGCGCCCGGCTTAGTGAGTTTGCCGCTGGCGGATTCGGGTACGGCTTCGAGCGAGATATTCGACAAGGCGCTCTTGCCCCGCCAGTATGGAAGAGAGCCTAGAACGAACCAATTCGTGACAACGTTAGCCCCAAAGAGCACGCCTGTCAACCGACAACTGGCTAAGGCTCGAGGTGGAAAAGATGCGACTGCTTCTCGCTCGAGCAGTTTGAGAACGTTATAAATGGGTTATGTCTTCGCCCACCGCATGCTAGACCAATGTCAAGTGTCAATTGGATGAAAGGGTTGGCTTGGTCGAGGATATCTGGATGGCTTTAAGTATCCGATCGAGGCTGATCGCCCGAGGCAGACAAGTCTTTCCTCAGGGGCCTCACTCTCATTCCGGGGGATTGCAAGCTTCCGGCCCGCCCCCGCTTTACGGACCGGCGAGGTGATCGGACTGGAGGTTTCCTTGACAACATGTTACAAGCTCACCGCCCATTGCGTTCTCTGACCCCGTAAACCAGCGTTTAACGTTAGAACTATTAGTGGCCATTATCGGTGCCAGCAACATGCTCAGTCATTCATGCATACCCCTCAACTTCTTCCCAAGTCTAACCAGGACCCCGATTGCGGATGAAGCAACATTGGAATATGAAACCAGATCGGTATGCAGCGCTTCGTAACAAACAATAAGAGATCGTTGCTCGCTGTTGCCACAATGAAGGTGAAGGAGAAATCACAAAGCCGGGTCCCTTACAGGGCCTCATTGCCACCGCAGGCCCGCCCTCTTCCATGTCTCGTCCCCTCGTGTACGAAGTACGGAGTATCCATACCTTAGCTTTCTGGTCTTGCTTCCAGACCGCCTTGTTGGTCAAATGGAAGAGTTCATATGAGCAATTCTCTCGTGGATTGGAAATCGACCTTGTCCATCGTGAGCCAGCTTCGAAGAAATCTCTATGAGGCCAACCGCTCAGTTGAGTCTGGAACTGCTGCTTGGTTCGCTTGCCGAGGCCCCGGGCCGTGGGAGGCCGCTTGCATCAGGACCAGTGGAGGACCACCCATCAACTGGCCACTGGAATTGTTGTTGCCCCTTTCACTGCGAATCCACATGGGACAACCTTGGAACCATAGGAACCCCTTGTATTCCGCCGTCGCGAGGAGTCTCAGATAATAGCTGTGGTAATCAATGGACCTGATATTACAAAGGATTTCCAACTGCTGAGGGTGCTGTATGTGTATGGGATAGAGGAAGCACCAAGGCCTTGAAACGGGTAAAACTCACCTTCTGCCCCGAGTTGCGTGCAACAGCTGCATAAGCTACCTAACTAACGTCACAGGCAGAGAGGGTCCAAAGGAGAGCTGAGGGCACAGAAACCGACAGAAAGGAAGGGACGACCGGTCGTTTCCACTCCCTACGTAACTTTACGGTCGAGTCCCCCTTAGGTGATTCGACCCCGCAATGGGTGGATGCCGTAAGCCAGCTCTCAGGTTTGTTAAGCGGGCGAAGGCAAACACCACAATTGGACCGCGAAGACTCTAGTGGATCCCACAGCGCTCTCCTCGCCAAAGTCGCCACCTTTCAGGTTACCAAAGCCTGTTAAAACATCCAGTCAGCGATGCGAGGGTGAGTGCCAGGGACAGACAGGCACAGGACAGTACAAATGCACAGTGTCTTACTGCAGTACTTTAGCTGGGACTCCAGACGACCCCATCCTTTCCCTCACACGGCAACGGGGCCCCCGGAAGTCAGCCACGCACTGGGGGTACGGTGTTGCGCCCCTCTCTCCCGCCCTGGCCATCCCACGACTGCCCAGGTGATTTCATCGCCTGTTCTCCTCTCTCCCATCACCTTACAACACGACAACCGAACATCAGAGCCAGGAACAGCAGGCCGGCATATTGGGCTGGCCCTGACCACTTTACACAGCCGGACCGTAAACTCGGCCGTCCGTTTTCTTCTCTTCCGTTGCTTGCTTGCCTCATCACCATCCCCAGGTTCAGAGATCCTAGCAGCCATTCCAACGGCATCTTCGCGGCGACGGTTGCCCGGCATCACCTAGGGCGTGCTCCACCAAACCTCGTCCTGTTCGTCCCATATGCTCGCTGCACCAGTACAATAGTCATTTGTCCCCCGCTCGCTCAGTTTCCACTACACCATCTTCCCTTGCGACAGCCCCCAAGCACTTCCCAGTGCGTTTTGCATTCTTGTCTCTTGGTTGTGTTACCTCATTTTTAGCCGACTATTCTCGCCGCCACAGTATCTGGGCTCACTTCCCATTCACATTGCGCCGATTGACGACACCGACTGCTGCTGCATCTCGCATCGCACTTGCAAACGTCGATTACCAACAGCACCTTACTCAGTGTGCTCGTCGTGAGCTACATACGCAGCTGGCATTTGGACAGGGACGAGCCTTTTCGGTACAATCGGAACATCCAACATGACGACCCTACCGCCGGATCCATGGAAAACCCTCGGTGTCGAGAGGAATGCGGACAAGACCGAGATCCGGTCCGCATACAAGAAACTCGTGCTCCAGTGCCACCCCGACAAGGTGCAAGACCCGGCGCTCAAGGCGAAGAAACAAGAAGAGTTCCAAAAGGTGCAACAGGCATACGAACTGCTCAATGATGATGCTGAGAGGGCAAAATATGAGGAGAAGCTCGCGGATTTACAGCGCGCCGCCAAGCAAGCCTCGGTGAAGAACTCGCCCAACACCTCGGTCCCGCGCACATCCACAAAGTACTACGATATCCGGACTACTGAGCCTGCATCTCGGTACAAGAGCCACACATCCCCATCGGGCGGCAAAATTTACACTCACTACTCCTCGCCTCACGCCCGCTCGCACGAGGAGATGCCGTCCTCTCGTGTCCATCCACTGTACGAAGAGACTGATAGACAGGCCCGAAGAGCAGCGAGTTATGAATTGAAGAGGGACGAGGAGAGGCGGGAGCGAGACAGGGAAGAAAGGAGACGTAGAAAGGAAAAGGAAGAAGAGGAGATACTCGCGAGCAAGATGCGAGCTGAGTATCAAAGGGACAAAGAACGAGAGAGAGAGCGGCTAGAAAAGGAGAAGGAACGTGAGGCCCGCAGGGCCGAAAAGAAGCGGGTCGAGAAGGAACGGAAGCGCGAAGCCGAGGATAAAGCCCGCCGCCACAAGCCCTACGTAGAACCCTACGTTGACGCTCAGGTGGATGAGCTTTGGGCGGAAGACGAAATCTATGTCACGTCACGCTTGGAGAAGAAACGCTCGTCGAGCAGGAAGCATGACGAGGGCCGCGAGAGGGATCGCGACCGTGACCGTGAGAGGGATCGGGAGCGCGAGCGCGAGCGGGAACGCGAGAAGTCGACTCCGAGACGCGCCAAGTCTCCGCATGCCATCGCCGTACCAATCACCGAACGAAAGCATTTGGAAAACTATGAGCATGCGACCAGCTACATTGCGAGACAGACCGGTTCTACCCCTTCCGTTTTGCCATCATTCTGGAAATCCCAATCTCCCGAGAAGGAGACCATCCTCGCCCCTCCCGCTCCCCCGGTTGTTCCGACGCCGCCGCCCGCTCCCGTCGACCTCGAGGAAGAGAGTATTCGACGTTCGTCTGCCCGTGCGGCGGGGCGACGCTCGTCCCACGACGCCGCAAAGTCGAGAGACAAGTCAAAGTACGATATTGTCGACGCGACTCCAAAGGCCCGCCCGATCCCTACTCTTGCCAAATCATACAGTTCACCTCCTCCAGTGGCCCCGGAATCGCCTCCGCGTGTGAGCCGCTCCCACACGACGCCGCATGAATCGTATACCCGGACTGTACCGTCTCTTGGACGGACACAAACCTGGGCGCCCGGTGGCATTGTCGACGATCGTCGGGGCGTCGACTACTACGACGAATACTACGAGTCCGAGGACGACCGAGAGCGACGCCACCGGCGGAGTCGTCGCGCGCGCTCACCGGGAGTCGAGCCGGTCCGTTACAAAGTCGAAAGTGGCAAAACGTCCAAACTAGAATCACAGTACTCATATGGCGACTCGCCGAGTTCAGCCAGGCGGTATATGGCCGCCGAAGTGGTCGAACCTCATTCTTCATCAACAACATATGCTGGCGTTCCCTTCAGAGTGAAGGAGGCCAAGGCATACGGCCCGGACGATGTTTCCTACGTGAACTATCAGTCTGCATCGTACTACGCTAACGGTGGCAATGACGGATATCCGGTCATGGCGTGAAGAGCGACTCTGCCGTTGAGGTGTGCTTTTCTTCCCGAGTCAATCTGCAGCTCCTGCAGCTGGCATCGAGTCAGCGTGAGGCGAGTCGCTTCCTTAAATTGGTGTATTTTCAGCGAGTTTGCTCTTTTTACGTCTTTCTTCTTTTCTCTATAATCCCTAATCATGACTGGATGGATGAGTATGCGTTATGATGACATCTGCGTGCGAGCAGCACAGCAGATTTTCCCAGATTTTCCCCTATAGGGTCTTGCCTCCATCTCTCGAGGCGCTCAGGAGCCCTGGAGACGTTCTAGGTGTTTTGGATTGGCGTTTGGGTTCTGTTTCTATTCTTCTATTTCGTCTTGGTCTCCTTGTTTTTTCATTGACATGAACCTAAAGACTTCACGATGAAAATCAAGTAACGAACCAGCTGTGTCTTTATATGATGGGTTTCCACCAAAAGGGTTTTCGTTCTGTGGCATAGCATTTGAGAAGGCGGGCCAGCATCGATTGGGGTTGGGTGGGAAGGGACGGATCATCACGGATAGGAGGGAAACGCGATCACGCAAAGGGGCAGAGCAGAGACGGGCGCCAGGCAAGCGGGGTTGGGAAGGGCTCAGAGGGGACACGCAGGGATTGCGACGCCGAAAGGATGGCGCATCTAGCGAGGCTGTGCAATGCAGTGCATACATACAATGTGGTGCTACGACCGGACTTGCTAAGTCATCTTCGCTCCCAACTTGCCGGTGCTGCCGGTTGTTTCTCAATTGGAAGGATTGGGTTTATGACTGGATTGGGATGGATGGAAGGAATTGGCGGTGTTGATTCATTTTTTGGCCTTATACTTTGGAATTCCGCCTTGAATATGTTTGGCTTTTGGAATGTACGTAACTACAGTTATTATTTGCCCACAGAACGTGGAGTGAATGAGCATGAACCATATTAGAAACTTGAATACTTGATGTATGATATGATCTCTTGTCACTTCCATGTTGCTTGAGTGAGTTACCTGTTGGCTCTTCCTTCATATACATTTAAGGGGCACTTTCAAGGAACACGGCGGGTGTTGGCCAACAGAGACGGCAGGATCAGACTGGAGCTCTGGGACTGGCAATGTCAATCGCATCAAGCGGCCGGCATTGTTCTTGAACATTGAGATGAGCTTCCTGGAAACATGAAAAGAGCGAGGTCGGTGGGCATGTTGCAGTGCGTACCTATGTATGTACAATACAATATATGCAGATCTTGATTTCCCTTTGCTGTTCAGCTTGTGATGCTCGCTTACAAGTGTGTTATCTAATCCTACAAGAACATATATCCGTCTAGTGTATGCGCCAGTCTATGTAGCCCCAAGTGGACTGTATGGATCGTTTGCCGCTCTTCCGCTCCAACGGTATCATCTTACAAGGGTATCCAGTCACTTCACATCCCCCCTACGCCCTGTTGTTGCTGACTTGTATACGCCAAGACGGCCGTTCGTGGCGCCACGTTAGCCTCAGAAGCTCTTCCGAGCGTGATCTTAGGTTTGGACGCTTCGCCCAAGAGTTTAGCTAGGTCTTCCGACAGGCCACGCGACTGGCATGGCAAGCCTGCCCCCCAAGCGCAACGGGCATTGGAGTAAGAGGGTCGACGACACATGCAATTAGGCATATCGCCTCGGCTTCGAGCAACCAATGGTCCGATCGGTCATACCAAGACATACAGCGAGCAGATCTGTGCACAGAAAAACATTGCCCGTGTTAGCAACAGTCTAGTACTCCTACTGCTGAATCAAAGAGGCTTACCAAGCTCAATCCCAAAATCATGCTGCACCAAAAGCAAACGTTATTCAGCGTCTCCCTGTTCCTGACCCACTTCGTCCGCTGCAGCATGACAATAGGCAGCTGGAGCATCTGACAGACGAAGCCGTAGCCGCGGATCTTCTTGGTGATGCAGGCCATGACAATCTCGTGGCCGACGGCGCTGATGAGGAAGGTGATGACGGTGGCGTTGGCCTTGCCAATGTACGGGCGGCTCGCGCTGTAGACGTGGCGGCGGAGAAAGCTGTAGACGGGCACGTTCCACTCGCGCGAAAACTCCATCCAGTCCGTGCTGTTCCACCAGTCGCTGTAAAAGTGCCGGTCCGCAAAGCGCGTGATCTCGGCGAAGGCTCCCAGCACGTATTCGAAGATGACGAGGAACACGAGAAGGAAGGTCAGCATGAAGGGGAAGAGGAGCCACGAGATGGTCTCGGCGAGGATAAGAAGTACATCGAGAGTACTCAGGGGTGCATCAGCGAGCCTCCGAGAAGCGTCGGTCAATGCTGGCAGGATGAACTCTTCCGAGATGACGGTGAGCAGGAAGATGCACCCGAATGTGGCGGCGATCTTGGACAACAGGTTCTGCCAGTCAATCCTTTCGTTGCGCGGGTACTCGATCTCGTAGCACAGAGTTGGACAGCAGATGTAGTCGAGGTAGTTTGACCACGTCAGGTTGGCTGGATACGTGATGTTGCCCATGGGGCTGGTTAACTCGCGTGCTAGATCCTCACGGAGCTGGGCAATCTCGTCGGCATCACCATCGGCTTCAATGCCTTGAGCCTCGCCCTTCCCTTTTGCCTCGGCCCTCTTGGGGTCCGCTACAATGCCCATGGGATTGTCCGTGGTCGGGTAGTGGTAGGCCGGGGCCCGGGATGCGGTGGATGGATTGTCGAGCGCGCGGAGGCGCTTCTCCGTCTCACTCAGGTGGCCGTTGTAGAAGGCATAGGAGTGCATCTTCATCAGGAGCACCATGGTGTGGAGCAAGAGGAACACCTGGGACGTCCAGGTCCATTCAAGCAGGAACGGCACGGCAATCCACAGCGCCAGCCACAGGACCTGGTACACGCTCATAATGGCCACGCCAGCCTTGGCCCATGTCAGGGCGCTCCCTGCAGGTGCCGCTCGGAAGAGTCTATGTAAGGGCAGGGCAACAGCGGTGCTGGCGACCATCAGGAAGTCGGCAATGGCCAGATGCCAGAGCTTGACGGTAAAGAGACCCCAGATCTGAACGCGAAGCGGGTATCCCGTGTCCTTGATGTTGCGCAGCATGGTGGTGATGGCCATGATGGCCAGGCCTATCCAGAAGAGATTGAAGAAGCCATGAAAGTCGCGGTAGTCGCTGCTCGGATCGAAGTGGGACACGCGGCTTGCGAATTCGATGGTCGGAAAGATGCGGCGGCGCTGCTCTGCACGCGCCCGCTTGCGCGCGGTAGAGAGCGACTTGACCGATGGTGGCGCGTCAATGGGAACCGGCGTTGATCGGCCACTGCAAGACAAGGAGCAGGGGAATGTGAGTGTCGAATCGAGCGACCAAGTTTTCTCAGACCGTCGGCGGGCTTACCTCGTCGTGCCAGTGGCATGTCCATTGCTCGGTGTCTCGAGAGCGCTATTGGGTTCCGAGATGTTGCTGATCTGCGATAGTTGTGAATGGATGGGCTTTCGGGGCCGCGGGCGCAAGATGCGATCGGAGTGCCCTTCCAAGTGATTGATCGAGGTGGACGCCATGATGCCGGCAGTTGGCGGCAGGGCATTCACCACAGCTCTTTCCCTCCTTTCTTTTCACCTCCAGGTTCGCCTTCCCCCGGCTTCCCAGTATAACCTACAACGTAGAAAACCGTGTTTCACGGGCTCCCGTTTCGAGACTCTACTCGGTATCCGTACTCCGGCAGGTACGGGGACAGCCGAGATGACCGGTGCAATTCGAAAGCTGATTCGGAAGCTGATCGATTGAATGATGGCTAATAATTTCACACCCAATAACGTTAGGCATCAATTGACCACTCGATGCCATCACATTATCAATAGGAAATAGAGAATTCGTTTTCTTGATCATACTGGCTGAAATTCAGCAGCGCAAGGAAATGGACTTTTTGACCTCTTGTTATCCGAGGTGTCCAATCAACCAAACAGTTTCCAGGGGCGTAGGGTCCTGAGTCCTTGGAGACCTACGTCACTGCCACGTGATTCAATTTCCCCTGTGAAACTCAACACACAACAGGGTCTTTGTGCAACGGTTTCTGGAATCCATTCCCTCAAAGATAACCTCGAGGGTAGCCGTCCGATATGTTGCAGTGACGGATGCACCGTATATATACACGCCAACAAAATAAGGACCTACTGTATGTAAGCTGGGCTGCATGCAGTTCAACGTCACCAGGGTTCGAGAAGCTGGGAACAGAGACAGCTCAAGCGCTTTACTCCAAAAGAGAGGGCCATGGAAATGGCGGCAACCGCGGCATCCTCCCTCTCGCAAGACATCATCATTCGTCGGAAGACTCGGTGAAACTGATTATCGCATCTCGTTGAAGGAAGGCGTTGCAACCAGAGAAGCAACTGCAGCGAGGCTGTGCACTCGCGCCTGCTGAATCCCACCGCAGAAGCGGCTCGAAGTCATCCGTGAGCGGTCCCAGAAGTTGCTCGACACGGACGACCAATTGCTGTCGAGGATTGACCACCGTGGTGTTGCGGGGCTCAATGAGGGGCCCGTCAGCTTCTTGCCTTATTCCACGCCATGCGTGCCTTCACCCACGTCACTACCTACAAAAACGCTGCGAGTTGCACGTCCTTGAGGACAAAGGAATCAGGGATAGGAACAAATACCAAATACCGGTAAGCTACTTTCGCATCACAGGTTTCGGCCGCCGTTTGATGGGGAGCTGATCGGGAGCAGGCCGATGGCGGAGTGTTTTTCGGGCTTATCCATAATTACCATATCGGAAGCTGATAAGGCTTACAGAGAGAGCGGGATGCGGAAATGCGGTATAACTAACGTTATCTATTCAGGTCTTTACTTTGCTTACAAGAAAAGCATCATCTACTGATTGCCTTTGTCTCGAGGGCGGGAGGGGAAAGAAAGCGCTGCATAGGTTCATTGTTCTTGGTCCGCATCAAGTTCCCTTTTCCGCTTGTTGGACACGGCCGAGTCTTAAGGTACGGATACACGTACCTTTGATGGTCAATGGCCATAACGTTAGGTAAGGTAGGTTAGAGCCGGCGGAAGCCAGCCATGGCACCAGTGTTCCGTGACAAAGGCTCGCCTGACCCGTGCCCCTGGTTAGCGAAGACGGCCGTAATTGGCCGTAATTGTCATCAGATTCAACGTTACATCTGCATGCGCCGGCTACATTATTGAGAGGATTACTTCGTACCTCTCTGGTGACAGGCACATGTCCAATGAACTGTCGCTTCTGCTCTCAGAGTTCCAATCTGCTCTTAATTGCACCAACGCTCGAAACCTTGGGAGCCTAGAGCAACTTTCACCTGTATCTCAGTAGGTGGCACCTTCTATCGATCCATCTCAGTGCATATCTCTCCTGTCAGTAAGCTTCGATCCAGCTGATCTGATCCTGGTTCGGCAGGGGTTTTGCTATCTTTGGTGGCTGCCAGTGGCTGCCGTCAACCCCCCGTTCTTCACCACCCTGCCCACTGCAGGTGACGCCTGCTGTGGTGAGCCCCACCTTGCCGCTCTTCCAGGCCAGCCCGTGACAACGGCCCACCCAACCCACTAACATTAGGTTGGTAACTTTAGCAGCTGGAGCCTGGTAATTTCCAACCAACGTCGCAGGGCCCTCGGAGCAACAACCTGCTGCTGGACGCAACCTTTCAGTGTCACGCCGACGAGGCGAGCCTCGTCCCCAAGTGGTCTCTGCCTTGGACCCCAACGACCCAAAGGAAAAGTCCAGCCATGTCCTCAAAGCCGCCTCCATCCCCATCCCACTCAATACCTTCGCCTCCATCGCAACCATCGGAACGACGCGACGACGCGGACAGACACCATGGCAGTCTCCTGGACCCAGAGACTGCGATAGCCTTTGCCGAGGTGCTCAATCAGTACAATGCTCGAGCAGATCCGGTTCTTGATGTAGCTACTCCAACATCTACATCCGCACCCGCACCCGCACCCGCATCGGCATTGACACCTCGCCTGGCCGCGAGTCCGGCCCAATTCCGCTCTTACACCATTGCACCGTCCCCACCAGTGCCGCTTCCCGGGTTCGCCTCATCGTCGCCCACTGCTTCAGCGCACCAGCCCTACGACGGCTCCGCCAGCAGCATCACGCAGTCCCCCGATCGATTGGCCTATCCCGGGTCAGGCTCTTTGAATCCGCTACCCGAGCCCTCCGCCGCGTCTCCCGTAAATCTGGATACAATCAGCAGGGCTGGGACGCCAGCCAGGCCCACGAGACGACCCGCGCTCTCCCTTCAACACAAGTCCTCGGCTCAGTCCCTGCGGCCCATATCTAGGACCCCGAGCCTCAGGACCGGCAACTTTGGTTCCGCCTCGGCCGCCAGCTCCACCGTACCCAGCCCTGTCATTTCCGCCATGGGCGACGTCACGCCCCTCCCCTCTCCTCTGCTATCGACCGACTCGCCGGGGCCATGGAAGCAATTGGTGAGATCGGGTTCGCGGGAGACACCGCTTGTCTCTTCGGGCTCAGATTCTTCCTACGTCGAGGAGACGCCTCAGAAGAAGACAAAGAAGCCTTATGCGGGCGTCACATCCTGGCCTCAACAGCCGGATGCCGTCAGGGGGAAGCAGGATCGCGGACTCGTCCAGCCACCGACCCACACGAGGAACAGGAGTATTAGCGAATACATTCCGGATCCAATGTTAATACCCAAGCGCATGTCCACTGTGTCCGGCCTCCGTGTCAAGGCAGCCGACCTGAGGAATGCGACTGATGGGCATCTGCGCCGAGAGCCTCACTTGTCTGAGGCGAGGGGCTTGACGCCCATCGAGAAGCCGCCAACGCCGCCGCCGAGTGAGGCTTCTTTAAGTGCAACAGATCTATCCTCTGTTAGTGCGTCTGGGTCCAGCGTCATCGGCAAACAATCAGGGGCAGAGTACTTTGAAGCGTACGGCCGGTATGACAAGAAGCGCCGCCGCTGGCGGGCAATCACGGTTCTGGGCCAGGGCACCTTCAGTCAGGTTGTTCTTGCCACGAGCCAGACTTCTCCATCTTTGTCAGACGACGAGGGCTCCAGTTTGAGTAGCAGCCTACACAGCCCGAATACAGACCCACGTCGTAAGCGACGGGCCCTGGTGGCCGTCAAGATTTGTGAACATGGCCCTCGAGGAGGCGCATCCGAGGATCGCATCGAGATGAGCCTAAAGCGGGAGCTCGAGATTATGCAGAGTATCCGCCACCCGTCACTGGTAAATCTCAAGGCCTGGAACATCGAGCCCACGCGAGCCATCCTGGTGCTCAGCTACTGCCCAGGCGGAGACCTGTTTGAGGTTGCTACCGGCCACCGCGAGGTGTTGACCCCTCACATCGTGCGCCGCATATTTGCCGAGCTGGTCGGCGCAGTAACCTATTTGCATGACATGAAGATCGTCCACCGAGACATCAAGCTCGAAAGTATGCGATTCCCTCGCCCGCGTCCCCCTCTCCTGTGTTGCTAAATCTTTTCCCCACTCCACAGATGTCCTCGTCAACCTTCCCCCGGCCGAGCTGCTAGCCTCGCGCGCAGCCGACTGGACAACGTACCCTTACTCGGTCGTGACCCTCACGGACCTGGGCCTCTCGCGCCGCATCGCCGAGGACGAGAAGCTCGAGACGCGCTGTGGCTCGGACGACTACGCCGCGCCCGAGGTCATCATGGGCCAGCCCTACGACGGCCGCGCCACCGACGCCTGGTCACTCGGCGTGCTGCTCTACGCCCTGCTAGAAGCCCGTCTTCCGTTCGACCCGCCCCCCGGCGTGGGCGACCACGCCGTGCAGATGCGCATGCGCAGCCGCACTAGCCACCGCATCGCCCGTGTGGAGTGGCGCTGGTTCGAGTACGGCGCCAGGGAAGGCGAGGACGGCGAAGGTGACCACGAGGCCGACCTGGCGAGGTTCGAGGCGAAGGGCCTGATTGGGGCGATGGAGGTGGTCGAGGGCTTGCTCAAGCGCGCGAGGAGCAGGTGGCCCTTGGCAAAGGTTGCTGCGACCGAGTGGGTTGCCAAGGGCATCTGCGTGGGCGAGGGGGGGATTAAGTTCAGGGAGGAGGAGGAAGGGGAGGAGGTATCATGATTCATGGCCTCCCATGACGAAAAGGCCATGATAGCGTCGCGGCTGCTGTTAATGGCTGCCGGAGTGGTTGAGACGCGGTGTGGCATTTTACGACGGATGGCTGTAACGACAAACTTTTCTATATTTTATCTCGGGATTGGAGACGATGCGGACGGCGGCGGCTTGCTAGAGTAAGACAGGGAGGAGATGGGAGACAAGAAGGTTTTGCTTGGGAGGTCGTTTTGCTCATCCTTTCACAACATGAGCTTGGACTTGGAGAGGGAGCTGAAGTGGTTGCGGGCCAGATTGGCTCACTTGCATGCGAGAAACCCCGTCGTCACTCCCTTGTTATCTTACTTCTTCCTTCATTTCGACGACGGGTGTTTTGTTTTACAAGCACGAGATAAACTTTTACTGTTTGTGTTTTGATTCACCCGATTCACCTTCTTGGTGGACTACCTGGCCCTGCCATGACCAGACAGGGCAGTGCAGTTTCTGTTTACTATATTACCCGTCTTCAACAGTTCAGCTGGTTGTGTAAACTTAGCATTTTCCACTTCTTCGGGGGGATTCGCCCTTTCTCTTTCTTTCTCTAATCCCTGTTCTCCATTTCTTCTCTGTTCGACAATGAAAGATGATAGGGGGGAGGGGGCAAAGAAAAAAAAAAAAAAAAAAAAAAAAAAAAAAAAGGAAAACCTGGCGGCGTTATGATAATGAATGAGAACTGAGGATCCGTCAAGGTCGATGCAGTTCCGTTTTGGACAATCAATGGAAGGAGCGCGGTTGGGCATGTAACGAGCATGGCTTTTATATCTTGTGTTGCCCCTTGAGGATAGATTACATAGAAAGTCGATGGGCCTTTGTTGTGTCACAATTCTGAGTATCACTACTGCTCTTGTACAGCAATATCGGGCATCGGGTTTGCCTAGGCCCTACATTACTGTAGTAGATGCTTGAGTATCGAGAAAGAGTTGGCTGCTTGCTTCGCCTCCGAAGCAACGTTGCAAAACTTGTCACCAGCCAACAGAGAAGCATCAGAGACTACAAATGTCGCCTGCTTGCCTGGGGCCATGTGAAGGGTCTAGGTGTAGGTACTTCTGAAAACCCTAATTGGCCTCAAGTGAACGACTTGCCTCCGTCAGCCAACTCCTTAGACAGTCTACCACCAAATGTATGGCTAAACCAGAAAGCAACCACCGACACCAAGATGCATTGTGGTCGACACATTCTAGATGAAAGCAGACCTCAATTCTGTCTAGTCCGTTGTATTCATGTCTACGTTAAAGATCACGATCACACCCGTGTCCGAAACTAAAGTACAGAGCAACGAGGCTGCGAAGGAATTAGGAAGAGGCCCGTGAAGTGATGCAGATGGGTAACAAGTGTCATAAGCTCAAACCCGTAACTCCGATCCCAAGCCGCTTTTTTCATTTCCCAGTCATGTCATCATTTAGTCAACCTCCTCCATGGCGTTGTCGGTAGACTCGGCCGCCGCGGCGCCGCTGTCAGCAGCCGGGGCGTCCTCGGCAGCCTCGGGCTCCTCGTCCAGGTTCAGACCGAGCGACACGAGCTTGTGGATGCGCTCGGCGAAGCCAGCAGGCTCCTCAATGGTGAAGCCAGAGACCAGCAGAGAGGTCTCGAAGAGCAGCTGGACAATAGACTTGACCGTCTTGTCGTTCTCGCCGTCCGCCTCGACCTTCTTCTTGAGCTCCTTGATGATGGGGCTCTTGGGCGAGATCTCAAACGTCTTCTTTGACGACATGTAGCTGCTCATAGAGGTATCACGAAGAGCCTGAGCCTTCATGATGCGCTCCATGTTGGCAGACCAGCCGAACTGGCCGGTGCGGATGGCGCAGGGAGAGCCAACCAGCTTGTGTGAGACGACAACCTTCTCAACCTTGTCGCCAAGAACGTTCTTGAGCGACTTGGCGAGGCCCTCGTACTCCTTCTCCTCCTGCTCACGCTGCTTCTTCTCCTCCTCGGTCTCCTCAAGCTCGAAGTCCTTGGTGATGTCGACCAGCTTCTTGCCCTCAAACTCCTTCAGCTGGGTCATGGCATACTCATCAATGGGGTCAACGAGGAAGAGCACCTCAAAGCCCTTCTCCTTGAGGGAGTCGAGGAAGGGAGACTTGGAGACGGCCTTGATCGACTCGCCGGTGATGTAGTAGATGTTCTTCTGGTGCTCGGGCATGCGGGTGACGTAGTCAGTGAGCGAGGTCATCTCATCGCCGGACTTGGTCGAATTGAAGCGGAGCAGCTTAGCGAGAGTGCTGCGGTTCTGCGAATCTTCGTGGATACCGAGCTTGATGTTCTTGGAGAAGGCGCTGTAGAACTTGTCGAACTGCTCCTTGTCCTCGGCGATCTCGTTGAAGAGCTCAAGAGACTTCTTGACGATGTTCTTCTTGATCACCTTCATGATCTTGTTCTGCTGCAGCGTCTCACGCGACAGGTTGAGGGGCAGATCCTCCGAATCGACAACACCCTTGATAAAGCCGAGCCACTCAGGGATGAGGTCGGTGGCATCATCGGTGATGAAGACACGGCGGACATAGAGCTTGATGTTGTTCTTGGTCTTCTTGGTCTCGAAGAGATCAAAGGGAGCGCGCTTAGGCACGAAGAGGATGGCACGGAACTCGAGTTGACCCTCGACGGAAAAGTGCTTGACGGCCAGATGGTCCTCCCAGTCGTTGGAGAGCGACTTGTAGAAGGACGCGTACTCCTCCTGGGTGATGTCCTGCGGGTTGCGGGTCCAGATGGGCTTCTGCTTGTTGAGCTCCTCCTCCTCAATCTTGGTCTCTTTGACCTTCTTGGTCTTCTTCTTTTTCTCCTTGTCTTCCTCATCCTCATCGACCTCCTCAATCTTGGGCTTCTTGTCCTCGCCCTCCGCAGCCTCCTCGGCTTCCTCATCAGGAACCTCCTTCTCCGTCTCCTTCTTGACGTGGAGGTAGATGGGGTAGGAGATGAACTCAGAGTGCTTCTTGATCACCTCCTTGATCTTGCTCTCATTGAGATAGTCGGTCTGCTCATCCTTGAGGTGAAGGATGATCTTGGTACCACGGCCGAGCTGCTCACCCTCAGTGTCGGGGGTGATGTTGAATGTGCCGCCGGCGCTCGACTCCCAGATGTACTGCTCGTCATCATTGTGCTTGGAAATGACGGTGACCTTGTCGGCCACGAGGTACGCAGAGTAGAAACCGACACCGAACTGGCCAATCATGGAGATATCGGCGCCAGCGGTGAGCGCCTCCATGAACTGCTTGGTACCAGAGCGAGCAATGGTACCGAGGTTGTTGACAAGGTCCTGAAGATTGAATCAGCGTTTGATTCACCGGAGTTTTGCAGTGAGAGACGGAATAGACTTACAGCCTTGGTCATGCCAATACCGGTATCCCGGATGGTAAGAGTCTTGTTCTCCTTGTCGGGAATGAGGTCGATACGGAGGTCCTTGCCAGAATCCAGCTTGCTGGGGTCGGACAAGGCCTCGTAGCGAATCTTGTCGAGGGCATCTGAGGCATTGGACACGATTTCTCGCAGAAAAATCTCCTTGTTCGAGTAGACGGTGTTGATAATGAGGGAGAGCAGCTGAGAGATCTCAGCCTGGAACTCGAAAGTCTCGGCCATCTTGAGGTTATTGGTCGATGTTGGGGGGTATCTTTGGTGACAGGCGAGTCAGTATTGCGGTGCGAGGTGTGAGCGGTGAAAAGCGGGTTTGCAGTTGGGAATTTGGTTTGGTGATGTGAAAGCAGAAAGAGAAAAATGTGGTGATATAACTGAGGAAACGAAGACCAAAGAATATCACAGAAGCTCTTGGAACTCAAGTGGTATGGAGGATTTGGCGATGGCAGTGGGTGGGTGTTCGCAGGAGGGGCATTCGACGAGGCTGAAAAGGGAAACCGCGGGGCGGACAAGTCGTCTAAGTAGACACTTACCACAAGTTGATTCGTAGAGTTGCCGACGGTCTGCAACCTCGAAAAGACCTTTGCAGAGCAATTGGGAGGAAGACGAGAAGGCTTGAAGCTTGCAGATGGGGAGAGAGAGTTTGAAAGGGGAGACAAAAGGAGCCGTGGCAGCTAAAATGTCTTTTCGTGAGTGCCCTGGGCTGTGCTTGGAGTTTCGATGAGATTCTATCGCCCAAAATTCTGCGCCGTTCTTCTGATTCGCCCGGGCCCGCATCCACAGCAACGCACTGAGGAGTTTGATTGGCCAGTTGTAGCAGTCCCACCTAGGCAGCGACCCCACTCTGAGGCTGGAAACGCACGCGGGAGGAGGGGGAAGCTTGTTTGAAAGGAGCGGGCAGCTATGCTACGGGAAAGAGATTCTAGCCTTTGCCAGAAACATCAAACGTACCTTAGGCAACGAAGAATCGGAACGACATAGCAGCTGTGTCGAACAAACTACACTACGTACTATAGGACGCATACACGAGATAAGTACTCCACAGCAAAATGTTCGCTGTTCTGGTTTCGGTTTGTTCTGGGAGCCGCACGACCGAAAGCTCCAGAAAATCGAGGCAGGAGCCACACTTCAGGTTGCTTGCGAGGCTGAAACGAATGGGGAGGCTGGTTTTCTGCACCACTCGCCCCGAAACTTCGTTGCCCAGGCGGCTACTGTACAAATACGATGGTAATATTCCGTAGGATAGCTTGAGACACAGCTGGGCAACTCCAGCATGAAGCACTTACATACCAACTGATACTAAAGAGACTTCCCATCTGTGGGCTCTTTACAATCCATTGAAGACTTTCAAATCTGGAGTCTGGCACGCTTTGCTTGTGTTGCCACTTCCCAACCCTTTCATCGCATAAATATTAGCCGTGTAAACTCGAATGCAAAATATCAGCATCTCATTGTGAAATTCATCGTCTCATCAATGGAAAACGCTAGGGCGGCGGTATGTATCATGAAGCCCCAAGGTCGGCTGGTTTGCCTCGCGGGCTCTTTCCAGGTCATGACCGTCGAAGCCTAGGGTACGGAGTACTGTATGGATGCTCACTTGCTGAGCCCGCGATTTGGAAGGAGGGATCCTAACCACAGGAACGTAGTTCCCTATAGCTTACACTCATATTTCCCTACATCTAGAGAGGGTCAAATCATCAGAACATACAGCATCGCATTTGCTGTCACATTTGCTCTGTACCAACTAAGGTACTTCGGTCTCGGACGATACCTGTATAATCTCGAGATACGAAGTACGGTAGTTAGCGTACTCCGTATGTACCTACATATGGATGGAGTAAAGGCGGTGAGGGTTCTGGGATGGACCCTAACCGTCCGGGTGCTTCACGTGGGGTACGTGGGGTAATAACCCTTCTCAAGCCCATCCACCAGTGTCCTAATCAGCTGCTCGACTCAAGGAACGGGGCTTGTGGTTCCACTTACGTGCTGAGAATCATATGAGAAGACATCTCTGGCAGACATTCTGACTCCGACCCAGTCTCGGGCCTCTCGGCAGAGCCAGCCTCTGGTTCCTGGGCTTACGCGAAGATGTCCGCATTAACATTCTTGCGTTGGACCCTTGACGGGATGGAACCTCTTCCGGATTGCGTCACAAAAAGCTACCCCACCTTCCCGCATTTCTTCTTTCTCCTTTTTCCCAACACACAACTCCTACGCTCCATTGTTGCGCCAATTGACTTATCGCTTCTACTAGGTCTTTACCTTCTCTAGACACAATGACCGTTCCCCAGGTTCCCGGTCTGCAAATCGAAGTCCAAGCCGAGGGCACGGGCGACCGCGAAACCAAGCGCGGTGAGTGTTCCCTAGCTTCCCATTCGCTGAATCGGGAGAGCCCCTCCAAGGCTGTTACCCCGCCTATAGCTCTTGGTACCCCCTCTCCTAGCTTCCGGGCTGCTGACACTTGGCCATAGGTGACAGCATCGACGTGCACTACAAAGGCACCTTGACCGATGGGAAGAAGTTTGACTCTAGCTACGACCGTGGCGACCCGCTGAACTTCACCGTCGGCGCTGGTATGGTCATCAAGGGCTGGGACGAGGGGCTTCTGGGCATGAAGGTTGGTGAGAAGCGCAAGCTCACCATTCCCCCGGAGCTTGGCTATGGCTCCCGGGGCGCTGGGGGCGTCATCCCGCCCAACGCCACGCTCATCTTCGAGACGGAGCTGGTGAAGATCAAGAATTGAGACTATGCGGATGAAAATGCATGAAGAGAGGTCCAACTTTCAAGGCACCTCTGTCAGAGAGCTCGGTAGAGGAGACAGAAACACTCATTTCACATACAAATGAGAGGTTGAACACCAATCTAGACGGTCTTTCCCGACATGCTCGCTCGCTCGTAGTGTATGTGTGTTGTATTGTACATGCCTGTTTACTCAGATCCCCATCAACGCCTTCGCCATATGACGGCAAATATCTACCCAGCAGCACAGATGTGCGCCTTTGGACGGATCTTATCCAAATCACACCCTCTATTACCCCTCGCCCGTTATAATACAATTCCCCAATTGCCTGTACATTCTATCCGCATACAGCAGCCCAAACCTTTCTTCCTTCTCCTCTGCTGCGCCCCTCCCTTCGAGTATCTCCATAACCTCCCCGAGTACAATTACATGATCCCGCACCCTGACGAGCCCGCTGGCCGGCTGATCCAGCAGCTTGCAGCGTAAGACGTAGAGGACCCCGTCGCCCTTCAAGACAGGCGGTTCCTTTCCGTCCCCAGTCTCCCCCATATCGACCCCGCACCCGCACTCGGCCGCGAGCTTGTCAAACACGTCCCGCCCGCTCGCGTTGCCCCGGGCTAGCCAGTCCGCTATCGCCGCCCCAGAGACATCGTCTGCCAGGAGGTGCACGTTGAAGCGCCGGCTGGCGGCCACGGCGTCGTAGGTCCGGCTCGGCGTGGCAATGTTGAAGCTCACCACGGGGGTGGGGAGCAGGGAGAGCGAGGTAAAGGATGACATGGTCATGGCCCGCGGCGTGGGCCGGCGGGTTGCCGTTGTTTTTGAGGAGGAGGAGTTGCCGGATTCGCCGCCGGCGGGAAGCGTCGAGGTGCACACCACGACCGAGTGTGACACGAGCCGCATGAGGGAGCGGAACTGCTCGGGGAGCGGGGTGGCTGACTCAACAGCGGAGGAGTGCGGATGCACTCGAGGCGCGTGAGGAGAGGTGAGGTGGAAGGGTTGGCTGGTTCGTCTTGGGTTCTGAGAGCAGAGGGAAGTGCTGTGGAAGGGTCGGAAGGGGTGAGCTGGAGAGTAGGTTCATCAGTCAGGCTTGATCGGTGTAATTGTGCAGTTGACTAGGCGCATACCAAGGGAGGTGTCTATGGCCCGGGAAGCCGAACATGGCTTGGCGACGGCACGGATCTGCGGCCGCATTGCGGCCCGGCCCGGTCTGGAGCCATGGCTGCGCCGGAATATACGGGACGGGTGCGCACTCGCACTCTCGGCAGCCAAGCGCACCAGATTGCGGCGACTGCTCATCTCAACGGTCTCAGCCCCATGAAGGTCCGATTGGCTTGCGACGAAGCCAGTCAGCGACCGGATCTGCGGAATATCTGCTGTTGGGACGGAGCGTAAATCGGCTTCCGGCTTCCAGGAGGACGAAGATTTGTTGCAAAGCTGGGAGAGGAAATGAAATACGACGAGTGTATTTGCCGGGTACCGTAGTCTTGCACTCAACAGTCCCCATTAACAGCGGTCGACCATTCTGCCAGGTTGCCGCGTTAACTTTGGTTTGACACTTTTCGGCCTCTAAAATACAACGACGAAAACAAAGATTTGAGGACCGATTTTAGGTATATTCCTGTTGTACGAAAACTCAGGTGCGCACCTCATCCCTGAGGTACTTTGAGTGGCGGACCCTGACATTAAGTGGAATGATAACCTTAACGATAAGCGCAAGGAACGGTCTGATAAGGATAGCACAAGCGGTCCGTTCTGTCCGCCGTATCAAAATTTCAACCTCACCCCCTTGTCCGCGATATTTGGATGATAGATGAACCCATTGACCGGCGAAATCGCGCTTGTTGACGACACCAGCGCCCGGGCTGCGGGAAGAGGAGGGCAGGAAGACCAACAAAGTCCGTACAACACCCGATCCAATTGACCCGACCACCTCTCGATTCAACAAAACGCCAGCATCTATCACCAATCGAAACCCAAAGGGCCTACAAACATGGGGAAACTCCCCTCCACCATCCTCCGCCGGCCGTCCCTCGCCGCGGGCAGCCTCCCGTCGTCCTCAGCCCTGCCACAGACAGCAGCAACAACAACAGCCACTCTACACCGGCCGACATTACCGGCGCAATGCACCAACACACAGGCAGCCGGCGCCCATCAAGTCCGGCACGCGACCTTTGTGGCCCGGCCGCGGCGGCCCTACATGTTCACGCAGCTCGTGCAGCTGAGCGACGGCTCGACCTTCACGGTGCGCACAACATCCCCTGCGGCGCTCTACAAATCAGACAAGGATACCCGCAACCACATGCTGTGGCAGCCTAGCGAGAAGTCGCTCAAAAACGTCGAAGTGGACGAGGCTGGCAAGCTGGCGGCCTTCCGTGAGCGTTTCGGAAACGCCTGGAACCTCGAGGGTCCCAACGCGCCTGTTCAACAAGCAGCAGCGGCGGCGGCGGCGGCGAAGAAGGACGCGGTGGAGCCGAAGCAGGTAGAGGCAGCGGCAAAGGCGCCAAAGGGACGGGCAGTGGAGGAGCCCGCTGCCGCCGCCGCCCAGCAAGATGACGCCGCCGCCTACGATTCGTTGGTGGATCTGATCAGCATGTACGCGACTGAGGACAAGAGCGTCAAGGGCGGGCTGAGTGCCAAGGACCAAGCGAGGAAGGAGAAGAGCGGCAAGAAGAAGTGAGGTCGAGGGTGTACTGGCGATCATGAGATGTCATGAAGCAGTGTATACTGTACGATAGTCAATACTAGCATTGTACATTTCGAGGGTGCGTGCCAGCACAGTTATGGATGCAAGGGAAAGGAGCAGGTCACCATGGAAGCAGTAGCCGTCCAGTATGTGTAACGTCTCACGCCAAATGACCAAGTGCGGATTCAGGGCGTTCTCCTTAACCACGATGGAGATAGAACGGCGCAACAGCTAATACATACACAATGCTTTCCTTTCTAGTTGCATGTACACATAACCGGAATGGAGAATCCTCCTAACATCGGGGGATACTATCGCAAAACAGCGCTGACCATGAATAGGTATCTTACTAGTACTGCCGAGTCGCTGCCAGCATCGAAAACCGAGTAGAGGACTCCCAGCGGTGCTTGGAGGTATTGCGTAGACATTACCGAGGCTATTCCGGCTCAGAATCCCATCCATCTGATGCAACCCATTGTAACATGCATGCGTACCTACCATTCAAGTTGAGCATCGCAAGGTATCATTGGGGCCCAGAAGACGAGACGCCATCGCGTCTGACAAACACCTAATCTGAGTCTTCATCAATCCTCGCCCGGGCTCGGTCTACCGCTGTGTCTCCCGCCGGCTTGTTGGTCTGGACAACCGGGGGCCGATAAAAGACGGTTTCGTCGTCTTCCGCGTCGAGTTGCATAAGGAAGGTTTCCCATTTCTCGATCAACTAGAGATTTGTAAGTGGGGGATTCGGGTTAGCAGAA